ATCACGATAGATTGGTAAAAATAAATAGTGGCTGAAGAGTCTATATTTTAAACATTGTCTTGCCAAATTCAGATTTTCTCATCTCTGATAACTTTAGTTATAACTTTGGTTATAACAAAATAAATATTTTCCTGAATAACTAGAGTCTGTATCTTTAACAAACACACACAACCAGTATTTCCTCCTTTCCCTTTTATTACAGTGCCAGCTATACACATGCTTTAGCATTAATAGGGACTTGGTAACATTGTAAAGATGAAAGAAAATGGTGCTAAGGTAGTGACTTCGATGCTAGATATACAATTAAAGATAATCTGAAAGCTTGAGTGAAAACGAACCATTATTAACGACAAAAATTGGGGAAAACTGATCTAATCGATACATTAATTCTCCAAACCATATTATAACAATTTAATTACATTTTAGGTGAATGGAAATCGTCACCATGGCCGTTACCAGAGTTTGATGTTTTTTTGTTTTTTTTTTTTGGGGGGGGGGCACATACATGTAATTGATCGACGTCCTGGGGAGGGGTCTAAAAAAATTCAACCGAGTTCCCCCCCCCCCCCCCCCCCGTGGCTACGTGCCTGATCGTCACAAAGCAATTAATTGGCTCTGTATATCATTCCAGATATTTAAGTGTTGAAACAAAATGAAAAGCCTGTTTTTTGTCTTATTTTCATGGAAAAACGTTTGGGAAAATTCAAAATGGTTGGGAGAATTTACTGTTAATCACTATAAGAGGGTGTTGACCAGTGACGCCTTCTTAGAAAACCATTAATATCTTTGTGGTTTGAGAATTTTTTTCAGGAGTTTTCGCATGTTAGAAGGTGAGTACAGAAGAAGGCAGTGGCAGATCCAGGGGGGGGGGACCCGGGGGGCCCGGGCCCCCCCCCCCTTGAGAAAAAAATCATGTAAAATCACGTGATTTTTACCTTTTTGGGGGGTTGGGCCCCCCCCCCCCCTGGCGCTCAAGGGGGGGGGGGGGGGTGCAAATTGATTTTTTTTTTGAGGATCCAAAAAAAAAAATTTGCTCACTACCCCCCCCCCCCCCCCCCCCCCCACTGAGCGAATTTTTGGCCGGCGCTTTTTTCAAATTTTCGGGAGCAAACAAAAACAAAAAAACAAAAACAAAAAAAAAAAAAAATTGTGCTCTGTACCCCCCCCCCCCCCCCCCCCCCCCCCCACTGAGCGACTTTTCGGCCGGCACGATTTTCAAATTTTCGGGAGCAAAAAAAAAAAAAAAGTTGGGCCCCCTCCCCTAAGAAATCCTGGATCCGCGCCTGGTAGAAGGAAGATGATAAGTAACATTTCGTACCAAAATTACGCAACTTTTTAATCAACCTTCAACAATGTTACCGAGTCACTTTAAGCTTTCAAGTAAATATAAGTAATTCTGGAATTATAAAAAAGGGATTTTAAGTCATCATAAAATGTTTAATTATTCTTTGGATGACAAAAATAGAGAGTTAGTTCCAGTAATTTCAAAAGACAAGAGAAATCAAGTACAATCCGATAAATCTAATTTCCTGAATTTTTATACTTTAAATCCTTACTCCCAAATAGGGTTGTTTTACCCTTGGAAAATAATGTAACTCGACCAAATAATCAACGCACTGCCAATAATAATTTGTGTAACACAACACACAGCATGCACCACCTGACATGGACTATAAATATGAACCTTATATGAATCTCATGAAACATATGCACATTTTTTGTTTCTTTTCCCTCCTTGAATTCATCTAATAAGCTTTTTGAGATAACAGTCATAATGTATTTAAGAAGGAGTAGATGGAGTAGATGGAAACAAGAGACATTTGAAGGTAAAACAATAATTACTCTTCTCTTATAAGCTTTAAAAATGTCTTTTCACTATCATAGGGGAAAGAAAGGATGTTTACCTGAGCATCATTATATATTTTGCATAGGCAATAACCTAAATTGATATGTAAACCATTGTCTCTGACCACTTTTTTGTGAATATATACAGTGCGTCCCAGAAAAAACGAAACCGATAATTATCGATGTTTTATCATAACTTAGTCACATTTATAATTAATAAATGACACATATTTGGAAAGCTTAGATCCTCCTCTTTCATTTGATGTAACTCATATGATGCATATTTCACGCATGAAGTCTTTCGTCTACGGCTGATTGTCAACGAAACGAAGTTAAGTCTTTTGTTAATTCCGTTTGTTGCTACGGCAGGCAGCCAGTGAAAACGAATTCGTTTATTAAAGTTATGGAAATGCAAGCACTACTTTAAACAAACAGAACTTTGTTATTCCTAACCCATTTTTCCTGATTGAGGTGTCATTATGAAAGAGCAGAAACTCAACTTTCTAGAAATGTGATTTTCTCTTTGAAATTCAGATACCGTCCGCCTAATGACTTTTTGGTTTCCGCTCTTCAAATTGATTTGAATCACTCATGCGTGAAATATGCATCATATGAAAGAGGAGGATCTAAGCTTTACAAATATGTGTCATTTATCAATTATAATTGTGATTAAGTTATGATAAAACATCGATAATTGTCGGTTTCGTTTTTTCTGAGACGCACTGTATACTTCTTTTACTAACATATATTTTTTGTAATCCTTCACTAATAATTACTTGCCTTGTGTTGTGGTATACAAATTTAAAATGTGTAAAATTCCTATACAATGAAAATATATTTGTATATTAAAGCGCAAAATGATACACATGATGGTACCATCAAAATCTAGAAAAATACGTTACATTTCTTTTTTTAATTTAATTTAAATTCATGTAATCATTGATTGAAAAGAAAATCCATATTGGTATCAGTGTATGAGACATTGATTATTTATATATTCAGTGATTATAATGAATTCATTGAGCATAGAAGATGATATACAATGTTGGTCAGTAAATACTCTTTGATGCTCTTTCCTAAGATTTCCTTGATTGCAGCATGATTAATACGTCCACACTCACAATAATAACCTGCTCTAAAAATCTTTTTTCTCCAAGTAGCCCAACTGAAAATAAACCAACCTAAATATAAAGTCAAATAACACTTTAGATGTCAATTTCAGTTATTATTCCAATAAAACTACATTTCTTGGATAAAAACAAATAAAATACCTTCGACTTCCTCTAAGAAATGAAAGGCATCACAAACAACAAATAATCTGATAACATGTTGTTTAAATGGTGAATGAATGTGTAGAAATGAATGTGCTAGAAATGAGTTTTCTAATGCCTTATGAAGTGCAATCTACACCGACAATATATATATTTCATAGACAGGCTGTAGCAGATAATAAAAGCATAAGTATAAATAAAATAGATTTAAACAGCAAAGAAGGGCTATCTGGTCATCAATATACTGAATGTAATCAGTAGGCTAAAAACATAGGCACCTAAATTATCATGTCATACATCCAAGTCCTATAATGTATTTAATTCAAGTAAATATCAGCAGAAGAGGAAGCTATGGCTTCCCTTATAAGGAGGTGTATCTTCATGTAGTCTTGAGTACCATTTCAAGAGGAATTGTAGGCCTAATTATTTATTACTTTATGCCCACTTTAATATAAAAGTGCTTGATCTCAATTCTCTCTTTTACTGAAGAGACAAGTTCATATAAACACACATCATCTATTTCAACAAAGAGTGAATACCATTGAATGTAATTAACATGGTCTGTCTCTTTCCAATTGAAAGCATTCCAACCATATGGCCTTTTCAATTACAATATACGAATTGCACTGGTACCGAGGGTGATACTGCGTGATGGAGAAACGCCCAAGCTGCGAAGAGTAACGGGGAAGAAATAAACCAATTTGCATGGATACTGATGGTCTACATGATGAGCTACATTGTACTTTTCAATGTTTCTATTTCTGTGTCAGTGGTCTGTATTTATTTAAGAGAAAAATATTATAATTGCACAAAATGGAAAGTATTTTCTTATCTATCGTATTAGATCCCTATTTTTCAGGACACACGTGTAATTCGGGTGTGGGGGGATCAGTCTTATTCCTCCCTCTCTCCCCTCTCCTTTCCCTTCCCCCTTATACCTCTCCCTGTCCCTCTTCCTCCCTGCCCCCCCCCCTCTCTCTCTCTCTCTCTCTCTCTCTCTCTCTCTCTCTATATATATATATATATATACAGTATTTGTATAATATTTTGTAGCATTTGTTTGTAATTTTTTATTTGAATTAACTATCTGAAGAAATTAAATTGAAACCGGTCATAGTGAAAAAGAGAAGTATCTCAAGGATTTTTCATTTCAATTGTTTTCATTATTATTCATATTATATATACACATCTTTCCTTTCTTATCTGTATGATCAACTTCAAATTTAAGATCGCTTTTTCTAGCGTAGTATCTTCTCCCACATCAGAGGTTGATTGCAACACTCCTCCCCCCCCCCCCCCATACACATCTTTCCTTTCTTATCTGTATGATCAACTTCAAATTTAAGATCGCTTTTTCTAGCGTAGTATCTTCTCCCACATCAGAGGTTGATTGCAACACTCCTCCCCCCCCCCCCCAACATCTCTGATATCTTCCATTCCAGCAAGAATGGCAATTTCAAATGACCAATCCACTGGTAGTCCACTCTGATATTATTGAATTGCGATCAATCAAACACAAATTGGCAACTATATGAGGTATCTCCCCTCCCATTTGCTCTGTACTAAAAAAAATTAAGAAATTTCTATTTTCCCTAAAGAAAATTTCCAATCATACATGGAGCCTACATATAATTAGTTCAAATACGTTTCTATTCAACCCTTGTATGAAACAAATCTTTTCCATCCTCAATATTTAAGAAAACGAAAGTTTATGAAATTGACTGCACAGAGCAAATTGGAGATGACCCCGCAAGATACCTCACTTCTCTCTCTCTCTCTCTCTCTCTCTCTCACACATATAAGCACAGATAAAATGTAATTTTTGAAAGATGAGACTTGGACTTTTGGTACAAAAAAGAAGAAGACAACATTGAGACCACATCATTTAAGATTTTGTCAAACAAATATATGACAATGAGTTTAATATACTTATAATATATAATACGATGCCAAATAGCTCTTTACAATTAAAAGAATAGAAAGGAAAAATTGATTTTCAGTTCGATGAAATAGAAGCACTGAGTTGTGACTTCCCATTTTTAGATAACAGAGGGCAGCATTCCACCAAAAATCATGAGGCTTACAAGAAACTGAAAGGATTTCTTGCTTGCATATCTTAACACATGGATATCATATCAATGTCATAAATAACATCATCTTTGTCGCAGTTCCTCCTCTTGTACTATTTCCTATCAAATACATTTATTTAAAAAATCCAACTTGAGAGCTAACAACTATCTACAAAAAGGTCTAAACAAAGATAAAAGACAGTTTAAATATAAAATAAGCAAAGAAAGAATTTACACCAAATAAGCTTAGGATCCTCCCCCAACCACCTCTAAAATAGATGACAGTATTTGGTCACAAGGGGGCGATATTGCCATGTTAGTTGTGATGAGATGATTTAAGGTGATTGCTAAGAGAGACTTTTAGAGACTAGATTGAAGTCAGCTAGATATCACAATTAAAATGCCTATCTCAACTTGTTAATGGCAGAGGCACAATGAAAAAAATAAATGAAATAACAATACTCCACTGATGAAATAAGTAGGACATGTATGACGTCTTTAAATGATATAGCCACGGGAAAGGGGCGGGAAGTATATTATCACAAATTGGTTTGTCAGGACGTTACTGTGCAAGTATAAGGTATATCCTATATCTTACCAAGTAATAATGAATTGTAGTATAGAATTGTGAACATAAAGTGACCAAAAAAATGTGATTTTATTGATGTTTTGTGACTTTTGTCTGGTTCAAGCTCTCAAAGGAATATCAGCTTTTATATGTGGTCAGTAAAATATGGGGTAAAATAGCTTAAACTTGCCCTACAGTAATAATCAACTTAACAGCCGTGCCCTCTTCATGTTAACTCATCTGTTTAGGCCTCTATCAGACCAAAGTGGCCTGCCTCCTAGTCAAAAATAGTCATTACAGAGTACTGAAACCAGATATCCTTATTATCAGGGGGGGGGGGGGGGTTAATTCCATTCTAAACTCTAGCATGCGTCCACATTGAGGTTGAACCTTATCCCTAATCTACATACAAGAAGGGAAGGGAATTGTGGGATTGCTACTCGGTGACCGATGATAACGTGAGGTGATCCGTGAGGTCGGATTTCTTGAGCTTCTTATTGTTGGAACCTGTGGGCAATTCAACAAAAGAAAACAAAAGAATAATGATTAAATATTTAATCAGGATTTCAAGATTTCAAGATGTATTCATTCCATTCAATAACAAACATATATGTATATAAAAGATAATACAAGTGTAAAAAAAGAAAGAAATACAAGTTATACAAACATCAGAGGGTCACTAATCTACATGGATCATCTTGGATCAATCATTTCCATGATTAATTTATGTGGATTGGTGCATGATTTCTGTATAATACTTTACAAGATGTTACATCCAGCCATTACTTGCTATTGAATATATTTTTTTAGTCACCTCTTTTTGAAAGGTCAATTACTTCATCTCTCACATGCTTTTGAGGTTTAAAATCTTCTCCTTTTTTTTTAATTTTCAAGTTTAATACGAACTATATGCACAAATTCAAGTATACAAAGAACCATTTGGTGATGCATTGCTAGTCTTTCTGACTTATTATTATATGTAACTGTATCAACCCAGGTGATGTAAATGGGTACCTGGCAGGAATTCATTCCTTGAAATGCTGGAGCGCTGTATAAACGGCTGCTAGGCTAAAGCCAGGGTAATAATAAATGTGCCTCGGAAAAGAATAATCTAGATAGATGGCGCTATAGAAATGCCTATTATTATTATTATTATTATTATTATTATCATCTCACTATGTAATTCACATGATGTAAATGTATTAATGTCCTTTATGCTGTTAGGCAATAAATAGATACAGTAAAACAAGTCTCCCTGACGCACAAAGAACCTTTCAGAATAACATTAAGTTTCGCACTCTTCTTATTTTCTAAATAAAAAAGAGAATATCTCTACATACCATCAGAGAAGTGATCAGCAGTTTTCTTCCTGAGCTGTTCCACAGACTGCTCGCTCTCTGCCCATTCTAAGACAAGGCGTCGCCCGTACAAATGACTGCTATGACATAGCGAGTCAAAGGCCCTCTGTTAGCAAAAAGAAAACAACTTTATTCATTGAGCTTTAAATTTTTTAAATAGTTGTATTATTATCTTTCAAAATTTGATAATTTCCTTTTGGAACTGTGAAAAAGTATGTTGTAAATTAAAGCTTTCAGCATATTCTCATCTACTATACATATCGTCGCCTGGCTGGCAGAAGGGCGTTAGCTCGAATTTCAGGTAAAAAATGAAGCGTTAAGTAGAAGAGCGTTAGCACTAAATCGCCTCAAACTTTTATGAAAATGACTTACTTCTGAAAGTAAATTGTGGCCGTGTTCTACTATAACATTTCTATCAGTCTTTTAAGTAATTAACCAATTTTCGGGACGGAAAGCAGTTTAAATATAAAACAAACCTTTAATTGCGAATAATTTGAAAAGTAGTTTTGGAGTCGCTCACGCGCTAATGCCCTTCTGCCAGCTGGCCAACGATATAGCTACATGACTATTGCACCAAGGCAAGAAGGATAAACCTGATCATTTGTAATACTCCATACTTCACAGGACACAACTGAACCTTTCCTCTTCATTTAAAATGATTTATAGAAAGGTTCTTTCACAAAGATATTGAAGAATCAGTACTCTCTAAGCCAACTTGATAGCCCCTGTAACATCATCTATTATTGATTTACCTTTGCATCTTGCTTGGAGAGGAAATCCACAAAGCCAAAGCCTCTATGAGATCCAGTACCACTCATCTTCTTAGGGAGACGAACCGTCTTCACCTCACCAAACGTTCTGAAGATGAGAAAGAATAAAGAGGTCATTACAAAGAACTAATACATCAAAGAATTACTTCCAAACCCAGAAGAATGATGATATATCTTTCAACGTTACTGGTCCCCATCCCCCTGCATCCCTATTCCCCTTCCTTCATATATTAACAGTTCATAAGATCTGTGTATGCACGTTATTGCAACAAACCCACAAGCCTTTTCGTACATGAAAACAAATAATCTGCTTTCTGTTTTCTACATCTATTGATATGTAGAAAATTGGGACAGTTACTGTATATCAGTAAAGTTGTATACATGTATATTCTATTGCTGAAACAAATGCGTGAATTAAAATTGGCAGTATGATGGTATGACAGAACTTCAGCTTTATTGAACATTCTGGGAACCTAAGGAAAAAGTTCTTACAATTTTACTTCTCACTCACAAAGAGCTCTACGACCTCCCTACTTTTAAGTGACAAACCAAGATTTTGAACATTCACAGAACCCCAGAAGATAGAGTCTTATATATCTATACTGCCAACTCAAATAAAGAATTTTCTGAAATCTTTCCATGATTAAAATGGAACATTACAAACCAGGGGGGTATTTCACAAAGATACTAAGTTGAACTTATCTCTAAGTTGGACTTAACAATTATGGAAAGCAGTTAGCATCTATGAAAATATTTTGCAAAAATTATTTCAAAAGGCATAAAATGTTGATTCAAATAATTCATATTTTTTATTATCTAAGAGAATTCATGTTTTTGATGTGGAATTTATAAAAAGTATAAAATAACTTGATTTTTCGCTTTTGAATATATCTACTTTAAGGCTGCAAATGGCTCTCCATAATTTTTAAGTCTGACTTAGAGTTAAGTTCGACTTAGGATCTTTGTGAAACAACCCCTTGGATCTGTATATCTCTATTGCCTACTCACATGAAGAGTTCTCTGATCTCTCTCGATGAGGCTTCAAATGGAATATTACGGACAAGGATCTTTGTCGACATCTGCTTCTTGGCTTTCTGTTTCTTCCTGGATGAAGACTGTTGAGTTCTATATTGAACAGAGATACAAAAAGAGAATTCATTAAAGGGAAGCAGTCACTATCAGTTATTTCATTAAACAATTTAAACAATGTATATGTTTAAAGGATGCTCTTTTTTGGCTTAAATTAATTATAACATACTGCAAATTCAAAGCAATATCTTCTAGTGTATTAAAAGAAAATATGCCTTTCCATTATACCCTTCAACGTCTATTAGGCAAAGATGTAATCTTGAATAGAACTTTGTGCGCTTTTCCTTCCCTGCATGTAACTAATCATTATTGCAATATTGCATTATGTTTTTTAGAGGTTAAGACAATGGTGCATTTTATCAAATGATAATTCATGATTATCTAAGCTGAAATCCTTGAAATCTATATTTGCACTTTACTTACTGAACAGTAGATCTATTGGAAATCTTCAGCTCAACGTTGTGACCTTCGACCTCGACATGTTGATATTCTTTCAGTGCTTTCTGAGCCCATTCTGGTTTCTCAAACTCAATGAAGCCATAACCCATGGATAATAGCTCACCTGCAAAAAGATAGAACATAGCAATGAAAATATTCACTCTTCTTCCTATATGAAAAACACTAACAGCTTTAAAAAAAAGCTTAGACTATGTTGTTGATTTACTGTAGAGTCATCTATTTTTGAGTCACTAGAGGTTTTTCAATTGTTCAAATATATGTCAAATATTCAGAACAAATATAACAATAATAATGGGTTCTTGTATTGCCTTCATGTATGTCAGACTTGACACTCCTAGTGCTCCACGATATGGACATCGAACTTATCAAAACAATACAAGTACTTATAAAACATTATCATGGGTATAATTTGAAACAATTACCTTGTTTTCAAATTTCTTTCTAAGTACTCGGACAGGTTGAAAAATGAAAAAATGGTAGAAAATCAAGTATGATTGAATGATTAGAAATAATTGCCAATTTCTAAGAAATGATTTTAGATTATTTTTACCAAGATGTCTTCAGGCTTGATTACGAACTATCAGTAAGTGTATGGTTATTGAAGAATTAAAAATTTCCTTTCATTTTAAGATAAAGAAAGACGATATTGTGAGAATAACTCTCTCTGACCTTGGTTCTTTGTATCCTTCTTCCGAGCAATTGTCACGTTCCTAATAGAGCCGCACTTCTTGAATGCCTGCATGGGAACACACAAAGATGGCCGTTGCATTTAGGTAGATGAAACAGAAGGTTTACACTTACGATTGATAAGGATTGGAAGCGCCTCTTGTGCAGCCAACTGTACAATCAAATCCATAGCAGCCACAAACAATCACCATTGCTCAGTTTCTAGTCTTTTAATTTGGAATATGCTTAATGAAATGTTCTTTTACAGCTCTTTTTCAAGACTATTTTCATAATTTAATCAGATAGAATGTATACATTTGCCACCATAAATTATACATTAGACATTAAATACTTGTAATGAGGTTGAAAAACAAAAACTGCATCTGCTTAAAGCAGTGAAGCATCACTCTCCCCCCCAAAAAAAAAACACAAAAAACAACAAACAACAACAACAACAACAACATTAATTCCAAAGAATAGCAGTGAATAAATGATAGATAGATAGATAGATAAATGAATTTTATTAGAATCTTCATGTCTGGCAGTTAAAAACTGAAATGGATATGAATTACAATAATACCAACAAGCTTATCATTCGCTCGCCAAGAGACACTGCACTCCAAAAGCCAGAACGCGTACCAAACACATCAGCCGCCGTGAGGCTGGACAAGCACTAATGTTCGTCCTGCCCAGCAACGACTAATGCACGCAATCTGCACCCTGACCACTGAGACACAATGACCCTCAGACTGAGACACAATGACCCTCAGACAAAATAAAGCTTCACCATGTCTTTTTTTCACTGATATTCTTTAAGTTTGTAGAACCAATCATCTCTTCAGTTACATGTACAGGTTTCTCCATTCTTTCAACTTGAGAATTGACTTTGAGTTTGATACAGTCTATGCAAATCTTTTGGTTTCCTTCATTAAACTTTCTATTTCAACCTTGATCATACCTTCTTGAGAATACTTTCATCCGTACTGAAATTAAGATTCTTGACAAAGAGAACACTGCCTTCTTGTACTTGGTGCTCATCATCAGATTCTGAAAAATAGACAAACAGAAAAAAAATCATAAACAGATTGAAATCATATCATTGAGAGTAAACTTAGGGTATACAACATGTATAAAACTAGATGGAACTTCGACTGCGCGCATTCGAAATGATGCCTCCGTCATAGAGCAATTTACAAACCAAAACAGAAGAAATTTTTCAAATTCAAGTTCAATTGTAATCCATTAACAGGTTCTCAGAATATTGTGATTACAAGCAATTTCTCATATACATATATGACCCTTTGATCTTTGACCTCATGGCCCTAACATTTACTCAGTTCATTGGCTCTGCAAGATGCCCCGAGTTAAATAGTAATCCATCTGTCAGTTCTAATGAGAATGTGTTCACAAGCAGTTTTTGCATACATAATGAGCCCTGGGACCTTTGACCTTTGACCTCGTGACCCCAAAATCTATTCAGTTCATCGGCTCTGCAAGATACATACATGACCAAAGTTTGGCAGGAATCCATCAATCGGTTCTTTGGATAATGCGATCACGAGCTGTTTTAGCATACATAATGAGCCCTGTGACCTTTGAACTTTGACCTTGTGACCCCAAAATCTAATCAGTTCATCGGCTCTGCAAGATACATACATGACCAAAGTTTGGCAGGAATCCATCTATCGGTTCTTTGGATAACGCGATCACGAGCTGTTTTTGCATACATATGAGCCCTGCGACCTTTGACCTTTGACCTTGTGACCCCAAAATCTAATCAGTTCATCGGCTCTGCAAGATACATACATGACCAAAGTTTGGCAGGAATCCATCAATCGGTTCTTCAGATAACGCGATCACGAGAACGGGACGTACGGACGGACGGACAACCAGAAAACATAATGCCTCCGGCTACTTCGTAACGGAGGCATAAAAAAGATGCCTTATATCTGTCCTGTGGCACTTTAAGTATATCAAACTTACCGTAGTGGATTTTCGGCAATCTTGTCATTAGTACATTCTTTCTATTTCATGCTTTCCTATGCATAGACTGTATCAAACTCAAACTCAAAACCCATAGAAGTGTAGCACGAGATGTATCAAAATAATAATTTCCTTCAAAAAACTGAAGTGAATGGTTCTAATGACATTATTTTCTCTTTGCTCAAGTATGAAACCTACTCAAATCAGTTTATTTCAAATTGTTTTTCTCTCTTTTTGTACTGTCCTCTTTCTATAAGACAGTGATGCTGAATAATTTCCAGACATAAAATAAAATTTATTTCAAAGCTTAAAATCAAGAGAGTTTACCCAAGAACAAAATGAGTAAATACCATTCATAGTGCTACCACCAAATAAGTTGCACAATTGTGACCATGGCAGTAGTATCATACTTGCCAAATTATCGGAAGAAATATAATGAATGTCAAACACTTGACCCATTTCAGCAGGCAAGTACCGTAGCACTGAGCATGAAATTTTATGGATGGCATCCTAATATGATTACATTCCATCTTTCCATTTCATGCTTTTATAAGTGCATTTCATAATTACCAGTCAAGACTCAACATCTGGGGGGTGTTTCACAAAGCTTGTCATCAATGACAAATGACTTTTTTTGTTATAAGGTACTGAAATCTTTGCTTCTGATTGGCCATCAGCAGATTTGTCACTGATTTTTGTTATTTGTCATTGAAAAAATGCTTTGTGAAACACCCCCCTGAACTAGCTCCATCATACCTGATTCTTCTTGAGGTTCCTCTTTCTTGACTTCTTCCAATTCTTCTTTCTTCTCTTCTTTAGTTTCTTCCACAGCAGGTGTCTTCTCTAAGCTCTTTATAGATGTTCCAAACACATCCATGGGGGCCCATTCCAAGTACAGCGGAACATGCTTGAACTACGGAGAAGAATTGGACCAAAAATATGCCTAAGCTGTTTAGAAACAATATCATAAAGTATTTCTTATTTCTAAACAAACTCATATTTTCGGTGTTACAAAATTATAATGGATGATCTCTCTAAAACATAGACATTATAATTGTATTCTTATTTTACTATTATGCAGAACACTCAAAAGTGTACATTGATAAATAAAGTATAACTTGTATTTGGGAATACAGGAATATGACTTATATATGTAAACAAAACCGTTGGGGAATTTCATCTTGAGATGTATTTCATTAAAAACCAGTGAATCGCGAACCTTAGTGTAAGCTAGTTGGTAGAAGGCAGCTCTTGCTTCTGTTGGTTCTAAGAACTCTACAATTGATGTCACTCCTGCGGGGGGCATGAGAACCCTTCCCAGCATGCCGTGCTGACTGAACACCTCTCTCAGCTCCTCCGGTGTAGTACTTGCTGGGAGGTTCTTCACCAGGAACACTGATTTACTTCTCGCTGCAGCAGCCTAGGAAGGAACAATGTGGCCAGTATTCAGGGTTTAATACTAACAAAGAAAAACACTTATGGGACTAGTGATGAAAAGTAGCTGCTATTTCAGTTGATGTTGCAAGAATCGTTATATCAATGAGAGTATAGATCAATTGATTTTGACAGTAATCATAAATGAAATTTGCAAGTAAATCTTCTCGCATATAGAAGTACAAGTACAACTGAAGTAAAAGCCTGAATAGTCTCTTGGGGTTTTACAAAGGCATATATTTCTATTCTTAGATTGAATCACATTATTCTTTGGACCTTTAAACCTGTTTCTTTGGCAAGCATGGGAAATTCAGCACATCTCCTTTCCTCAGGAAATGTTTTAGACAACAGAAACAATTTCTAATAATTGTTCAAAGTCTTGCTCATGCATGATGCTTTAAGCTGTCTGACAATATCTACCACAGCAAAAGAAGACAATTGTGCTGTTAAAGAGGTTTACTCTATCATAATTACTCTAGTAAGAACATGGTACCTGACTGAATGAGTCTAGTAACACCCCATTGTCCAAGAGGAACTGCCTTGTTTCAGCAACAATCTGTGTCTCTCCTAGAGCCATCCGAACTCCAAGACTTCTACTCGATTCCTGAAAAAGAGACAAGTAGAAAGATCCTCAAGAGATAGCTTCATATCTTGACAATTGATTATATTATATTTCAAGTCATGTAGTTTACATTTATCAGAGGAGACATGTATAAATGGAACTTGAATTTATCTTAACTGAAATTGGCAATTGAACATTTAAGTGACTTTTTCACTATCTTTTCTAATCACTTATTATTTTAATGTCGCTCTGTATTTATTATCCAGGGATGCCAGGTAGAATTGATCAGAGGGCCTGAAAATCACCTAGAATGAGCTATTTTGTACACAAAAAAGCCTAAACTATGGTCTGAAAATAACTCTCCGGGGCCTGAATTCAGGCTATTGCCTGGAAACTGGCATCCCTGTATTAACACTGTCCAATGTTTTGTTGATACTGCTACAATGTATACCTTACTGTATTGAAGAAAAAAGCCAAACAAGAAGAAACCTAACTTACAGGATCTAAGATGTCACTCTTTGAAGTCTGATATTTGGCTGCCATGACATCTGCTACTGCATTCGCTGAGATGAACAAAGTGTTCCAGTTGTGTGAACTAAAAACAAAAAGAAAGATATCATCATCATCATCATCATCGTCGTCGTCGTTGTCGTCGTCGTCGTCGTCGTCATCACCATCATCATCATTATCATCATCATCATCATCATCATCATCATCAACATCATCATCATCATCAGCAACATCATCATCATCATCATCATCATCATCATCATCACCACCACCACCACCACTCTTACAGTCTCCTGCAAATCCCACACACAAACAACCACTGAAATGCTCTAAAACAGCAACAGCCTTCTGATTAGTTTACTGTAAATCACTGCACAAGAAACCACTATCATTTATGTCACTACTGTAACACTTTACTATTTTATAATCAATTTGGTTAGAATTGATGATCATCCAGCAAGCCCATGTGATTGCAGCATGCGTCATAGAACCTTGCTGCTGGTTAACACACTTACCATTGATGTTAACTTTGCCATCAATAGTAACTACCATAGTAACCTTGATTTTGATTGGCTGTTGAGCCCTGTTACCATAACTGCCATTGATGGCAAAATTACCACCAATGGTAAGTTGTATGCAATGGGCCAATGAATGTTACCTTCCACTCTGAGCTTTGGTCTTTGCTGCCTTCTTGTTCTTGAAAGAAGAGCCCTCCTTGTGTGTCTCTTCTTCCACCTTCTTCTCCTTGCCTGGTAGGATGTGAAGCATCCGACCCTGTCAAACAGACCAAGCAAATAATCACAATTGAGTGGTGAAGTGAGACATCATCAAAAATCTATTTTTTGGATTTCATCATTTTGTCTTCATTATAACATTACGAACCAGAGCAATATAAACTGAGTTCCTATAAGAAATGTATTTAATCAGATGGTCATATCTCAGCCAATACTTAACATATTCAATTGGTTTTTGATGTTTGGACATTATTTGTTATGCTCTTTCGGAAAATAAAGAAATAATTAAGAAATTCCAAAAATTGATTTTTATGATGTCACAGCTTCGGTACTCTATACAATCAACTAAAGTCTAATCATAATCCAATCATTCACTATCAGATGTTTTCAAATGCTATTCACTTCTGTGGGTAGTTGGCGGGGATGCCCTCGCACCTCCCTACCAACAGTTCTCAATGAGGACCTGAAGACCACAGGCCAAAGCATACGCTACTCAGCTGACTACTAGAGCACCTACGGCTCTGGACTAACAAGAAATGGAAGGAAAAGATGAGAATTGTTGATTTGACATAGATGTCAACAACACAAAAACCGTTTCACACACACATTATGGCTGCTTTTTTTAATGTGTTTCCATCAATAAACCAAATTTAGTTAGAGTGATTCACATCTATTCACTGAGCCCCCTTTACAGTTCTCCCCCCATTCCCTTCTCCTTGGCCATCTGTTAGCCAATCATATCAATGGTATGACACCTATACAACCCTTCCAAAGGTCCTATGGTTAGAGACATACCTGAAAGCTGGTCCCATCTAGTTCTGTGTAAGCTCTGACAGCATGCTCAGGCATCATGAAAGTGACGAAAGCAAAACCTTTTATCTTCTTTGTGAAGGTGTCTATGGGAAGATTCACTTCTGTAAGAGGACCTGCAGGGGAAACATATCAAATAAATAGGATAACATAAAGCTCTTGCCAAAGGACAAGAAAAAGAAACACACAGAGTGATTTGTAGAATTTGCAAGGACAATGATTGTAACCACTAAAGAACAGTAACTTCTAGAAAATTCTTATTATAAATGCAAAGGAAGGGTCATCTGCTTTAAAGTTTAGTGATGACAAACAGCATGATAATGAAAATGTTGTATATTCTCACTTTGCAAGGAAAAATAAACTGACATTCAAGACTTAAAGCTAAAGACCAGTTATGGTCATGCAATTGCATAGTGAAAGAAACGTTGTGAAATCGATCAGAAAAGGTTGATCATCTAGCATAGATGTACTGCAAGGTTCTGGAATCATCAAAATTATAAGAAATTTGGCCAAGTCTTCATAAAGTTAGAAGCACTGTACACAGAAAGATGTATATGGGACTACACACACGTGTGCGACACGTGTATTTGTATCTCTCAACAGTATATAGATATACTAATTTACCAAATATATCAATTAGTAGGCGGTTTCCCAACAAAATTTTTATCGTCATGTAATATTCACAACATATTCTTTCACAAGATTGGTAGCAAGAGCTTCCATTTCATTTTTTGAAATTGGGGCGTTCCCAATACTGGTCTTTACCTTTAAGGATATCTTTATTCAAAATTGATGATTTGAAATAGGAGTTCTACTATATGTTAGGCTTCCACAACTCACTATGAACATTTAAAAAAAAGCTTGGTGAGGAATTGTCATCTCCACTTTCTAGGAAAAAACTCCACCAAAAGGCCATGTCTGGTCCACAACACAATCACAATGAATTAATTCATTTCAAAACTGAAAGCTGGATTGACATGGCCATAAAGATTTGAATTTGGATCTATAGTTTCCTCTCATTGTTATCATTCTTGTTTGGTATACTGGAATTAGCAATCTTGATTGACTAATTCATCTTCTTACCGTATTTACTAAACAGGAATTCTAGGTCCTCCTCCTTGCAGATGTAGGCAAGATTCCTCACAAAAAGCCGTCCAGTCTAGGGAAGAAATGATTAAATGACGAATGAATTAATTGACTTGAGCTGCAATCTCTTCTTTTCATGCATCAGTACAATGAGGCTTTATCTCACTCAACCATCTAAAGAAACCTTGTCAAACTTGTATTAATAATCAAGAATAATCAGAAGAAATAATAAATAGAGAAAGTTATACAAAATAAAAAGAAAAAAGAACAAGAGATTAATAGGGGAATTACAAATTCATGTGTACTTTCTACAAGGTTGTCTTCAACCATTCACACATTCAAGACAAAATTATTGACTGAATATTGTAGGATTAGTACTGAAATAGGCATTAAATTAAATTGACCATTATCATTTCAAGTTTTGACTCATATACTTGAACATAGAAGAACCATATACACACCTCAGCAATAGTGTCTTCTGAATTTTCCAGTTCGGCAGCCTGTTTGAAAAGATTGAGAACAAATATTATGTATTAATATACCGGTAACAGTGGGACATGGAAACTATGTCAAAAATACAGATCTTTCTTTTTTCTGTAATCAAAGGAGAAACCAATTTGTGAATATATTACTGAACTGATATCTTCATTACCTATGCCCATATGTGGAGATAGATACTAGCTATACCCCTTGCATGAGATGTATCACACTCAATCTGCACAGATTTAATCCCACAGCACACACAAAGAACAATATTCAGTTCTTTTATAGCGCATAACACATTACAGGATAGCATGTCCCTATGCGCTTTAAAAAGAAAGGAAAGAATTACAAGAAAAAGTCATACAAATTAGAAAATCAACTTAGAAGCAAAAAAGTACATGTAGTGTTGGACGCTGAGTCCATGGGTGTTCACTTTTAACATTGAATAAATACCTTTCAAGAGAAATCTTAAACTTGTTTAAATTATTGTGATTTCTCATGGAATCTGGAAGGGCATTCCATAAAACTGAGGAGGCGTGGGTAAAAGAACGTTCACCATATGTTTTTGTTGAGGTGGGAGGGACAATGAATAATGATTTTGAGCGTGATCTTAAAGTACGAGTAGGCCGATACAATGATAATAGTTCACTTAAATAAGAAGGGGCAATGTCATGAAATCATTTACCAATTCACCACAAACACTAATTGATACTAAAACAGATATGTAGAAATATACCAACCTGTTTAGCCCATGGAGGCTCTTCCTGATGTTTAGTGTATGCATCCTTATTCCAAGCTTCTTCTCGAAATAACTCTACATATCTCCTTCCTGAATGGCATAAGAGCAGAAGGAAATATAAAATGAGTTAGAGTTAGTAGTTTACGGGAATCTATGGTGCAGACCATTAGGTCCCAGATCATCTGCATAATTCTTCATTGAATATCCATGAGCAAGCTCCCTATGTATTCCATTATTGGCCTGTAAGGTTCCCTCTCTGTATACAGCCAGTACAAGTTTCTAAAACTAATCTCAACCCTAAATTTCAAACAGATACAATTCATAATTTATTTATTTTGGTCATTGTAGCTTTATGTTCTAACAAGCCCATTAAAAGTCCAATGTAGCGCAAAATTTTACAGCCAAAATCTCCTACATAGTGACTTTTCTACAGCTTCTGATCAGTGAATCAACCGCTTCATAAATTACTTCATCGCTCCCGACGACAGAGTCGAGCCCCTCCTACTAACCATCCTCTCCAAACCGGCGCTACAGTTCTCTTTAGAACTATAACCTCAAGAAATATTACCACCAGTCCATTTCAGGACTACACACACACTCAAGAAAAAAAGATTACCGACAGTCCTTTTCCGGACTCCCTAATCCTCCCCCTCACATGGTGCAACCTGAAGTCTACTGTATAGCTTCATAAATGTTTTGATTGAATGCATGATCAGGTGTTTTTATTGAATCAATCAGTATTACCTACCCATGTATTCTCTGTTTCTCTTCATGGCTTTGGTGATATCATCCTCACTGGCAAACTCTACAAATATGACACCTACAAATCAAGGACATTAAACAAAATGGTTAAACAAAAACAGGTTCTATGTTCAGTAGAGAATAACTGGTATAGTTTAGTGTAGCCAAAAAATCCTACAACTGCTATAGACATCATGAATGGCTCAGTGTCCAAAGTATCTGCCTTGGGGGAGATCACATGATTGATCACATGATTGATTTCAGTCCCGGATATGCCGAAAGACAAAAATGGATGCCATTGATACAGAAAACTTTTATCAGTTGGGGATAATAATAACATGTAGTTTTTAAGCTCCTACCAACATTAAATTTGTTATGCAAGCTTTCATCCACTCCTGTAGACTTTCTAAAGCTAAGTGATCAGTCTGAGTCACACGTTTGCCACAGGAGTGGATGAAAGCTTGCATAACAAATTTAAGGTTGGTAGAAACTTAAAAACTACATGTTATGGATGCCATTGTTGTGTGTTAAGAGTGCCTCTCCACGGTTTATAGTAAAGCGATTGTATACAATTATATCCTGAATACCTGTTTCTGTTCCTGAGATTTGGTTGTAATTATTTTTCATCTCTTCACTTTATACATAGCTGTTAACAAACTAAACTGGACTGTAATTTCATGGAACTTCATTTGCAAACAATTCTCGCTACCCCAAATAGCGATTCTGCCGAGATCCGGGGAAAATCCTGAAAACGCGCATTGCATTATGGGATAGCTTTTCGACATTACAGCTTCCTGTGCGATAGCGCAAACGTAAAACGCCGTCGCCACACAACGTGTATGCACCGAATATGTCGTCTGCTCGGTCTTGTTTTTTTTTCGCAAATATTTCAACGTTTATTTGAACATTTCATTCGTTGTTTTTTGCGTCTTTTGACATCAGTGACGATGGTTTTCTTTTGTGAGGCTGCACAGTGCTGGGCTCATGATTCCAAGCGTAAGAACCCTGATTTTAGCGTGCGTGAAAACTCTGCACAGCGAACACAGGCGCTAGCGCCAGCGGGATGGGACTCTATACCGGAAGTTGTAGTGACGACCCGAGAGATTGAAAATTACCTCGTCTCGCGAATTTCGAGATTTTCGTACCTATTTAGGGTAGCGAGAATTAATTCATGTTGTATCATTGAATTAGTTACCTGTTCTCTGCCCTTTCTCATTCAGAGGTGCTCTAATGGTTTTCATACTTAGTGGAGCAAAGAACTTCACCACATCTTCCTGAAATAAAAAATAACATAAAATAGAGGAGAAAAAAAACCAAAATGACATCACAAAACTATCAAAAGCCATTGGGAAAAGTTTGCAAAGAAAATATCTAGCCATTTTAACTTCCCATTATGTGAATAGTAACATGAGGTAACAAATTGACATTCTAAAGTAGGCCTATTAAACTAGGGACTTATTTGTCAGCAATGACACACAAAAAAGTCTTTGAATTTTTTGTGTTTTTAATCAAACAACAAGGATCTAGGAATTTGTTGTTGTTTTGTAAATGCATGTTTTCATTTGTTCATTACAGGATCCATCTGCTCTCCTTGAGTCTGTTTATGCACCTATTTCCATACGATAAATGCATACAGCCTCGACTCGAGTGTGGATAGATTGCATAGTGAACTTCTTTACATGCATGATTTGTATATTATTGAATGAGACCTATATGTACATCAATCAGTATAAAATATTTTCATTATTAAGTTAACCAACATCTCCTCGCATAAACCTACCTCTTTGACGTTGAAAGGCACCCCTCTCATTTTAATGGTGAAATCTCCTCTCTCGTATTTTTCATCTTTTCTGACACTTCTCATCAATTTCACCTGTAAAAACAAAACCAGTGAATCAATGATTCATTATCTATCATAATCATTACAAGATAATACCAACAAAACGGCAGGTATATAGAATTTTCTGCTAGACCATCATAGTACAACATGCCTATGCTACCCAGTGCAAACAGTAAATAACCATCATAATTTATAAAGTCTTTTTACAGAGATCAGGAGGAACTCAAATGACTAAAATACAATTACAGCAAGATGGTTCCAGAAAACATTTAATCCACAAAGGAAATAATCATAGAAAAAATTAATGCAATCTATGTTGAAGCAACATACCTTATTTTTCCGGACTCTTTCAGTAGTAGGTGATGCCTTAACGTTGGGAACTTCCTTAACCTCTGTCTGTACAGCTTTCTTGTTCTCCTCCCCCTCTTCTTCCTCCTCCTCTTCTTCCTCCTCACTATCCTCATCAGATGAAGAGGATTCATCTTCACTGCTCCCATCCTGAATCCCTTCATCCTCTGTCTGTACTTTCACTCTCTTGGATTTCAAGTACTGTATTCAGATGAAAATATTACATCGGTAAGTCATGTATCATGTACTCTGCAATAAGTTAGTATTGTATTAAGGGTTTTGAGTCAACCAGATCTAGTGCTTTGAGCAAAAGTAAGTAGATTACTGTGCAGTAAATTTCAATATCTCTTGGTTTGAGGTGTGCGAACGCATAAAAAGAAGAATAAGCAAATTGAAATATGCTCAGGCAATTACGACAATGGATGTATTTGGCAGCCCATAGGTAATGTACTTTGGTAAGGACAAAATAGGTATTTTTTCTCTTTGTGTTTAATATGCAAGTTAATACAAAAACATTACGATGCAATGGTGAAAAATGAGATACTAGGTTTCAGACAATTAATGATAATATTGAATAGCATTTCTTTCCTGGGACACAAGGGCATATCGCACTTAATTTTGAGTATATTTTGACTCTTCGTGCCGACTCATGAAATATGCTCATCAGTTTGTGGCATATACCCCTGTATCCCACTCAAGGCCATTCAATGTTATATAAATACATTTATTTTGTAAAGCACATATGTAGTAATTTCTCCTTGCAATTCTGAAGGGCTTTAGATTAACAGCTATAGTAATATGATTGCAGGGCCCTCAGGGAGAACAGTATGAATACTGATGAGGCTACCCCGGGTAAACAAGACATATTATTATTATTGTTATTATTAGGCTAGTTGACTGTGACCCTCAACCATAAATATGTTTAAACTCAATCATTGCTGTCAAAAAAGAATACAGTGTTCAAATGTAATATTAATTTTGTATCATCAAATAGAGAAGTAGTGAACTTTGTAGATAACGGCACACATGATTAAGTCATGTAAAATGTCTATGTAAGGTCTATAATTATCTTCTAAGAATGGAGTTGTTCCTGCAAGGGCTTAATCTTCAATAAACATTATCCTTACATCCATGTCTGAAAGCTCTTTTTTGTTTGCTTCTTTTTTCGTCTGATCTTCCTGGACCTCCTCCTCCATCTCTTCTTCCTCTTCGTCATCATCCTCATCAACATCACTTTCCTCTTCATCCATAGTGTTCTTCCCATCTGCTGGCAGGAAGTTAAATGTGATAAGAAGCAACTGTTTTGTTTTTTTAACCCAAAGAATCTCATAGTCCATACATAATAAGCTTACTTTTTTGAAGAATTCATCAGCAAGTATTTTCCAATTGGCACAAGTGGTATAGAAATCAACTCGCTTTCCTTTTTTATGATATCAATAATAATGTTAAACTTATAAAGTGCATTTCATGTTGCCATCTCATTTGTTTCATAACATCCTTCCAACTTTTAAATTCCTTCAGATATATTACAAACATGCATATGTTCAAATCATACATCTGTTCTATTTCCCAGGAGGGAGTTTTACAGAACCAACTCCATGAGAGTCATATCTTTGACCGAGGTCTACAGAGATATTAAGAAGCAGACAACCCTTTTCACAAAACCATGGTAAGCCAAAAATTCATGATTTTTATACTATCGGCTAAAAAGTCTCTGTCACGATCCATCCGATTTTGTCCTGAATTACCCAAAGAGATTATGAGGCTTTATTTCCCTCAAACTGTTTGAAAAAGTAAAAAAATCTGAAAGAGAGGTAGCACAAATGATACAAACATCCAATTTGCATGAAAATATTTGTTACTAATGACATCTAAGAATTTATCAAATTGAGGAAACTTGTATCCAACCAAAAGACAACCATGATTTTAATTTCTACTGAAGAAAATCATGAAAACATGATATTTATGACTCACAGTTTCAACATATATCAAAATAGCTGCAGCATTGAGATGTTGTTGATCTTGTACGTATGACCGTTTCATAAAACAACCCCCTGATTAGTAGAATTAAAACACCAGTTTACCATAAAGCACAAGATTAATTTAGACTGTGATATGAGCAATTACCTGAATATTTCTTTGCCTTCATTGGGATCCGATCCATCCTATCTCCGTCACCTTTGCTCTGATCTTTCTTGGATATGCCTGCATCATTATCCCATATTCCTTTTCCTGTCTTTACATTGTGAGCTTCTAGAAACTCCTGGAACTTGGGATCATCTTCCAACTGAAGTAAGAAATTGGGAAGAAAAAATAAACATACACTTTCTTTTAATTGGTCTCTAAAAGTATAATTTAAACAGCTTTCAAGGATAATTAGTATACCGGTATATGAAATTCAACAAATACTAAACATGGGATGTTGGGGATCCAATAATACATAAACATGGCAAATATTAAGCTAAAGAATTAATAATAATAATAATATTTAATTTTTATATAGTGCTTAATACAAATTTGTGTAGTAAAAAACAACAACTTTGAAATCCTGTAGATTATCATTCTATATCACAAAGCTCGGACAAGTCTTTCAAATTGCAACATTTCCTCTGGTTGAATACATAGGTTTTCTTTTCAAATACCAACTAATGATAATAGCATTGTTTATGCATGCAAAAGTTACATACACCACAAATCATTAGTCAATGTTCCTATTCGAGGAGGCGAGTTGACTTAGTCAAACCAAAGATAGTGGGTTCGAATCCAAACCAGATGGATGACCGAAGCCTGCGTTGTGTGTTAACATGTATGTTAAAAAGGTAAACACTCCGTCCCTCGAATAAGACATTAAATGGAGGACCCGTGTTGAGGAGTGTCATCACCTTTGCACATTAAGAATCCATTGCACTATTCGTATAAGGGTGGGGAGAAACCCTGGTGTAGTGGTCCACCTGCACACCCCTAATCAGTTATACCGGGAGGAGAGACCCGATGGTTACAGTGATTCGGTTCTCTTTACACCTCCCATAAGGCTGCGACGGGTAGTCGAATGCTCGAGTACCCGCACGGTTGACAACTACTCGGGTACGATTTCTTGTACCCGAATATTCAGCCGCAAAAAAAAAAACAAAAAAAATGTCCAGGCCCACGCTTACCCGTGCCAGGGAGAGCGGCGTCCGCTAGCATGGTACCGTCGGTAAAAAATTTTCCCAACTCAAGCACTGTCAAACTCACCTTTCAGAAACTGGGACCAAATGTCCAGATTTCTGTTTGGACTTGGAGGAAAATGGATTATTCTGCCATCTTTGGTTTTTAAAACAGCATTGTTTACTGTTATTATTCTTATTAAATCGGCGCCTTCAACTGCAACTCAAAGTAAAGTTGCATGTGTTTTCAGCGAGGGACCTGAGAAACTGCAGAGTGGTATGGTAGTGGCAAAAAAAGAAAAAAAAATCCAAAAAAGAAAAAAAAAGAAAAAAAAGAAAAAAAAAAGAAAAAAAAAGAAAAAAAAAGGAAAAAAATTCAAAAAAATTCAAAAAAATTCAAAAAAAATTATAAAAAAACATGGTGTCCAAATATTCGAGTATTCGCCTGTGAGCCTGGGAGTGTACTCGGGTACCTCATTACACTGTTGTGCACAGCACTAACCTCCCAGGTACAGGTGACCCAAGTATCTAATAATAATAACAAGTCTACAGTCATACTTACATCCCCTAGACCTTCTAAGCCTTTCTTCTTTTTCTTCTTCTTGGTCAATGTGTCCTGCAAAGAAAACAACACAAAATTGATATTTGATAGACTTTCACAATAGCGATTATGATGGAAAATGATGAAAAAATTACTACACAAATCTGAAAACAGGGTTATTTCATTTTATCACATCAATATACAACTCTCCTCTATGAAATAACCCCGTTTGCTACCAATACAGTACTAAATTAATAATGTTCCACTGAAAAAAAAATCACATGCTCACAATAAAATGGCCACATTCTTTGACTCTTCATATTTTTAGCTATTTAAAACTATATTCGTAATGCTCATAAACCACAAATTAATGTCTTATAATGTCACTAATTACAAAAATGATGATGAATAAAATCAAGTCACACATCTTCCTTACCTGTGTAGCTGTGGTTTTCTTGTCATCTGTGCTTTCCTTTTCCTCCTTAGCTTTCTGTTTCTTTTGAAAAGCTGAGCTCTTCTCAGAATACTTGCTCCAGGGGCGATCGAGGTTCGCATCACCAAGGTTTTTGGCAAGTTCAACCTTTGTTAGATAATTAGAACAAAAGATAAGTGCAAAGGGAATCATTTCTTTCCTATCGAAGTACACATCATAAATTTGCTTGCATGCACATCAACCATTGTATCAAATCCTTGGTGAAAAGTGGATGTTAAATATCGATTAGATGTAAATACAGGATGAAAATAACAGCTGGAAAGTAGAAATACTTAAAAATTTGTCAGATAATTCAAGCAAAAAACATGTATGTTCTTTTATTTATTCAAAATTGTGTTTGATGATTAATCAACTCTGTTCACTTTGATGTGTATTCCATATGTAGACCTATTGTAATTTGTAGGTTTATTTGAACATCTTAGTTTTGTTTAATATGTAATTGTATATCAGTCTATTTTATGTGTTATAGCGCTTAGAGACTTATTTTAAAAAAATTATTATTATTATTAACAACATGAGAAAACTGAATTTCATCAACTTTTTGTGATTTTCAGGAAGAGTTTCAGGGCTGTTTTGTGACCTTTTTCTTACCTGAATTCTTGATGAATCAACGTAAGATTTGTTAAAGAAGTCCACCGCATTCTGAGCTTCTACTTCTGTCTTGAATCCAATAAAAGCAAACTTTCTGAAGACACCACCTTTAGTGAACTTGAGCTGTATGTCCGTCACATCACCTCTGCTTGCAAATGTGTTTCGAAGCTTCTCCTCCTTTATCTGTGCAGTATTGAGAAGGAAAACAAAATCAATGCAGCATTTTATTTTTAATAGGATCTCATGGGGGGCCTCAAGCAGAAAAAACTTACGCAAGCTGCTGTATTTTGATCAGCAATGTTCATTGAAGATACGTATAAAACACTCAAGAAGTTTGAAATGTGTATCGAGTTTGTACACCACCATGGCCATGCATCAGGAGGAGGATTTCCTGAACTGTGTATGATTGCTTGGCACTGCTACATAGGTCTAGAAGATCTTGCTGCATCTATAGAGAGGGGTCACAACCAATAGTTTGGTCACCCCCCCCCCCCTACCCCACTCACACTATCAAACCAAATACCACCAAACATTATTCCTGCCATGCACCCTCAAGCAGTGGAACGCCCCCTCCCCAGAACATTATGGCTGATGCCATCAACACCCATGTGTGAAGTGTGGGACGGGTGTAATAGCGCAACCAGTGACATATTCATATTTTTTGTATTTACCCTGAACAACATAAGTCGGTTAATTCAACAAGAAAACAAATTACTACAATGTGCCATTTCCACCTCATGTACAAGTGACAGAATAATCAGCTTGTTGAATGGGTCTGCTCATCAGAAAGGGGAAATTAAAAATTAAAAAACAGGAACGAAAAGAATTGATAGGACGCTAGCAGAAGAAAAAGTGTAAGAAAAAAGAGTGCAAGAAGAAGAAGACTCAAGAAGTGGTTTTATAAAGATGTGGATAATCAGGCGTATTGTTAAAACATTTTGAGTGGGGGAGATGACATCCAAATTTTCAGACATTTTTTTTTCTGTTTTAGGGAGTTGGATAATAGACTCTAGGCCTAGACCTATGAAATTGCAGACCCGATATTTTTGCCCCCTCACTTCTCAGCTCAGCTCGGCCTCGCCAAAGCCCAAGGCTTATCTACGCCCCACCTTAGAGTAGCCTTAAGGGCTCTCTCGAAATGTTTTTTTAATGATATTATTCGAGAGAGCCTTAAACGGCTCCCATACCCCTGCACGGAGAGGCATGTAAACAAAACTCAAAAGTGGTCCAAAATCACACTTTCGCGCACCCGACCAATATTGGACAGTGGCTTTGATAAATTTTGTCCGAGTTTTGGTCTTAATTAGCGCTTTAATTTCAAAATCGGATCTAAAAATAACAAAATAAGAGCAATTTTCTTACCAGACCGATACAGCTCAGCTCCCTTTTCACGTGTACCGTGTGAATTCACGATGTCTACACAATGGTGATGACCTCTGACTAGCACTTCGTAAATGTGCTGCTTCCGTATAATGCGCTGAATAACACTCATACAGCGCATTATACGGAAGCAGCACAATTTACCCACAATTACGGAAGTGCCAGTCAGAGGTCATCACCATTGTGTAGACATCGTGAATTCACACGGTACACGTGAAAAGGGAGCTGAGCTGTATCGGTCTGGTAAGAAAATTGCTCTTATTTTGTTATTTTTAGATCCGATTTTGAAATTAAAGCGCTAATTAAGACCAAAACTCGGACAAAATTTATCAAAGCCACTGTCCAATATTGGTCGGGTGCGCGAAAGTGTGATTTTGGACCACTTTTGAGTTTTGTTTACATGCCTCTCCGTGCAGGGGTATGGGAGCCGTTTAAGGCTCTCTCGAATAATATCATTAAAAAAACATTTCGAGAGAGCCCTTAAGGCTACCTTAGAGTTACACAATGACTATCACGACTACGTCACCATTTGAATTGTACCTTAAAGCTCACCGCACACTATAGAAGTCGACTGCGATTTGGCTTTGAAGAAGAAAATTCAAGAAATACTTTACGCAATTGCAAGCGAATTGAAAATCTGGTTTCCCCACTCAAAACTGAACATGTGGGACTGTACTGTCATGTTGCAAGAATTTTACGTTCTATGTCATCATAGTTACAATCGTTTTATCTTTGTTTCATTAAGCTATCGGAGGAATAAAATAATAGTTATAACATGTAAGTAAAATACGAACCTGAGGTGGAAGGTTTTTGACAATTATTCGACTCATGGTGATTCTCAAAGCTCTGCGCACATTGCGTTGTTGATAATACACGTGAGGCTCACAAGATCAGATTAGTAGTCTGCTTCAAAGCCGCTCAATTAGATGTGCAAAAATTAAAGGGCAAAGCAATGAAGATTCCGGAGACGGGTATTAAAAATAAATTGGCACAATTGAATGGCATACACAATGAATAGCATCAAGGAGGTCCTTGGTTTCATACTACAATATCTTTACTTTTTATTTCCTGGACTTGATTAGTCAAAAAGGAAAATAGGAAAGAAAAAAAAAGAACAAAGAAGCTGAAGCTCTTGTTTAGCCACATGAATTTCACATTTCTCTTACCGCCCTACATAGCTGTATGTAACAGGCTCTTCTGTCCCCCCCCCCCCCCCTCCCCCGTCTCTCTCTCTCTATCCTAATTCTCATCTCTCTTTATCTTTTTTTATATTCTTCTTTCCTTCCTCTCTTCTTCTTCATCATTTTCCCTTCCCCTGTATATATATTCGGTACCTGTATATTCCTCCAAAACTTCTCCTCATTCTTAAAAGGGCAAGTCCACCCCAAAAATAACTTACTTTCAATAGAAGCAGAAAAATCAGACAAACCAATCAAAAAAAGTTTGAGCTAAATCGGATAACTAATTAGAAAGTGAGGACATGTCGTCACAAACTGATAACAAAATTGGCAATTTGTGTAGTGATTTCCAGTGTTCATTGGTTTTACCTACTTTTTCAAAAATTCCTAACTTTCTTATTAGTTGTCCGATTTTGCTCAAACCTTTTTTGATTGGTTTGTCTGATTTTTCTGTTTCTATTGCAAGTAAGTTATTTTTGGAGTGGACTTGCCCTTTAATTTTCTCTTCTTATCTCCACTCTCTCTCTCTCTTTTAATGTTTCAGTCATAAAACGCAATTGGCCCAACTTAAATTTGTTGCTGTCAAGCCAACATTGGCCCGCCGGCCACACAGATGTTGGGCCAACGTCATATTGCCATCTGGGCTATCTCTCTCTCTCTCTCTCTCTCTCTCTCTCTCAACCACACCAGGGCCCTGTTGCACAAAACTTACCATTGATGGTAACTTTGCCATCAATGGTATCTACCATGGAAACCTTGATTTTGATTGGCTGTTGAGCCCTGTTACCATAGTAGTTACCATCGATGGCAAAGTTACCATCAATAGTAAGTTTTATGCAACGGGCCCCTGACTAGTTACAGAAGGTAGAATTGAAAAACAAGACAGGAAACAGAGTGTGACGGACATGGCATGATGGCAACTTATCTTTATATTACATATTCACCCTGAACAAATACTCGTCAAAGATTATTTACAACAGTACATCTAAATTGAACTAAATCATCATTAAACTTTCAATTACAATTCAAACAAGACTGTACACAAAAGAACCATTCATCTACTGTCCATATAAGGCTGAGGCGGCATACACCTAGCTGTAACTACATGTAGATGAAATTAAATTAGAGGGAGTGGATTGGGAAAATACATGTATAAATTGTTTACAAACTGTCATCCAGAAGAAAAATTGGCAACAACATTTTGATTACGGTAAGTGATTATTTGGAATCAGAGAGTTCTACAGGAGCGAAACCATGGACCAGGTATATACATACACTACAAGCACTCTAGTAGAAGCAAAGGCAAATAACATTTAAAATAGTTTCTTTTTCTTTTCTTCTTTTCATGCAACATTTGAACCTTGTTTTACAGAACACTGCTATAACAAATTCTTGTAAATTTGCCAGTCCTGCGTATTGTATTTCATTATCTTTTAGCATTAATTTAACATGTTTCAATATAAGTAGCAGGTAATTCATTGGTCCCCAAATCTAAATAATTACTGAATAAAGGTTTCACTATTCTCTGCAACTTGTCACTTTAAATCCAATAATTATGAGAAACGAATTGTCAATTAATAATTATAACAGGTTAAGTTCATCTTATGAAATACATGTACATGGCAATTCCATCAGCTTTCAAAACAAGTAAATACAACATTATCTTACTGAACTTCCTTTCAAGTCAAATCAGTATATCTGCCCTGTATCATCATGCCAGAAATTCATTCACTATTAAGTACATGCATTCTTTCTGTAATTATTTTGCAATATAGCACATTTCAAGCTTTGTGCAGCAGATAGATCCAGATTGTATTCTTCAGCTATGTCATCCTACTATTTGTGATGATTATATTGACTGGATAAATCACGGGTATTCAATAGTGCATCAAGGTTTGTAATTGTGAACAGGTGAACTTCAAATACAAGTTCAAGACTTTAAGATGAACTTTTCATTCTTGAATCGCGATGTTCAGATGATTGGACAGACAATCCTGTAGTTCATCTTAAAATATCAGACTGGCTGAATGACTAAGTTTGTTTGAAGCTAATGAAACTCCCTCTAGATAAAACACCAGATGCTGTCCGACTGATTAAGTTTGTTTGAAACTAATGGAGCTCCTTGAAGTTTTCTCTCACTTGAGAGATTTTTTCTAATTCTGGGACTTCTTCCTGACTGAAGTAGGAAAAAGGGGGATTTGTTTTCCATGTTTTCCCTGATTTCCAGGATAGCAGGAAACCCAGAGAAATCAAGTCTTTACTTTCATAACATTTACATTGAAGTGATTGAACATTTATTTGTGCAGTTGTGGTACATATATAATAAGATTTAACGCCCATTCAGATATAAGCAGTAACTCACTTTAAAAAGAACATTGTGGCTAACCACATGTAATATGGTATAGGAATGAAATAAAATGAAATGAAATGAAATGAAATATGGATAATGCACTTAAAATCTACTGTACAACACGCTGATCAGTGAGTGAGTATGTGAACAGGCTATTGATGCCCCTTCTATGTATTTAATTACATCCTGCCATTCTTCATTTACACACAACACAGACACAGTAACGTTTGTTTAATATTTGAGGTGATTTAGCAAGCCAAGTGTGAAGGGAGCTTCATACTTCATTATGTACAGCAAGACATGGTTAATTACTGAGCCAACCAAGATTGATTTCGAACAATATGCTTAACACTGGCTGGAAGATAAAAGGAGCTCCCTTGAAGAAAAAAAGAGCACATTATTGTTTAACAGTTTGTTTGGCAATTTCATTCTGTTATTCGGCAAGTTCATAAACTGGTAGAAACAGAGCATATGACTGACAAGATCAGGAAAATGTTTCAATTGTCTATTGATTTGGATAAGAACTGTAACATTTATGATATTTAGGGAAATATTGTACCTTAATTTAATTGGAATTTGATTCATACCATGGTATAGAAAACCTGAAGAGCTTGAAAATTGAAATCATATCATCAAAACCAGAGTACCGGTACTAATTTTTTTAAAGGAATTATTATTTATGAAACTGTTCCCACCAATAATCATTTTGCTTCACATCACCCAACTGACTGATTCAATTCTTCAAAATGTATTTAAAAAAAAGTAAAGTATTACCTCTACATGTAATCATAAATTGGTGATGAACGGATCATGACAAACACCTGTGAGATCAACTTTAAGCAAAAAATATTCTTCAACACTGGCAAAAAATAAATCTAACACATTTCATTTCTATGCCAAGCTTGCGTTCTTTCCTCTAGAGGAGATTGAGATTCAGGCACATGTTTCCCTGCAGTAGCACAAAACTATCTTTGATGGATCCTCTTCAGTCATGAAACAATGGCAAGTGAAACATCACTGCCAGAGACAATTCTGAATACTCTGTTATTGCAATACTGAAAGTGAATTATCGTATTCCATTTCCTCTGCTTCTCAGCAGCAATAATTCTACTCATCATAGAATGTCAATGAGCTCCCATGTCTGTTGACACAGAGAGTTCAAAGATGGAGTTGAAATGTCATCTTGGAAATAATAATGTCTGAAGCTCATAACACCAGCCAGGGATGTGACTGGATAGTGTCCTTGTTCCTGTCTCCGTAATCATAGAGCAGCTCCTCGTTGACGGCGATGTCTCGCTTGGCGACCAGTATGAGGTGGGGGCGCCCTCCAATGTCCACTAGTTTCGTGCAGCAGTTTCCTTGGCGACTGTGATTGAGAAGCCTCCCCACACGACCAGATTCCTGTGTGGCATCCACACTGTGTACAATGAGATCAACAGCACAATGAAATACAAGATCAATGTTAGGAGAGTCTAAGAATTGTAGCTCTGTTCTATGTTCTCAGTTAAAACAAGACAGCAATCAAGATAAATTTAACTTAGTCTCCCAGATGCTGTTCCTTATTTTGCACTTCATATTTGGACCAATAGAGCCCAAAGCATAATTAGTTTATCTTTGAAAGCATTTACTGAAATAAGTCTTGATTAAAAGCCATAAACCATTTCTCAATTACATCAATTACGAGTAAACAGAATTTACAAAACCCTGTGACTTTAGGACTTTGGTTGTTTGACCTATATATTATTCAGTTTAGCTTTGAAGAGAGGCTTGCCCTGGGGTTGGCTGAAATCCTTTCATCATTGTTTTTAAAGCTAATAAGGTACACGTTCAAAGAATTTTCAACATTGTGACTTTTTGCTCTAGTTTGTTTGACCCCCACATCTATTCAGTTTATTTGTTAATGAGGAATCTTTACGTTCTAAAAACTCTAGATTTCTTGTTCTTCCTAAGCTCAATACTAAGTGGGGGGGGGGGGGGGGGGAGGTAGAACCTTTGCTCATGCAGGGCCTTCACTGTGGAAAGCTCTCCCTGAAGAGACTCATCATAGTAGATCAACGTTTAAAAATGATTGTAAAACCTAACAGTACTGTTTAATTTTGCATATAATTATTTGTTCTTTCATCTGTGTATGTTCCTTCTTCCATCTGTTCCTTGCTTTATAATGCAGATGCTTTTATCACATGATCCCTTTTCTCTTTTTTTCAAAATGTGTGCATTGAGCATTTGCTTTCAAGTGGATTCGACTCGTGTGGCCTTACTAATCTCATATGGTATTATTATTATTATTATTATTATTAAAATGGCAAAGTCTTCATGTGCATGCCTGAAATATAAATCGATACTGACTAACCAATAGCTCTTGTTCCTGTGTTCAAAGTAGTACATGTAGCAGCCAATCTTTGGATCAGCCCTGTATTTCTGCTCTCTCTCCTTGGACAATTGAATGTCGATGAGTTCTCCGCAGTACTCCACCACAAAGTCACCTCTTCTGAATGGTTTGGTAGATACAACCCCTCTGCCCTTACCAATGATCTCTTCAACCTGCGAAGAGTAATAAGAATGAGGTCTTAAATAGTCTGTTGGTATCAGGGACTCACAGAGCTGAAAAGCACCTTACTGAGAATATATGTGTATAAAAAAATGGATGTCCTGGGGGCCAACCAATTATGAGTGGTAGTGGTGGTGCGGGGTGACATCACACTTAACAAGAAAAAACAAACATTTTCTTTGGATATAGACGATAGACTTCCTTACCTTGACACCTTCCTCTCTGTTAGATAAGATAGCGTCTTCAAGTTCCCATTTCCTCTCAGCCTGTAGAATCATGACAACAATACAAAGCCAACATTGAAGCCCGGAATAACAATGTTTAATATTTCTCGGATTAATGTTGATAAATAGCAACTTTTTCTTTTTATCAGAACAATTAATTTCAGCTCTGTACACCAGTGCTGTAAGGAGCAAATGAGAGTTTATGAATCAAATTATTTATTGTAATGTAGATTAGATTATGTATTCCATGCCTTCTGTGTGCAGAGGCATAACAACTGACAATTAACCTTAAAAAGTCCCTGCCCGCCCCCCCCCCCCTCACTCAGTGTTATTTAGGGAACGCATATGCCTGTTCCCAGCACCACCCCCCCCCCCTTTTCTGAATAAGTCCGGTGTGTAAAGTTAATACAGGTAGATTTTTTTCTTTTGTTATACAAGCCTTTTCAGCACCCCCCCCCCCCTTTCAGCATAAGTCTGGTGTGTAAAGTCAATACGGAAAGATCTTTTTCTTTGTTAATTACGAGCCAGAGATTTTGGGAACACGCATGCGGTCCCTCCGTTCCCGGAGTTGGGGTGCCGGGAAAAAGTCATTCATTTTGACACCATAGAAGTTAATTTACGTAACACACTTCCCATACTTACATCGACTACTGATTTACATCGTCTGTCACTCCTCCTCACTGGGAAGAAATCAGTGATTGTCTTCATCGATGGCTCTTTTTTTATTCTTTGTAGAGATGAAATGAAGACAAGACAATGGTAGAATAATGGTACATAGTAGGTGAGTTTAAAAGCAATGACACAAGATATTACTACAGAACAGCTCACTTAGACTAGTTTACGTATTTTAGGTTGATCAATTGCTCCACATTATTACAATTATTCTTATCATTAATTCTTCCTTTTTTCCTGCCACTGCTGACCCCCAGCCAGTATTCTTTGGACTGGCTTTAACCTCAAGGTGACCATTGAGTGACCAAGAGGCAACAACATTCATAGGAGTAAACATTATGAGACCCTTATGTGTGCATCTTGTGAGCTGTGAACAATTGTTTAGAGAAGTAGACTTTGGAACAATCATAAAAATCAAAATCATCAACATGTGCTGTCACAACAATATGGTTTTAACAGTATACAAGTAAGCTTCATGCCCTCATAAACGATTTGAACAATCATTTATGAAGTCATTCATATATCAATCTCAACTGACTTTGGTTTAGATGCACTTCTTCCACTATTGTTGGCATTGACTGATGAATTTCCTTTCTTCCTGCCACGACCCCGGCCAGTATTCTTTGGACTTGCTTCAACCTCAAGCTGACCATTGAGTGACCGTGAGTCACCAGCACTCTTTGGAGTCTTTACCATTCGACGGCCTCTGCCTAGCCGCATAGAGTGTCTGGTGGGTGTATCTACATGTATAAAGGGAAATAGAAGTTAGATTTCAAGCGAGGGAAGCTGTTTTTGGAAAGGAGTTGTGGTCTGCAAGAAACATCAGAAACTATTTCATAAAATCCTCTCAAAATCCAATGGCAAAATCAGTAATGGCCATCGAGGACAAGGCACCAAAAATGCTTATAGGACGCATGATAGCTCAGTCGGTAGAGCAGTGGTCTCGTAATCCGGTAAGGCAATACGCTAGTATCCTTTGGTAAGGCGTTAATCCTCATTACCAGATCCCTAAGAGAGGACCTAAAGCCATCGGTCTTCTGGTTGCTTACTAACAAGCTTTTATTGCTTTCTTAGCTGTCAGGTAAAATAACCACCACTATTTGAAACAATATACAGTGTGAGTCAAAAAAAAGTTTACACCTAGAAAATTGCTAATTATTTAAAAAATCATTGATGAACATTAAACTTTTATATGTATTATGAAAATGTGTTTTATCCCAAATCATTTGGTACCATTTTTGTGTGGTATGTGTACACGCTTGGATGAACAGGAGACATTGTTTGCGAGAGTGCAAAAATCGACTTGCGCCAAAGTTGCCTATGTGATGTTTGAATAAAACAATTGGGGTTTGGGTATTAATTCGGTCTTTGCAGATCCAAATGACACCCCTAACAAAATTAATCATGCCACACATATCAAATATCGAATATCAAATATCTACGAACATTTGTGCGCGTGTGTGTGGGTGTGTGTGACTTTGCCCTTTGCAAAAAACATATGTAATGTATTTCATTTGATACATTCAATCCATTCTCTCACTCCGCTTATCCCAACATCATACTGTAGGCATCACTTTGGCGCAAGTCGATTTTTGCACTCTCGCAAACAATGCCATCTGTTCATCCAAGCGTGAACACATACCACACAAAAATGGTACTAAATGATTTGGGATAAAACACTCTTTCATAACATGTATAATAATTTACTGTTTATTGATGATTTTAAAAATAATTAGCAATTTTCTAGGTGTAAACTTTTTTTTGACTCACACGGTACAGCCACTTCAAAGCAGACCAAAATAACTAAACACAGTGTGATTCAGAAATTTAGAATTGATAATTGTTTAGGTGATAATCTGAACTTGGGCATAAGATTTCATCATCTTCAAATAAACAATTTACAAATGATATATAAAGGGCTATTAAATCTCACAAAGAGAAATCTAAACGACAAAATATTTTGCTGATCCAATCTGTTAGTGTTGGTGTTACACTCAAACACAGTACACCATTCTTTGCAAAGTACATTAAATTTGTTTGAATAAAACAGGCTGTAAATTATTAGTAAAAACGAACAAGATAATCTGCATCTTTTAAATCGTCTGTTTGCATGGACCCATATGGACAATAAACTCATATTCATTAACATGGAGTTGACAACTTTTTGTGCCTGTACCACAGATGAAATCATCTTACCGATCACTGCACTAGCATTGCCAGCAGATTGCACATCTCTCTCTTTCTTGACCTTGACCCTCACAGAATCTCCTGCTCCTCCTCCTTGAGTGGAGGCATCCCCAGCTCCAGCTGCTCCCTCTATGGCTCCTGCAGGGGAATCAGGGTCCAGCGGGTAGACAAGTGTTGCATCTGGAGACGGGGAGTCTTCCTCCCGGCCAGGGACAGGATTGGGTGTCTTGGGAGGGGTACTCTCAGGGGTGACGATGCCCGATAGGAGGTCTGCAGCACCAGGAGAAAGAACAAAGAGAGCGACAAATAATTCAGTTCATTACGGAGTGTTTCACAAAACTTGTCATCAGTGACAAGTGACAATTTTTGTTATAAGCTACTAAAATCCTTGCTTCTGATTGCTTATCAGTCGATTTGTCACTAATTTTTGTAATTTGTCATTGCAAAAAGGCTTTGTGAAACGGGTCCCTGGTAACCACTTCTGTTCAACACACAATCTTAATAAAGCAACTTTCATTAGTCACATTTTCATTTTATCAATTATTCATTTGGGGCTCCAATATTTTCTCTGGGACCAACCTTAATGATATCCATTTATCAGTTCATCACTATTTTAATCACAAAGGTGACTCCCATTGGAAAAAGGCTTGACTGGAAACTGGAGAGATTGTTTTCCAGGCTATGTAATCTAATGGGAGACATTTTGAGATTTTTTTTTTTTAATGGCTGGCAACTTTTTATTAGGATTACCATCCAATGAATGTTGGATTCTGTTCCCTATCAATGGTAACAAAGAATCATTTTATCAAGAAGGCACACTATACATGTACATGTATTGATGTCTCATAACAATAATAATATTTAATTGTAATCCTCACCATTTTTTGTTGAAGAAGATGTAGCTTTCTCATGTACAATCATTGTAGTAGAAGCTCCTGAATTGGCTGCCGGAGGACTGGGCACAGAGTCCAAATATTTAGTGATCTTCTGAGAACCATGCTGGGGTGATGATGTACTCGCCTACATACAAATAACAATATAAAAAACAGTACATTAATGTTATAAATTTGCTACTACACCTGGGGGGCGTTTCACAAAACTTGTCATCAGCGACAAATGACAGTTTTTGTTATAAGCTACTGAAATCCTTGCTTCTGATTGGTCATCAACAGATTTGTCACTGATTTTTGTCATTGAAAAAGGGTTTGTGAAATGGGTCCCAGTTCATAAATGACAATGCAATCCACCTCAAATTAACAAGCAGGCAACATGAATTAGCATAAAGTGCATTTCACATTTTTGTTTCTTATGACACACGGATAAGGAGGTATACCTAGGGATATTTGTTTTGAGAACTTACTTTTCTGCCTCCATTTGCCATTTATTCAGAGTTACTGTTATTCAAACAAGAACTACATTAGAGAGAATTTCAAAGAAACAATCTACACTATGAGACCATCTCAATGCCTACAAAAATATCACAAGGGGGTTGAGACTTTGAGTGCATTAATATTCAGTAGAATAATTTCAATTCTCACACTGAATGCCTACAAGTCATTCAAGCAAAGAAAACCATCCTCTGAGGTTGTCTCTGTGCGTGGTAACACATTTTGATTTCCTATGTTGGATGGTAATACAAATCAGGCTATATAAATTAACTAAAATTTGAATGTACATGTACGATGCAAAGTCAAAGACTTATCCTTGTTTTAAAGATAGATCCACAAAAATAGTGTAAAAGAATAGATTTCAAGTCATTTTGCCACCACAGACATTGTTGTTTTTCATAACAATGTAAACAGACCAAAACGTAGGATTTTCATAGGATTATGAAGACGTTACAGAAATGGATTCAATAAGAAATGAAGTCTTGTTGAACTTGTGATTGACTTTCACATGCTTTACACAAAATCTAAACCTTGAACTTCAACCATCAATGCAGTTAACTATAAAACATACAGCTGAATGTTATTTTGCCATACAGTGTATGTTGGCTGTTTGTATGTTTCTGTTTCAGTTGCGTCGGTATACTCAGGGTTAACTGTACTTCACCAACGTTTTTATTATTATGGTCATGGATCTGCTATGGAAGGAGAGGTATGTTGTATGTTGGCTTTTTTACTTACAGGATCAATATTACGCTTGGATTTCCCCGGATGCTTACGACCTCCACCTTGAGGAGTACAAAAGGAAGCAAATTTGTTACATTTGATATATATAATACATGTTAAATTATATATTCTTTACATACTTTTCATATTTCATAGACTATATTTTAGTACATATTGTAAGGGCATGATGGGGGGTTGCAGGCGAGCGCGCCCCTGTGTGAAGTTATCTACAGTAATGATCATGAGGATCTGAGACATTACGGTAGATAACTTCACGCGCCGCGCGCCCGCCCGCAACCCACCATCGGTTTGCACTTGTATTGTGCAGCGGTTTGCCGTGAAACCTGTGAAAAAGTGTTTGCTAATATCATTATCAATGTTTTTCCGAAAAATACTCCAAAAATAACAAGAAAATTGACACGAAACTGGTAATAAACATAACAAATTTTAACTCATGATCGTTATTTAAACATTTGATGAATATTTACTTCATTTTGGGTATGTTTTAGTGGGGTATCTCCACGCCGGAGTTACTTATGCAGTTACAGGTCAAATTTTGGATAGGATCATACATCATTCATAGCAGGCTTCTGAACTAGACCGAATTTTCCGTCTCTTTCGTTCGTTAGCCTCTTATTGGGGTAGGGTCGGCTCTCTCTTTAGAGACGGAAACCGTCTATACACATTCCCTTGATAACGCCACGGCCATTTCAGGTCGTAGCGTTTTGCCCCCAAAATCCCCCAAAATGTCATTTTACCTCATGCATTGATTATTCAAAATTAGGAGAAGGTTATACTACATCGGTTCCACTTACCAACTTGACTGAAATAATCCGTTTAATGGTCCCTTTTAAGGAAATTATGGGTCAAAATAGACATCCATGTTGAAATCTTGGAAGCCGTGTTAAACTCTCGCTGCGCACGGAGTCATCTAAATCAATCTCATCCCTTCTAGTCTACGCCGAAGGCAAAAATGATTATGAAGGAAAAAACTGTGCGCCATCTACACGTTCGTAATGGCGTTATCACAGTTTTTCCTTCATAATCGTTTTGCCTTCGGCTTAGACTAGAAGGGATGAGATTGATTTAGATGACTCCGTGCGCAGCGAGAGTTTAACACGGCTTCCAAGATTTCAACATGGATGTCGATTTTGACCCATAATTTCCTTAAAAGGGACCATTAAACGGATTATTTCAGTCAAGTTGGTAAGTGGAACCGATGTAGTATAACTTTCTCCTAATTTTAAATAATCAATGCATGAGGTAAAATGACATTTTGGGGGCAAAACGCTACGACCTGAAATGGCCGTGGCGTTATCAAGGGAATGTGTATAGACGGTTTCCGTCTCTAAAGAGAGAGCCGACCCTACCCCAATAAGAGGCTAACGAACGAAAGAGACGGAAAATTCGGTCTAGCTTCTGAACTAGCGCAAGTAAAGTTCAAGGGTCTACGCGACGTGCTTTATTTCATAGCTGCTAGCTGCTGATTAGAAACACATTATCTAATAGATCTAGGTCTAGGCCTAGACTAGTCCAATTATGATTCATAATTATGTCCCAAGTCGTGACACAAACGTTACCAACTCCAAGGAGCTCCGACCCCGAAGGCTACGCGTCCGCGTCCGACGCCTTCAGCATCGGCGTCGGAGCTCTCTGGAGTTAAAACGTTACATGTATCTAAACGTGTGGGACTGAAATAAAGCTCTCGGCCACAGTCCTTCATGAGCGCCAACAACAATGCTTCAAAGTTTCCATATAAATGTACCATCAACAGTTTCACTCATCATATAAGTAAGGTAATAATATTCTTCTCACGTTTTCCCATGGTTGAGCTTATATCGCAATGCAATATAAAGGATGTGACACCAATGAATATACCCGTAGTTTGTCTCACAAAGAGGGGCACGTAAAATTCAAAGTTAAATGGACCGATTTAGCTTTGCGATTGGTCAATATTGTTAGCCTCTTCCAAGGCGTGTTTGGTCCATTTATTCTTGAGCCACTATGATATGGTTATACTGTAGATGAATTCCGATCAAATGAAAAGCCTTACATTAAAAGTTTATTAGGTACGTATTTATCGTAATAACATTTGATGAAAGCAATGTGGGGGGGGGGGGGGGGGGGTATTTATTGAAATTATACATAGGCCTACTACGTATACTATATATAGGGGGTCATGATTCAGGCCCCCATAGAAGACCACTACTTGTTGGTGAATGGGCTACCCTGACAAAAGATTAGAAAGAAATAAATAAATCAATCTTGGAGTTGGACCCTTGATTTTTTTTTTTCAACTGAAAGGAAAGAGTGGGGGGGGGGGTCAAATTTAGAGAAATTAATCATAGACAAACACACACAAATCTTGCATCGGTGTCCTTTTCTCTCTCTCTCTCTCTCTCTCTCTCTTTTTTTTTTGGGGGGGGGGGTCGTGGGGGGGGGCATACGCCCTCGTAATAAATAGGCTAATGGCGATGACACAACAAAGGCAAGTAAATACAAAGATGGCGTATGAAAAGACAACGTCATTTTTATCAAGGACATCGAAGAAATAGCTAGATGTACGTAAACAATAAGAAGACATTTGAGTTAAGGAGGCCTAATTGTGGGGTTTCCATTTCTTTTTTGTAAAAAAAACTAAGCCATTCTTTGACTTTTAAGTTCTATAAGACGCGATCATAACTACTTTTGAAAAAATCAGATCAGATTCATTTTCAATATGCATGGTATATTCCTGAAATCATTTTGTCATTATGTAATACGTCTTTGTTAATGGTCGCGCACACAAAGGTGACGTACATGTACATGTAGACTGCTTAAAGGTTGAATTTGTTCGAAAGTAGTTGCGATTGTACGTGTCACATGTACAAACTGAACATTACTTTCAGTACGGTACTATAATTTTACATGTAGGCCTATGTAGAACCTACAAACCAACGTTATAACAGGTCGAATAAATAAACACAGATCCTGGGGTAAGAGGAATCCCCCCCCCCCCTCGGCCTAATTTCCTTTTTTTCCCTCCAATCCGTGACAAAGTTCCTTCCCACCCCCCCCCCCCCCCCCCCCACCAACAATCCCTCTTTATGACAGTGAAAAATCGTTTACAATCTCCATTAGGTATATTGCACACTTCATTTTAAGAATGATCATTTCAACTGCAATGTAAAGTTTGCAGATCTTTTTTTGTTTGTTATCAACTTGTGGATCGAGGAGAAAGGGAACACAATGTTCACATTCCCATTTGAGAAGAAATAAAATTTCATGAAAACTCTCATTTCTCGTGGTAAAAGATGTAAAGATCTAGAATCACACTTTCCATTTTCAGCCTCGAGAAAGAAGGCTGGATTCCCCCAAAACGCAAGAGTATTTTCCGGAACGTTTTCCTCTCCCAATATTTCGGCCAACACAATTAAATCAAATTTATATTCATCATGATTACAAATAAAAAAAAAGTTCTTGGAAAACGTTAACAAAGACAGGACAATTATACTTAGTAAACCTGTATGTTTAAAACCTACCAGCTTCTACACAAATCAAATTCAGTTGACCATGAGGCATTCCAATTTTTAAAATAATTTTCCCCAATAACCACATAAAAAGTAATGATGATTTCTTATCCCAAAATGAAAAATCCTGTTGATTTTTCCATTCAATCATAATTATATTTATACAATAATAATAATCATAGACTGACAGAACACTCCATAGCGCATTGTAGAGAAAAATCAAGGTGATAAATAAATAATTATTTAAAGATATTTTCATATTGATTACTAGTTTAACGATGCATTAATGCATAACTGCAAGAATATACAACAATAAACAGTACGCCATCATTTCATAATTGTTTAGTGTAGTACTCTGTACGACGCAGAGAAAAAATTAAAGCTTTCAGTGCACATCTGGCAATCTTAAATATACATGTGCAAATCGACGTATTGCTGCAATACAATCTGTCTTAAAATCTATGATTTTATTCGCAATCATCAAAATTAGTTATATTTTACATATTGCATAACCATTCACTAGCCAAGACATGTTTGACACCGTCTGAGCAATTTGTTATTACATCAAATTTAATCAAATCCTTCGCTATACCATCTAATAACCAGATCTACTGGGAAAATCCAATCCAAAAGATATTTGATATAGCGCCTTTTCCTTGCAATAATATAGTCTGTTTGTTTTCTGGTTAACATCTGCTTGTTGCTTACCTCAATTTCATGAACTAGCTGATTGTATTCAATACATGTATTATGCCAGTGTGTTCTGCTGTGCCAAAGTACTAGAAATATAACTATTCCCACAGATGAGCATCTTGTATAATAGGGCAACCAGAACGTGTCTAACTTTGTCTTTATCTTTTTTTATCCTCATCATCCTCATAGTCGCCTTTTTGTTGCCTTCGTTACATGTTTATATTGAGATAGCCAAGCGCACTCAGCAATGATTGAGGAAACTAACAACAAAACTTAATATTTAAATAACTACCATATCCTCAATCTCAGACTACTTGAATGGATAGTTATTTGAATGTCATGATTCAAAATGCATAAAACTACACAATATACACCATTTTGAAAACAAAAATCAACTGAATGTACTAAATAATAGAAAGTCGAATTATGTACAAAACTATATACAACTGTTATAGAGGTGGATCATGTTCTTTATGTACGATGCAGAAGATAACATGCTTTTTTAAATTTTTTATATTCCATTCTTTCTTTATATCGTATGTTGTCGCAGCTCAGTCACACAAACAAGACCAATACCAAAACAACTACAGATCAATAAAAATTTGCAATTACATTATTTTCAATGGCCCCAAAAAAGGTCAGTTTGTCGGTGTCACCGAATTCAGTGCCCCCGCGTATGACAGATACGATTGCATACAATTTAATGACTTTTTCTTTATTCATTGACCCAACATTACAATTCATTAATCGGTTTTTAATTATTTTTCTTTGACATCGATATTAGATACTAGATTTTTAATATGTCAATGTCCGGATACGGGACTGTTGAACTCTCTACGACAGCTAGTCAAAGGTTTAGTCTGGTATTTTATGAAATCCGTGCCCTTTCATCTCTATTAGCTTCATGAGTCGTTCTTTGAGATGCTCTCTTTTCCTGTACATCGGGAGATGAAGCACGATGAAACCATGACATGTATTCACTTCAGGGCACATGTCCTTTGGGGGTTTCCCCTTACAATCTTTGTCTCCTCCCATGGGCCACATCCTAGGTCTAACCTCCTGGATTCCACCAATCGGGACATGGTCAGCACCCGTCATGACTCCTGAAAAAAAAACATTTGCATAGAAGATGAATAATCGGTAATTGTCCATTTTTTTTTATTAAGGCTCATAAATCAGAAAGTTTCTTACTCTGAAGGTTGACAATTCGGAAGGTTCGTATTTCGGAAAATGAAATAGGGCTCATAATTTCCATGAATTTAAACGTTTCTAATTCCGAAAATGACATAGAACCTTGTATAATTTGTTAAGAATTATGAACTTTCGGAGAATGAACCCTATTTGGTATGGGAATTTTTTTCTTCTGCTGAATTTCAAACCTTTTATTACTTTTGGAAAAAAGGGTGCCTTCCGACATAATCAAAGGTAGTTGGTGGATCATGAAAGCAATGTGCCCTGAAACATGCAGAGCGAAAGACATGACTAGATTATTATCATCTTGTCACAGTGACACTATCAGTGTCTTGAAAGTAACACCATGCACGTCAAAACAGGATTGTCATGTCAAAATGTCAAAATGACAAAAAAGATGCCAAAGCAGCACAATATTTGTCTTGTCACAGTATGTTTTAAAAGGGATTATCAATGTCATACGTTCAAACACGACGAAGTGACTGGTCGTCTTTATATTGTCTAATTTTCATACAGCACTGTGCTATAGGTACGTCTATTTATATACAGTTAGGCCTTTGTCGGTCAACGATCACCAGTGAAGATTTGACTTACTCAGAAAGTCTCTTTTGTCATCCTCAGTGAGATCACCATGGAACACTGACCAAAACATCTTGACCACGCGATGGTTTGCTGTGTAGCCTTTCTCATCATAACCAAAGCTCTGTGCAGAGAAGAGCAAATTAAAACATGAAAATGAACAACAGCAACAACAAAGAAAAGATAACTGATTTGTGCCACAAAAAATAAACCCAATATCAAATTTATTTCTCAAGAAACAAATTTAAAGGATACAGCGTGTATTATCTTTGTTTTAACTTCTTTAAATAAATTATCTTCTATTAAATCTAAAAGCACCTACTAACTTTGCATTATGTAAAAAAAAAAATTCGCGATATTTTGTTTATTTTCTGCAACCATGTTGTCCGAAGTAGATTCATTTTCTACGTTTGTGATTTTTCTTGTTAGTGCGTTAATTAGAGAACTTTTTTCTTTAATGTTAAAGAAGAGGAGCTCACTTTTTGAAAGGCCTTCCAATCATATTCCCCTCCTTGGAATAATGAAATCAGCTCTTGTGGTGTGAAACGTTGGTGAAGACCGAAACAACCGAACATGCTCCGAAAACTCTTACTGAATACCTTGAACTGGGAGGATGCTGTGTAGTGCCTGGCGTAAAGCTCAATATACTCTCGACTGGAATTCGTAAAATAAAAGAAAGAATTTCATTGAAAGCCAACCAGACTTCACGATTCACTTCATTTTCAGGTTTTGGTTGGAAACTAGGGTAAAGATAACGCATTCTTTATTAATAAGCATCTCTTTTATTTTTCAAAATTACTTCTCGGGATACCATAACAATATAGGGGTGGAAATCTCGAAATCGAGTGCCTAATTTAATACAAGAAAGGCACTTTTTAACTGTTAAAATTAAAGCTATAAACTCCAAATGGTAAGTGACATTTGTTTTGAAATGATGTTTTGCGTTAGTATGAAATCTATTATCTAATAATTCTAGAACTAGTATTCAGAAAGGAATTTAATGTAGATAATTTGTCATAAACAATGTAGGGATGTTTTCGTAATTACATTCCAAGACAAAGTGACCACAATGCATCTACTTCCTCGACCACATCGACCACATGTCCAATGTAGAAGTTTTAAAACACACAACGGTATAAATCTTTCTGACTGGATCGTACTATACTTACACATTTGCAGTGGTCACGACCTCGTCTTTCCCTCCTGGTTTAAGTTCGATCTCCGGTTCGTTCACCGGTCCATCCACTGTAAATCTGTAGTCGGAAAGGTCATCGTCACTCGCCTCTAGCAATGTTTCCATGCCCTTCGCCATCCCGGGATCTAGCAGTTTCAGATCTTCCAAACTGGATGGGCTGAATATTGTTAAAATAGAGTCGTATTATTCCTCTAGTCACCTGTTGCAACCAGCTACAGTTAATAACTAAATTATTCATACCCTTACCAATTTCTTAAATTGTTTAAATAAAACAATTGATTTCTCCCAATTTATGTTTCTTAGGAATGTGACATTAAAGCTTACATCTAAAATTATTCAACAAAGGCCCTAATTGAACCAGTCCACCTTTCATTCTTGAGTTACGAAAAACAAAACAAAAACATTGAAATGCATACGAGATGGATAACTCTCTCTCTCTCTTTCACACACTCTCTCTCTCTCTCTCTCTCTCTCTCTATGTTTCTCTCTCTCTCTCTCTCTCTTTCTCTCTATCTTTCTTTCTCTCTCTCTATCTCTCTTTCGCGTCCACCTCTCTCTCTCCCCCTTCTCTATTTATTAGCTAGCTCTTACATTCAATGTATTCCAGATATGTAATCATTCTTTGGACTGTCGATCACAAGGTCCGCGGTTCGAATCCCGTCGCGGCACTAATGTCCTTTGGCAAGACATTGATCTACATTTGCCACATTCCACCCAGGTGAAGTAAATAGAGACATGTAGGAAGGAATTCCTTGAATGCTGTGAGCACCGAAATCGGTAGCCTAGCAGAGCCGGGGTAATATTGGAGCGTTTTGAGCACCTTGCAGGGTGGATATGTGCGCTATATAAATATCCAATATTATTATTATTATTATTGTTATTATTATTATTATCCAAGAGCTTGTGGAATTTGACAACGAGCTATCTGTCCAACAAACTCGGTATACAACTCGTAAGGTAATCGGAGAAACAAGTCGGGAAAGCCCGATCTCGCGTTAGTTCGCGAGGACTTACAATTATTTTGAAATGTTTTAAACAAAATGAAAATGTATCAATGAGCTCTCGAGTTCGAAATACAAATGAAAATGGTACGAATTGGGAACAAAATTTGCAAAAGAATGAAGGACTTTGTACCCCCTGGCCCCCAAATATTAGAGACACGTAACTTCCTTGCCTTTCTTCGATTCCAATATTTCCAAGCAGTTTCTTGTAGAAAAGAAATGGAAACGGCATTGTGACGATGACCTTATTGTAGAACATCAGAGCGAACAGCTTCCCGACTGCTCGCAATTTGTCCAGGTCCTTAGAATCCTATGATAAGTTTTAAATACAGAAGAATACAAACTTTAATTGCACGGTGTTTTGATCCGAATGAAAGGTGCACACTATTTCCAAATTGACAAGGCATATTTTTTCTTGGCCAACAAATATTATGTATATGGGGGGTGCAAAATATTGGTTAGTACTCATGGTAATAAAGGTTGTAACTTTCTGGTTATAAAGTCAAGACTTTGATCCCGTTGGGACACTAGCTTGCCTGCCTGAGTCTCGAACCCACTCACTGAAAACTGGGCCACAGGTCTTAATTACTCATGGTCGAGTAATCAGATTAGAAACCAATAAATTCATGAACAGACGACAATGTCGATAGATTTTCGAAAGTAACTCTGGGGGTGGGCAAGGAGGGCTTTTATATTCGGGGGGGGGGGTAAAAAAAAAGGCACTATTAGTGCATTGACATTGAAGATTAAATCAAGCAAAACATTTAATTTACATGTGGAAGTTTCTATACAGAAAACGTACTTTAAAGAGAGATATTTAGAGGGAGGAGGGGGGGGGGGGGGCAAATACTATTGTGTTCCCCTGCCAACCACCCATTGACGCCAGTAATAGCTATAATCAACTTACATTAACAATATATTGAGATTAGTAATAATGGGTAATCTAACTTCTGAGATGGAAATTTGATTTCGATAATGACCTTGTTAAACCACAATGTCGTACACGAAGGAGAATCATCGAGTTTCTTGAAGATGGAATGCTTCTCGACATTGAAGAGCTCTTCGAACAGTCGGGAAAAGAATTCCTTTACGAGAAATATAAAGGGAAATACACGTTTCAAACAAAACGAAACAAAACAAAGTAAAACAAAACCCAAATGCACAAACAGAATCAAAGATCTGAAACAACTAATAATCAATACTGGTTTTCTTAAATTTAAAAATTACGGTCCAGTATAGATTACAATATCGAAATTGAAATATCTTATTGTTAATTCAGGTTCTCCATTTCGAATCTTATATAGAAAAAGCAATATAACACACGTACAACGAATATGAAATTACCAAGAGGGGTTCGGCAGAAGTTGTATCAAGCCTTGTTAAGTCTTATCATTTCCGAGGAAACCGGTTACAGAGCGGCTTGTAATTCTTTTGACCATCATAGTGTATAATATTATCCGGCTTTAGTAAATAATTGAGGCATTTTCAGCGTTGTTTTCTTCTCCAACGGCCTCAAAAACTTTGGCATAAGTCATTGAAATTAAGCATGTCTGCATTTTCTCTTTGAAGATAAAGTTATGTTTACACGATCGCAAATATTTTCGAAAAGTAACTCTAGGTCAATTTCGATACCCTATTGCATGTCCAATATCAATAATGTTCAGATTACGTAATAATTGTCCTGTTTACACATTTAGATAGACGACGCACAAAGCTATTGAAAGTGCCTTCGGTTGATGTTTCGAAAGTAGTTGCCATAGTGTGAAATGGTGTTCATATTTACCTTCATGGGGCCACCAGCATTTACACCCAAAGATATGTTATCCTTGAAATAGACTTCGAACGGGAGCAAGAGAGACGTTTCATCTTTACCTTTAACCTTCGAGATAGCTGATTCAACAACCTTCTCTTTGTCGTCGTCAATTTCGAATTGAAGGTGTCCTATTTTCAGGTTTAATGCAGCTGTGATTATTACCAACATAATCCTTGATCCTATTCCGAAAGCTTCCTCGAATTTCAGTCGAATATCGTCCAATGTCCTATTGAAGTGAAGCTATATGATATCACGGGTAAAACAGAATTTGAAACGAAGTAAGCTTCCCAGCCTTGTACTGTCAATAATAATGGTAATGATAAATAACAGGTATTCTGTAAAGCAGGGCTCCTACTTAGACGAGTTGAATTAGCGAGTTATGGCGAGTTGTGGTGATAACTCGTGAAAGCTCTTCTTGTAACTCGGGATAACTCGCAACAATTCGGTATGGCTTAGCGTAACTCTTTACAACATTCCACGACTCTATTCGAAGTCGCAAGCAGTTCCAAAATTTTGAACATGTTTAAAATTTTCGCCGATTCGTTGTAATTCGAGGTGAACTCGCCTACACTCGTAGTCGTAATATACTCGCATTACTCGTAACAAGCTCGCGCTGCACTCTTCATAACTCGTAGCAACTCACCACCTTATTAAGAGTGCAGCGCGAGCTTGTTACGAGTAATGCAAGTATATTACGAGTGTAAGCGAGTTCATCTCGAGTAACAACGAATTCATCTCGAGTTACAACGAATCAGTGAAAAATTTGAACATGTTCAAAATTTTGGAACTACTCGCGACTTCGAGGAGAGTCGTGGAATGTTGTAAAGAGTTACGCCGAGCCATACCGAGTTGTCGCGAGTTATCCCGAGTTACAAGAAGAGCTTTCGCGAGTTATTAGGGACTTTTGCGTTGACTGATACGTATGACGTCCATTCAAGGCAGTGCATTAAAAGGACGTCGATCGTAGCAATCCACGTTGTCGTTGTGCAAATCTAAAAGTCCCTATTGCGAGTGCCTCTTTGAGGCAATTTACCACAACTCGCCTTAACTCGCCAATACAACTCGGCTAAATGGGAGCCCTGCTTAACGTTTTTATAATCCAAACAGAAATTGGCGATAGTTAGTCTATTTACTCATGCACGAACGTTAAGCGATTTGGTATAGCCTAGTGTCTCAACAACACACACAAAAAACAATGAAAATGAATAAAAGAGAAAACAAAGGAAAATAGAGATAGATAAAAATTATGTTTTAGGTTATCTGAAATTCAGATGCACTTAAATCCCACGAGGAATTAGACCTCCCTGCATGGTCACTGACATGTTGTTATCTCATCAAATCAGCTCTCGATTAACATAAGAAAAGGGGGATCATTGGAGACCAACGGGTACCGCTTAGGCAGTGTTTGCTATATATAGAGGGCGCAAGTAGCTACAAGTAGTTGTGCAATCCCGCTTAAACGACATTTTTAAAGGTAATACAAAGTTTTGGGAATTTTTGAAAATTGGGTGGATAGTGATTCTTTACAATTTTGATATATTTGGATGCCCCTGTAGATGTATTAGAAGCACTAGAAAAATTAGCCCCTGAAACACTTCTGCTTTCGAGAAATATTGAATATAAAAATTTACCGGTGCTCCCGGTAAATTTTGATAAATTTCAATTAGCGCCTACTGCCGTACAATGGTAGCTGCGACCTTGAAAATCTCAAAATAAGTAGATGTGATATATAATTTCCAAACGGGAATAGCTAATCGGTCGATTTTAGTCAAGAAACAGCGTTGTATAGCTTAATTAATATCTTGACCTTGAGAGGGTGCTATACAACATTTTGAGTTTATTATTTACAATTTCATAACTTTAGACTCGATTTCAACTGCGACAACGTTCAGTGAATATTGTAGGATCGCATATGCTTCCAATATGTTCATTTGAACCAAATTCATGACCCAATACCAAAACTTTGTATTACCTTTAAGTGGTGTAAGTTCATATTGGATTATTTTTCCACAAAGTAAGAAATAATGAAAACTATTCAAAAACTTAAAGCTCTAGCTACATTCTGGTTTTGTTTTGATTAATAAAACAAATAATTCAAATCGTTGAGAGTTCAATTCTTCACTATGACCGGTTTCATTTTTGTTCCTTCAGATCAAGAAATAAAATTAAAACCGGTCATAGTGAAGAAGTAAAATCTGAAGGATTTTTATTTCAAATGCTTTAATCATTGTAAAGTCTCAATAAAAAACTTGAAAATGATATTTGCATGACTCATTAACTGAAATTGCAATCTCCTCTTTTATTCGCCTTTTCATAAAGACATACCAAATAAATTAGTTCATGGTTATGAGAAGTAGCGTAATATACAGATAGTGACCATTGTAGGGGATTTCTTAAATTCACTCAATTTAGTTTTCATTTATCGAGAAATCAATAAGAAATTTACTGCTTTCTCGACTAGATCATGTCAATGAAGAGAACCTTAAACATACCTGACATGCATAGTCAAACTCCTTACACAGCATTTTCCACTTCAGAGGTACATCCAGTAGAAATGGCATGTGAGCTAATGAAAGGCGACCTTGAATAAACTTAGAAAACAAAGACAAATACTTTCAATTACATAAGCGGACAAGAGGAGAAAATAAAAAGAAGGGAGTCAATATGATCTAAAATCCATGGGCGAGATTCCTCCCCCCCCCCCCCCGGCTATGAGATGGCCGAAATTACGGGGCCTGTTTTTGGTTTAAAATCCTCATGAACCTATCATTATAAGTTTCTTTATAAGAATCTAGAATGAAATGATATATTGTCAAATAGATCTTGATACAGATTTAATTCATTGTCGATAATATATTTATATCAAGTAGTATACCCCATTTGTTGAGACATGTGTTTATCTTCTTGTTCAAAATAAAAGAGTTGAAAATTATCTTTTTTATCACGATATATTGAGTAGTTTCAATATGTTATTGCCTACAAGTGCCTTCATCCTGTACACAATACCTTATTCATTTGTTACTGTTTCCTTCTTTTCATAATCAGTAACTATTTAGGAGGGGTGGGAAGGGGCATCCAACTAAAATTTACCAACAGATATACAATTCCTGTCTTAAAAGTTTGTAGATATAGCAAGTTATTTTAAAAAAATCCATGGATAAAACCACTGATGATGGGAATGACAATAGTAATTTTAATGTAATATCGTCATCGAAGTGTATTAGGCAAGTTTTCAAATTAATTTGAAAACAATATGTACTGTGTATTAAACTATCTTATGTATTTTTTGAGAGATGTACAATTTCTTTATATTTTGATATGTTATGTAAATCAATGAAGCTGTATGTTTGTTTGTTATATATTTTGTACTGAATGAATACAATAAAACAATGCTACAAAACAAAAAAAAAGTTGTGAAAAAAAATCATGAAATTGTCCCTTTCGCCGGCCGAATATGCAAAGTGCTCATGGTGATGGTTGTCCCCATTATTAGGCAAGTCAGGGGATGATGGTTGATAATGACCGAAGATGAAGATGATAATGGTAAAGTATTGATGATGATGATGATCACGTTGATGATGTTGATGACGATGATGATGATGGAAATGCCGATGATGATGGAAATGATGATGTTGATGAACGTCATATTGATAACAGTGATATATTGTCAACAACGCCTTTATGATGAATTTGCCTATAATTTCATGATTGTTTTTTTGTTGGTAGTGTAGTGTTGTATTTTCCTGAAAATGTGAAGCATAAGAAGACTGAATAAATACCAGGAGAGAGAGTTGCAAATGCTGATGATGAAGCTGGAGAACATGATTCTCGATCTTCCTGTTTGTTTCTTCATCTCCTGGTTGAAGGATGTAAAACTGATTCACTGGAACCTTGTACCCAACCGATTCATTGATCTGTATGTGAAATGACTCATTAACTTATTTCAATCTCACTGCATCATAGTGAGACAATTTTGTATTGAGGAAAAATTCTACCTTGATAGCAAACTACTCTAGATGAAAGAAGAAAAATCAGAGAAGTAGTCGAATGAAATTTTGAATGAAATCGGACAAAAATGAGAAATTTTTTTGAAACTTGTAATTCCTACAGGCATGGGCTCTTGACATTGGCTAAATCGGTAATGTCTCGAGGATGAAGTGGCGGTCAACTCTCCCTTTTGTTCAGACACACAACATTGTTATTAAAAAAATCTAAAAGGTATGATTCAGGAGGGTCTATCCTCTTAATAGGTCTCATAATAATATGATATCCATACTATTTTTTTAGTAGTGTCCGAAGGGAGAAGGCACTAAGGAGAAATACAAAAATTAGTGATATTTTTGCACACGACAAACGGAAGAGTTACCCGTGACTACGTCACAATCCGCTGACTGAGATACGCATAAACTTAGTGATCTCATATTGAAAACATTCATAATGTACTTATTATTGGTCCGATTTATTTCAAATTTTCGCCATTCTCTTTATCTCAATTTTCTTCTTACATACATATGAACTTATTAGAAGGGTTGGATTGCCCTATAATTTTACAAAAAGAGACTAAATACTGAAACACGTATCAACGAGTGAATCTTCCACTGGGTGTGCAACAATAAACATCAAGAGAGGTAAAAGTAAAGGTTGCTGACAGGAAGAGTTGAAAGGTAAAATGCTCAACCTATCCCCAACAGTATGCATCAGACTATGTTACGTTCTGTTGATAGAGGTCTACATCACTATGTATTTCACAGCTATGAATATTCATATTGTGATAATACGTCACATGAAAACAAACACGAAGTCAGACAGACAGAACGACCAATAACTGTTTTAAATTGAAAATGAAATCATTTTCCGTTTCACAAACATACGAACCTGTCTCAAGATTTCCAGCATCGCTAAGTAAAGGTTATCACGTGGTATCGGCACAGTATTGTCCCAACAACACTTCAGCAGATTCCTGAATGCCTGTAGGTAGACCTTAATCACTCTGGCTAAAAGGTCCGAGTCCTTATCACACCAACGAACTGTCAATCGAAAATAAAATAGTTTTTATTTTATGGTCCAAAGGTCGAATTTATCAAGGCTCATTCTATGCTTCAAATCAGTTTAAAAAAAAATTAGTTGTAGTCAATTTATTATGAGTTTCCTTTAAGTTCAAGACTGAGAAATGTTTTTTATTATAAACTAATGACTCCCAGATAATTGGAAAAAGTAGACCCCTACGAACTACATATTTTTAATTGACCTTGATAATGTCATGTTATAAAATCGAAATGTTTGAACCAGACGCGTACGCAGGGGGGGGGGGGGGTGGTGTTTGCGGTTACCCCCCCCCCCTCAAAAAAAATTCTTAAAAAAAAAAAAATTATGTGCTAAACGGTGATTAAAAATTAAATATCGAACTAAATATCGGTCGGCATAATTTTCCAATTTTCGGGACAAAAAAAAATTGCTCTTAACCCCCGCCCCCCCCCCCCCCCCCTCCGCTTATTCAGCGGCTGGCTGAGTCGTTGCGAAATTTTTCCTAAAAAAACTTTTAAAAAAGGATGCTCTTACCCCCCCTCCCCCGCTTATTCAGCGGCTGGCTGAGTCGTTGCGAAATTTGGGGCGCGATATTCAAATTTTAACCCCCCCCCCCCCCTTCGAAAAAATCCTGCATTTGACACTCTTGACCATACAATACTTATACGTAAATTGGAATACTATGGATTGAGGGTTGTTGCTATACAATGGTTTAAAAATTATTTACCAAATAGAAAACAATATGTATGTTATGATTCAAATGAATCAGAATTAGTATCTATAACTTGTGGAGTGCCACAAGGGTCAATCCTTGGCCCTTTGTTATTTTTGATATATGTAAATGATATTTATAATTCATCAAATGCACTACAGTATAATTTATTCGCTGATGACACCAATGCATTTTGTTCCAATTCAGATTTTCAGATCCTTTTAAGAAATATTAACGCTGAATTACCAAAATTATCAAAATTGTTTAGAAGTAATAAACTGTCTTTTAATTTAAAGGAAACAAACTATATATACTTTCAGAACAGAAAAAATAACGATATTCCTGACATTGAAATTACTTTGGATGGTGAATTATTGGAAAAAAAGGAAAGCACAAAGTTCCTTGGTGTTTTGATCAATGAAAATCTGAGATGGAATAATCATGTGCAATATATTTCTAATACTATTTCACGTAATATTGGTATTCTCTGTAAATTGAAACATTATGTCCCTTCAAATATCTTGTTTATGTTATATAATTCATTAATACTGCCTTATATTTCATGTTGTAACATTATGTGGGCAAATTCGAAAAGCAACGTTGACGCCATTTTACTGTTACAAAAGAAAGCCATGCGTATATGTACTGATTCTTCCTATCGCGACCACACCAATCCCTTGTTTTCAAAACTAAAAACTCTAAAAGCTGATGATATACATTTTCTACAAGTAGCAATTTTCATGTTTCGCTTACAAAATGGTCTACTTCCTTCATACTTTTCCCCATTGTTTAATTTGAATAAAACCATCCACTCCTACCCTACAAGGCAAACTGAAAATTCCATTTAAGAAATCCTAAAACCGCATTGGCTCTCAAATCCATTAGACATGCCGGCCCAGACATCTGGAACTCTGCCCATTGTAATAAGAAACCTTAGGACATTGTATTCTTTTTAGAAGGCAGTTAAAACTATGTTATTGTCTAAATATTGATCATGTCGTGTGTAATTTTACTGTATTCATGTTCGTGTGAACATTGACTGTTTATTCAACAATGATGTGTAATCGTCCATGACCTAGCATCGTTTATCCATTCATGAATGAACCTGCATTCAATCAGCAGTTGTATGAGATTTATTGTATAATTACCAACGCTCCTTCTCTCTCCTTTCCTGTTCTTCTCTGCAAGTCACACTCTTTTTTATTTATATTTTGTATTGTTGTATCTAAGTTGAGGGCTGCGGGCACGTCAAGCTACTCTGCTTATTTCTGTAGCCCTCCTGCATCTAATGTATGTTAATTATGCATTCAATATATTTGTTTAATCTTGTTTATTATCTGTATAAAATTATATTCACTTAAAACATTGTATCAAACCATATTATGTTCATGAAAATGTATGATGAAAAAAAGAAAAAAAGATGCAGAAACCAATAAATCAAATCAAATTAAATCAAATTAAATCAATGCCCTGGCCTGAGATATATCAGTGTATATTATGCTTCAAGCCACTTTTGATTTTGTTTTTACCAAGCACTTCGTAGTTCCTCTTTGCTGCTTCATGCATCAAGATCAATGTTTCTGCCATTTCTCTGATGATTCGATCACCCCACTCTTTATCCGGTCTGTCGAAGGCTGGACACTCGAGTAGGATCGGAACTACTCGGAGAAGATCGGATTCGATTTCATCCTTGCATAATTCTGACCGCATGTCCTTCAGGTGCTCGAAGATAACTTCTGCTACCTGCATTAAACATGAGCCAAACGAAAAGAATGAGATGAGGAGTTTTTAAAAAGTAGGGACAATAATTATGAGAAAGATGTATATAAAGAGTTTAGCCATCCTGATTCAAACTGGGCACAATATGGTGAATACGGCGTTGCTAGCCAATGGGCAAGCAAAAAACAAAATAATACACGCCATGGTTGTGACCAACTGATTCAATTTGGTCAAACTCTTTGGCTCTGGGGAAATGGATTAGAAAACGGGCTTCATGTTCATTGGGAAAGCTTGATTCAATCAGTATACTACATGGTAGAGTATTGAATTGAATTGAAAATGGTGTATTACAAACGATACATAGCAGCCCGAAAGCTGAATTGCATATCGATTCACAATAAAATAGCGGTAAAATTTGAACTTACAAAATATACATTAATCTTAACCATTTGAAAGCATAACATAGTTCCAGACAGTATATTATAAGATGAATCATCCTAGGGATGTTGTTATGCAACACTGAATGAGGAAGACAAGAGAGAGAGAGACAAAGAGAGAGAGAGAGAGAGGGGTGGAGAGAAAGAGAGAGAGAGAACGATGAGTGCATGAGAGAAAGAGGGAAAGATATATTATATATATATATATATATAGTGCGATGAAAAAAATGAGAGAGAAAAAGAAATGTTAAACAGGACCTACATTCAATACATTATAACGACAGAAAGTAACTTACATGAAGACATGGATTGAATGGCATATTTAAACTGCCAAAATGAAAGGAGACACATAATTATTTAACTCTTTTTAAATGAAAAGAGGGCGAGCAGCGGAGAATAAATCGAGTACAAAAATGATCAGTAAAACATGGCGGTTAACAAAATATTACAATCGATATTTGGCGGTTAGAGGGGGAAAAGGGAGTGAGAAAAGAAGAGAGAAAGAGACACTGATAATCAGAGAGAGAGAGAGAGAGAGAGAGAGCGAAATTTATTCGTTGACAAAAAGAAAGTTATCAATCTCAAATGTCAATTTTCATGACTTTCTTCTATCTTTGATAGCCTATCTCAAATATACCCCTCCCCGACCCCGTATTTGTCTGATTCCACTAAAGCCAACTTTTTACGAAGGGGTACCAATTAGTGCACGTGAAAGAGAGAGAGAGAGAGAGAGAGAGAGAGAGAGAGAGAGAGAAAGAAAGGATACACAAAAGGGGACATTATTTTTGCCAAACACTTATGCCCGAATTCACAAAGGAGGTTTGTCGACAAACCTTGGTTTTCGTGCGTCATAATGACGCGTTTTACCAAACCAGGTTTGTAAAAAAAAACGCGTCAAAACGCGTCATATGACGTACATAAACCTCGGTTTGTCGACAAAGCTCCTGTGAATTCGGGCCATAGAGAAGCGAATGGAGAAAGAAACAAAACAAAACAAAAACAAAGCAAAACAAAACAGATAGGGAAATAAAAACATGCACATTAAATCTTTGTGCTCAGAGGCAGCGCTCCTGGAGGTCAGGGGCACAGTGCCCCCTCACTTTTTAAAATACCCCTAAAGTGCCCCCTTTTACATACAAAAAAATAGTCCCCTTTTCCTTTTTGAAAACGTACATGGAAATGGTGGATAGAAGCAGAAATATTAGAAAACAATGATTAATGAATGAATGCTTTAGATATCACGCAAGCTAATATTTATAATATTTAGATATAAATGCGGTAATCTATGTTTTAACTGAGAAATCTCCATCGTATCTAAACACTAAAATTTCCCCCTTTCTCAATGTCATAATGAAAGTGGTCACCCATAATGCTTGAAAGAAAAATTATGTTCTATTATTAAAGTGGAAAAAAAATATTTAAATAATATTTTGTTAGCAGCGAACTGAAGAGATATATAGCATAACAAATCATGACCGAATTGCCGAGTTGAAATATAATATATTTGACACTTTGATTTCAGACTTTTTATTTCAGAAATGTTGACTACAATAATCAGTCAAACACAAATGACTATAATGCTTGACTTTAATAAAGTCCTTCGATCCCAATGAATCAATTAGAGAGTGACTCCATAGAAAATCAGTCATTTTATGCATAATATTAATGTTATTCCCAGAAGATGATGTTTGCAATCATAAAATAAAATAAAAAAGGGAGTTTTGCATACATGAATAGTACAAACTAAAAGTGTTGACACGTACCTGTTCTAAGAGTTTGATGTTGTCTTTGAGCAGGAGAAAGGTTTCCTTCAGTGAGTCCATTTTCAAGCCCGCATATTGGTCTCTTTAAATAAAATAAACATGTAGATAACAATACTTTGAATAATATATATAGATAGACCTACATACAATAATGATGTGGTATAATACTGTTGATTTTTAACAGTCATGCGAGGGCTATAAGCTAAACGTATACTGTGTATGATTATACAATCGAAACCGGGCTGACCACATTAAACTTAAAAAACTTAAAAAACTTAAAAAAGCAGAAACACGAAGTTGCAAACCATCCAGAGACTCCTAATAAATTGCGTTACTGATTAATTAATTATATCATTACAAATCTATATCCTCAGTTTTCTTATGTATAACTGATTTTCTTATAAAATGAAAGATATATGGCGTATATATTCAATTCTGAATGAACGCCATTAAACTATTACCTACAACAACACCATGTGTATGATTATAATTATTAAGATAAATTTCCAATGCATTAGACAATATTCAAACAAATCTGTATAAACTGTAAACCAATACAAGTATTCAATGTCGTTTGTATCGAATCATACATACAAGGTGAAACTCTTCGAATGTTTCACAATTATGGTAAATGGAAGACTCCTTTATGTCATCGATATGAATCCTCTCTGGGCTATACACAATACTTGTTTGCCATGGCAAACTTTAATATTAATAATAATAATATTACCAAGGGAAGATTCATCAGCTTCAGTGATGTTCTTCCTGAAGGCCCTGCCATTATTATAACCCCAGCAATTAACAGGTACCCACTTACACCTGGGTGAAGAGTGGCAAATGTAGATAAATGTCTTGTCAAAAGATGTAAGTGCTTGGCTGAAATTCGAACCCTCAATCCTTATGTTGAGAGTCAAGCGAATGAACCACTATACCACGACACCTTCACATTTGATATGAGAAAGGTGATGGCGGATCCAAGGGGACCATGGGGAACCCCCTCCCCGTCCAAAACTGATGCCTCTTCCTTCTTTTTTTTCTTTGGCAGAATGTATATATTTCAGGGCTAATAACTCATTTGAAAATGTTCCATTAATGAGTATAAATCCACTGAGGAGTCTAAAAAAATTAGAGATCACTTCGTTTTGGATTTGAATCATTTCCAAATCAAAGTGGAATCCACTCCAAGGAGTGGTTTGCATTACTGTCTTGAGAATGATTTCAATAGTGTGTGTTTCTCCTCCAAAACAAAATTGTCCCTGACATGAAACCTGAAAGAGTGCACTCCCATTTCTGTGGATTTAAAGAGTGTGATAAACCTCCTTTTTTCACGTGTGCCACCAACCCCTCTTCACACCCATCAGAAAATCCTGGATCCGCCACTGTTTATCAATACATTCAATTCGATGTGGTTTATTTAAGATAAAAAAATAGTAGTCTACGGAATAATTGCGCAATGTTTACAATTAATGGTCATACAAAAGGATCATCGATTTAAACAAAACAAAACATAATCAACAAAGCATTAATAAGAAGTTAAAGTACAAAATCTTTAGAAATAATCACACTTTCATACAAGAATAAAGCTTTGGAAACAAAATGTTCATCATTATGCAAAATAGAAGTAAAAGATCACTCAAACACTTAGCTGGAAATTAGCTGATTTATCATTATGATGCAGTATCATTAGAAGACAAAATATTCTGAATTAATTATTCCAAGATGCATAATCATGTGTAAATCAAAGGTTCAATGTTGGATATAAAAGAAATAAAACTATATGGTTTGTAATAATTTATAAACATAAAGGAAACATAGCTAGTAAGTATCCTTACCCGAGCCTAATGAAATCAGTATCTCGGAATGCTTCTACCAGACATCTTGGTTTCATCGCTGTAAACAGCTCGGATCGTTGCTTCTGAGTTAGATCAGCTCCAGGATCTAATCTGAAGATACTCTCCAGTACTATCTTGGAATTGGTTGCCATGGTCATTGGTTCCTGAATATACTTTCTTTAAAAAAAAGAGTGAATTTTCAAAATCACGGACGTCACTCCTCTGGAGAGTGAAAATGGAGTGAAAATAGAGTGAACATTCACTCTTTTTTCTTAGAGAGCACTCTAAAATCAATCGATTTTCACTCCTAAACAAGTGATCACGGACGTCACTCCCAAGAAAGTGAAAAAAGAGTAAAAATTCACTCTTTTTTTTAAAGAGAGTATCCAGCTGAAGATGTTTTCAAATTGAAATTAAAAGCAAAATATATTTATATTTTTTCCATCTTTTCAACAAAAATGAAGTTTTCCGTGGTATCCAATACAGAATATTTCATCCAGTCTTCATTAATGCATACGCGGATCTATCAGGGAAGGGGCTACCCCACTCCAAAGTCGGTCTCTTCAAAGTCTACACACGCTAGGTTACCCAGCAGTTGTGGAATTTCATCGTTTTCAAACATGCAACCCCCCCCCCCTCCCCCTCCCCCTCCGCCTGCACATTTCTAATAACCCTATAGCAGTCTCTACAATGGAGATGGATTGAATTCCTGCAGACTGGGAATAGTCAAAGATGGACGAAAATAAAAACATATTTGTTCCTTATTCATGTTTCCATACAGAATATTTGAACAATAAATCAATCACTGATATTGATAACACCAAACAAATATATCAAAATGGTGTCAAATAAGTACCTTAAATCCTAGCTTTCAAATGAGTATGAACGTAATTATTGTACGTACCGTGATATGATCCTTCTTAGTCAGTGTACTGCTACGTGAATATTATGATAATGAACAACAGCAAAAGTGTGTACAAATAGACGGGGCTGAATTGCGCTCGTACCATAATTCATAACACCAAGCACAGCGCCGTATGGTACGTTCATTCCCACATACCGTACATGCAATGCGGGGAATCCCCGGCTCGCTAATAATAGTAGATGCGTAATCTCTTCGGTCATTCATTTACAGAAAGGTTTGCATTGCGACATTGGCATGTGCAATCTGGACTGACCTCGGAAGACAATGTATTTGACTTTTGTAGAGTGTATGTATATTGATGTGTGTTCTTAGTTCTAGTTCGGTTACTGTGTGTTTGAGTGGCGGCATTAGCTCTGAGGGTATTCACAACACCGTCACAACACAAACCAAATTTCCAGCTTCAATCAAGGACCAACACTGTATTTGGCCTGAACCATAACCATCATCCTTAACCTAACACAAATAAAACCAAATTGCAAAACTAAATTTAACCGTACACGTCTTAAAAATATATCCCTGAGCGAATGCGGATCACAAACTATAATGTCAGTTATTATCTTTATTTTCCTCTTTGAAAAGCATCAAAATAGACCTAGACCCTGGTCTTTTCATGGATCGTATGGTGACCCTTTTGTAGGTAGTAAGACGTTTGTTTGTTGTTTTATTCTTGTAAGGACATCATACAATCCATGATATAATATGTATGTTCACAGGGACCTCTTACCCCCCCCCCCCCCCCCCCCCCCACCCCCCGCTTATTCACCGGCCGGCTGAGTCGGCCCTAAATATTTCCCTTAACCCGCCAGTGCTCGCCACCCCTATGAAAATACCCTGGCGCCGCCCCTGCCTACAAACAGTCAAATGCACGGTCTTGTGAGGTCATTCTAGATTACACATGTCAATGTCGCAATGCAAACCTTTCTGTTAATAAATGACCGAAGAGATTACGCAACTACTATTATTAGCGAGACGGGAATTCCCCGCATTGCATGTACGGTATGTGGGAATGAACTTCGCACGTACATGTACCAACTATGCAGTATAATATCATTATAGTACTGCGCCTGATGTTATGAATTTTGGTATGAGCGCAATTCAGCCCCGCTATTTATACACATTTTTGCTGTCGCTCATTATCATAGTATTCACATAGCAGTACGCTGCCTGAGATTGTGTACTGACTGAAAAGGATCACAATTATCACGGTACGTAAAATAATTATGTTCGTACTATTAAAGCTAGGATTTTAGGTACCAACACCGTCTTTATATCTTGTGGTGTTGTTGATAATATCAGCAATTATAATATTGTGCAAATATTCTGTATGAAAGAAGAAACACGGAATAAATATCATTTTATTTTCTGCTATAAAGGACTAAGTCCAGTCTGCAGTGATTCACTCTATCTCCATTACATAGACTGCTCTCAGATTATTAGAAAGGTACAGGCGGAAGGGGGGAGGGTTAGATATATTGGATTGGGTTTCTATATTGGATACAATTGGAAACCTCATGGTCGTTGAAAACATGGAAAATTAAAATATTTTGCTCTCAATTTCGATTTCAATTCTGAAACATCTTCAGCTGGATATATTCAGGAAACAATAACCATGGCAACTAATTCCAAGATAATACTGGAGAGTATCTTCCGATTGGATTCTGGAGCTGATCTAACTCAGAAGCAACGATCCGACCTGTTTACAGCGATGTCACCAAGATGTCTGATAGAAGCATTCCGAGATAGGCCTACTGATTTCAGTGAGTTTGGGTAAGAATACTTACTGGCCATGTCTCCTTTATGTTTGCATTACAAAACCTATAGTTTCTGTTTCATTTCCTTTATATCCAACATTGCACTTTGATTCACACATAAGTATGCATCTTGGAATAATTAATTTAGAATAATTTGTCTTCGATACTTCATCGTAATGATAAACCAACTAATTCAGTCAAATATTCGTATTTTATGTCCATTTATACTTTGCAAACATTGCGCAGTTATTCCATGGACTACTACTTTGTATTTTAGATGAACCACGTTGATTTGAATTGAATGTATTGATATACAGTGGGGGGTTCAGGATTTTCTTATGGGTGGGAAGGGTTCCATGACACATGCTCCGCCGACGATTGCTCCGCCGACATTTACTCCGCAAAACGCGACAATTGCTCCGCGACATTTGCTCCGCGACATTTGCTCCGACGTCAAATGCTCCGCCGACAGGTGCTCCGCCGACAGTTGCTCCGCCGACAGTTGCTCCGCCGACAATTGCTCCGCCGACAGATGCTCCGCCGACAATTGCTCCTCCGACAATTGCTCCGCCGACAATTGCTCCGCCGTCAATTGCTCCGCAAAACGCGACAATTGCTCCGCCGACATTTGCTCCGCCGACATTTGCTCCGCCTGAAGCGACACTTGCTCCGCCGACATTTGCTCCGCCGACATTTGCTCCGCCGACATTTGCTCCGCCGTCAATTGCTCCGCCGACAATTGCTCCGCCTGAAGCGACAATTGCTCCGGTGACATATGCTCCGCCGACAATTGCTCCGACGACATTTGCTCCGCATGAAGCGACACTCGCTCCGGTGACATTTGCTCCGACGACATTTGCTCCGCCCAAAAAAGTGTCCCATTAAATACAAATGCTACTAGTACTACGACAAATGCTTCGCCGACAATATTTTTTTTTCACGGGTTGTTTTTGTTTCTTTCTTTTTTTCTTCATTTTTTGAATGCATTTCATGACATTATGTAAATGAAATGAAATGAATGAATGTTGATAATGTGGGAGGAAAAAGCAGTTGCCTAAAAGTCATTTCGAATATACTGAAATAACTTTCCATCTATCACTGTACGTCCCACATAATGTACACTAAACACTCATTACATGTCATGGGAAGTTTTGTTTTTTTAAAGTAGAGCAGCAAGCCACATTCCCCAATACGCGCATACCTCCTAGTTAATTTCAAACAGCTCATCAATATGTAAGACCTGAAATTACCTCAATGAAAGAAGACTAATAACATGAGAGGAAAGAAAAGAGCAAAAAAGACAACCGTTTTTTGCTATTCCCCATAATGTTTGATTTAAAAAAATAAAAAATAAAATTATAGCTACTTACGCAAGTTCTCCGGCGAAAGATAATTACTCCGCTCAAAATCTGTTTCATGTGTTACTCATTAGCTGATCCAAAGCTCAAGGCTATCTCTCTCTCTCTCTCTCTCTTTCTCTCTCTCCCATGCTCCTCCTTTTCCTGTTTACACCGTTTTCTTGTCTTCTTTGCTCTTTTCTTTCCTCTCATGCTATTAGTCTTCTTTCATTTCCATCACTTCTTCTCTGCTCCCCCTCTCGAGTTCTATTTCTCTCGTGAAATTGAAACGTAAAGTAATACAATCATGTAGTACATTCTTGTTTAGAATAATATTTTCAATAATATCCAGTCCATTTTCTAAAGGTTTCTTTCCTTTAGTTAAGTGTATGTAGCTTTAATATATATATGTTAGTGTGCAAAACACTCCGTTTCATTCGAGTACTTTGTTTTCACTAAATAATTTAAGGGACTCACGAAGCCACCGGAAGAAGAGCAATTGGCTTATCATGAAGAACTAACATCAAACTGCAACAAAATGATTTGTATAAATGTGAATAAGCAGAAAGGCTGCCATCTCATTTTCCCGTCTGAATGGGTTCTCTTCCTTACGTATATAAGTGCCCTTATTTTCTAAACTTTTTTTTTATATTTGTGTGTTTATTAAATTTTCAATCATATAAAAATTACATATTTACAAGTCATTGGTAATAATTAGACAAACAAAAAAAACCAATATGTATAAGAACAACTAACAATAATGAAAGGACAAGAAAGTTATAAAAAAAAAAACATTATAGTAAAAAAAAATACACTGTACACATATAAATCATAGTTTGAACTCCAGTGCATAAAGGGGAGTGAGGGGGCACAGGAATAAAAGTTAAATCAACATGAGTATCATAAGTCAAATCGCCATTTCTTAAAATGCAAAACAAGCTTGTTCCTTTTTTTCGCTGAGAAATATTCAATATCTTTTTGTTTCTTTATAAAACTCTTAAAAAGATCAACACTTGGTAAATCCCCCTTACTTATTTTCTAAACTTCCATGATGACCTATTACATTGTATAATGCTTTACCTAGTAAGATGCATTGATCAAGGTAATTTCAGGTATTACATATTGATGAGCTACTTGAAATTAACTAGGAGGTATGCGCGTATTGGGGAATGTGGCTTGCTGCTCTACTTTTTTTTAAAAACTTCCCACGACATGTAATGAGTGTTTAGTATACATTATATGGGACGTACAGTGATAGATGGAAAGTTATTTCAGTATATTCGAAATGACTTATAGGTAACTCCTTTTTCCTCCCACTTCATCAACATTCATTCATTTCATTTCATCTACATTATTTCAAGAAATGCATTCAGAAAATGAAGAAGAAAAAAAGAAACGAAAAAAATAGGTGTAAAGAAAATATTGTCGGCGAAGCATTTGTCGTAGTACTAGTAGCATTTGTAGTTTATGGGACACTTTTTGGGCGGAGCAAATGTCGTCGGAGCAAATGTCGGCGGAGCAATTGTCGCTTCAGGTGGAGCAATTGTCGGCGGAGCAATTGTCGGCGGAGCAAATGTCGGTGGAGCAAATGTCGGCGGAGCAAATGTCGGCGGAGCAATTGTCGCTTCAGGTGGAGCAATTGTCGGCGGAGCAATTGTCGGCGGAGCAAATGTCGGCGGAGCAAGTGTCGCTTCAGGCGGAGCAAATGTCGGCGGAGCAAGTGTCGCTTCAGGCGGAGCAAATGTCGGCGGAGCAAATGTCGGCGGAGCAATTGTCGCGTTTTGCGGAGCAATTGACGGCGGAGCAATTGTCGGCGGAGCAATTGTCGGCGGAGCAATTGTCGGCGGAGCATCTGTCGGCGGAGCAATTGTCGGGGGAGCAACTGTCGGCGGAGCAACTGTCGGCGGAGCAACTGTCGGCGGAGCATTTGACGTCGGAGCAAATGTCGCGGAGCAAATGTCGCGGAGCAATTGTCGCGTTTTGCGGAGTAAATGTCGGCGGAGCAATCGTCGGCGGAGCATGTGTCGGGTTACCGTGGGAAGAGGAGTTGGTGGCACATGTGACAAAAGGGGGTTTGCCACACACTTTAAATCCACAGAAATAAGAGTGCACTCTTTCAGGATTCATGTTAGAGAAACCATTCTCAAGAGAGTAGTGCAAACCACTCCAGACATTGGAGTAGATTCCACTATAATTTTGAATCAATGAATACAACAAATAATGAAGTGCAGGGGCGGATCCAGGATTTGCCGATAGGGGGGGGGGCCTAAAATGTGAAAATCGCGCCGACCAATATCTCGCTCAGAGGGGGGGGGGGGGGGGGGGGTAGTGATCATAATTTTTTCCCTCGTATTTGACCTCGAAAATGTGAAAATCGTGCCGACCAATATCTCGCTTAGTGGGGGGGGGGGGGGGGGGGGGGGTAGTGATCATAATTTTTTTTCTTCTCGTATTTGACCTCGAAAATGTGAAAATCGTGCCGACCAATATCTCGCTCAGTGGGGGGGGGGGGGGGGGGGGGGGGGGGAGTATGCATCATTTATTTTTGTATTTGACCCCGAAAACAAAAAAAGCCAGGGTGGGCCGGGCCCGTCGGGTTCCCCCCCCCCCCCCCCCCCCCTGTGGATCCGCGCCTGATGAAGTGATCTCTAATATTCTAAACTCCTGAGTAGATTTCTACTCCTCCACATTCATAGACCATTTTCAAATGATTCATTAGACCTGAAATATATATATATATATACTGACAATGAAAAAAGGGGGACAAGGCATCAGGTTTAGATGAGGAGGGGGTTCCCCATGCTTCCCTGGATCCGCCATCACCTTTCACATATCAAATGTGAAGGTGTCGTGGTATAGTGGTTCATTCGCTTGACTCTCAACATAAGGATTGAGGGTTCGAATCTCAGCCAAGCACTTACATCTTTTGACAAGACATTTATCTACATTTGCCACTCTTCACCCAGGTGTAAGTGGGTACCCGTTAATTGATGGGTTATAATAAGTGCAGGGCCTTCAGGAAGAACATCACTGAAGCTGATGACTCCTCCCTTGGTAATATTATTATTATTAATATTAAAGTTTACCGCGGCAAACAAAGTATACCCCGGAGAGGATTCATATCGATGACATAAAAGGAGTCTTCCATTTACCATAATCGTGAAACCAGGCGCGTACGCAGGATTTTTTCAAGGGGGGGGGGGTTTTTAACATTTTTAAATCGGGCCGAAAATTTCGCATCGACTCAGCCAGCCGCTGAATAAGCGGGGGGGGGGGGGGGGGGGGGAGGGGTAAGAGGACACTTTTTTTTTTTTTTTGGTCTCGAAATTTGAAAATTTGACATTTTGCTCCGTTGGGGGGGGAAAAGGTCGCCTTTTTTAGGTCAGCCATGGGAATAATTTTTTTTTTTTTTTTTTTTTTTATTAAAAAAAAAAAAAAAAAAAAAAAAAAAAAAAATCCCAAAGGGGGGGTTTTAGGTTTTTTTTTAGGGGGGTTTATACACAAAAAAATATCAAAGGGGGGGGGGTTTAACCCCCCAAACACCCCCCTGCGTACGCGCCTGCGTGAAAACATTCGAAGAGTTTTACCTTTTTTATATATGATTCGATACAAACGACATTGATTACTTGTATTAGTTACAGTTTAAACAGTTTTGTTTGAATATTGTAAAATGTATTGGAAATGTTATCTTAAAAATGCTAATCTACACAGTATACATTTAGCTTAATATAGCCCCCGTTTGGCTGTTAAAAATCAACAGTATTATACCACTTCATTATTTTATTTAATTTGAAGAGACCAATATGCGGCCTTGAAAATGGACTCACTGAAGGAAACCTTTCTCCTGCTCAAAGACAACATTAAACTCTTAGAACAGGTACGTGTCAACACTTTTAGTTTGTAACATTCATGTATGCAAAACTCTCTTTTTTATTTTATTTTATGATTGCAAACGTCATCTTGGGAATAACATTTAATATTATGCATAAAATGACTGTTTTTTATGGAGTCACTCTCGAATTGATTCATTGTGATCGCAGGACTTTGTTAAAGTCAAGCATATAGTAATTTTTGATTGATTGAGTTTAGTCAACATTTCTGAAATAAAAAATCAAAGAGGCAAATATCATATTACAACTCGGCAATTCGGTCATGATTTGTTATGCTATATATATATATATATATATATCTCTTCAGTTCGCTGGTAACAAAATATTATTTATAAAAAAATTCCACTTTAATAATAGAACATAATTTTTCCTTCAAGCATTATGGGTGACCACTTTCATTATGACATTGAGAAAGGGGGAAATGTTAGTGTTTAGATACGATGGAGATTTCTCAGTTAAAACATAGATTACCGCATTTGTATCTAAATATTATAAATATCATCTTGCTTGATATCTAAAACATTTATTCATTAATCATTTTTTTCCTAATATTTCTGCTTCTATTCACCATTTCCGTGTACGTTTTCAAAAAGGAAAAAGGGTCTATTTGTGTATGTAAAAAGGGGCACTTTAGGGGTATTTTAAAAAGTGAGGGGGCATTGTGCCCCTGACCTCCAGGGGCGCTGCCTCTGAGCACAAAGATTTAATGTGCATGTTTTTATTTCCCTATCTGTTTTGTTTTGCTTTGTTTTTGTTTTGTTTTCTTTCTTCTCCATTCGCTTCTCTATGGCCCGAATTTACAGGAGGTTTGTCGACAAACCGAGGTTTATGTACGTCATATGACGCGTTTTGACACGTTTTTTTTACAAACCTGGTTTGGTAAAACGCGTCAAAACGCGTCATTATGACGTACGAAAACCAAGGTTTGTCGACTAACCTCATTTGTGAATTCGGGCCTATGTGTTTGGCAAAAATAATGTCCCCTTTTGTGTATCCTATCTTTCTCTCTCTCTCTCTCTCTCTCTCTCTTTCACGTGCACTAATTGGTACCCTTCGTAAAAAGTTGGCTTTAGTGGAATCAGACAAATACGGGGGCGGGGAGGGGTATATTTGAGATAGGCTATCAAAGATATTCATGAAAATTGACATTTGACATTGATAACTTTCGAAGCGTAGTCAGGGGGCGGTGGGAGCGGTCGCCCCCCCCCCCCCAAAAAAAAAGAGAAAGAAGAAAGGAAGAAAAAAGATTAAGAGTTGAGAACGGTACAACGAATCGTCTTGTTTTTTTAATAATTTAATGAAACGTCAAAGCTTCCGCGCTTCGCGCGGGAGGGGGGGGGGGGGGGAGACTGAATTCAGACAAGGCTTAGAGTCGAGAATGGTACAACGTGTGTGTGTGTGTGTGTGTAATTGGGGTTTTACAGACGTGTATCAATCAGATATGATTATTTACGTCTGGGCACCGACTTTTAACGTCACCATCCGAAAGACGTGACTCAGTTTCGAACCTGCGTCCTCGGCTGAATCAGTTTGTAACTTCCACTGTTAGCTGGATTACAGGCGCACGCCACAAAGACGAATCGTCTTCTTTCTTTAGTAATCTAATGAAACGTCAGAGCTTCCGCGCTACGCGCGGAGGAAGAGTAACTTGATTTAAACAAGGATTAAGAGCCGAGGACGGTACAACGAATCGCCTTTTTTTCTCTAATAATTTAATGAAACGTCAAAAGAAAATGAATTTAGACAAGGATTAATAATCGAGAACGGTCCAACGAATAGTCTTCTTTCTCTAATAATTTAATGAAACGTCAAAAGACATAACTTCGTTTCGTTGACAATCAGCCGTAGACGAAAGACTTCATGCAAGGCTGATTGTCAACGAAACGGAGTTAAGTCTTTTGTCAATTCAGCTCGTTGCTACGGCAGGCTGCCAATGAAAACGATTTCGTTTGATAAAATTATGGAAATACAAGCACTACTTTAAACAAACAGAACTTTGTCATTCCTTGCGCATTTTACCTGACTCAACTTTCTAGAAATGTGATTATCTCTCTGAAATTCAGATACCTTCCGCCAAATGACTTTTTGGTTTTCTCTCTTTACATTTTTTTTAAACACTCATGCGTACAATTTGCATCATATGAGTTGCGTCAAAATGAAAGAGGATTTAAGCTTTCCAAACAATTATGTCATTTATTAATTATAAATGTGACTAAGCTATGATAAAACATCGACAATTCTCGGTTTCGTTTTTTCTGGGACGCACTGTATATATACATCTCTCTCTCTCTCTTTCCCTCTTTCTCTCCACTCTCTCTCTCTCTCTCTCTCTCTTTCTCTCTTCTCCCTCATTCAGTGTTGCATAACCTCATCCCTATAGGATGATTCATCTTCTAATGTACTGTCTGGAACTATGTTGCTTTCAAATTTTTAAGATTAATGTATACTTTTGTAAGTTCAAATTTTACTCCTATTTTATTGTGAATCGATATGCAATTCAGCTTTCGGGCTGCTCTGTATGATTTGTAATTGCTTATCGTTTGGCTCATGTTTAATGCAGGTAGCAGAAGTTATCTTCGAGCACCTGATGAGGGACATGAGTGACATGCGTTCAGAATTACGCAAGGATAAAATCGAACCCGATCTCCTCCGAGTAGTTACGATCCTACTCGAGTGTCCAGCCTTTGACAGGCCGGATACAAAGTGGGGTGATTGTATCATCAAAGAAATGGCAGACTTCTTGACATGGATGTATGAAGCAGCGAAGAGGAACTTCGATGTGCTTGGTAAAAACAAAATCAAAAGTGACTTGAAGCATAATGTTCCCTGTTATTATCTCAGGCCAGGGCATTGGACCCACTACTGTCGTTCAAATATCTCGATTTTATAACATTACATTATTACGGTCCATTACAAATATGAAGTTCATAGGGGTCAAATATTTGCAATTTCCTGGGAATCATTACTTAACGACATAAATACATTTTGTAGTCTTGAACTTAAAGAAAAATCATCACATATTGACTACAACTGGGTGATTTTAGACCGATATGTAGCATAGAATGGGTCTTGATAACTTAAACCATTGGACCATAATATAAACTTCTTTATTTTCGATTGACAGTTCGTTGGTGGGATGATGACTCGGATCTTTTAGCCAGAGTGATTAAGGTCTACGTACAGGCATTCAGGAATGACCTGAAGTGTTTTCTGGACAAAAATGTGTCGATATCACGTGATAACATATACTTTGCGGTATTGGTACTCTTGAGACAGGTTCGTATTCTAATTCAATTTTCAATTTAAAACAGTTATTGATCGTTCTGCACGTCTGACTTCATGGTTGTTTTCATGTGACTTATTATCGTAATGTTAATATTCATAGTGTGAAATGCATAGTGATGTAGACATACTGTAACAGATCGTAACAAAGTAGCAAAGTGATTATCTGAGGCATACTGTTGGGGATAGGTTTAAGAAAAAATACCTTTCAACTCTTCCGGTCAGCAACCTTTACTTTTACCCTCTAGAGGTTTAGTATTGTTGCACATCCATTGCAAAATGTGCACTCATTATGGAGTCCCTATTTGTAAAATTAAAGGGATTTTTTTCTTCTTTTTGTAATAAGATCATTTGTATGTAAGGTGAAAAATAAGAAAGTAGAATGGCGAAAATTTGAAATAAATCGGGCCAATGATAGGGAAATTATGAATGTTTGAAATATGGGATAACTTAAGTGACTCTCACACTCTGCCGTGTAGGCCTACCGTGTGCCACCGTGCGCGAAAATGTCTGCGGACGGTGGAGAACGGCGAGGGCACACGGTGGTTCGTTATCAAAGCGGGCAACACGTTAATAGGGCGTTGGCGCTTATTTACACCCGGTGGGACCGGCGAAAGTTTTGGGCATGTTCAAAACTTTGGCCGGCTGGCACCGGCCGCAAGTAAGCGGCAAGAGGACGGTGTTGAACGGTATGAGGACGGTATGAAAACGGTCACACTGTATGAACGCGTTCACTACACGCTCATAACCCGTTACAGAACGGTGATGAAAAATGGAGAGCGGACTGACCGTTGCCGTTCAAATCGGGGTATTTATGGCAGTCGTGTCATGACGTTAGCAGTCCGGGGACTCGCTCACAGGACGCTCCGAGCGGTGAGGGGACGCTAAGTGACTGGTAGGTGGCTGCTACAAACCCGGTGCACACGTTCGAGACCCGGTATGGGCCCGGTATGGAAACGGCAAAAATTTTCAACAAAAGTCAATCTGGGCGGTGAAGACGGTAGAAGCACGTTCAACACCCGGTATGCGCCCGGTGAGAATGGTCAGAAGATGGCAACGAAACGGTGAAAAGATTAATTTTATGAATTTTTTTTTGCGGCCGGGGACAAGTTCGCTCAAAACCCAACGTTCTGGACTCTGTTTTTTTTTTTATACATGTTTGAAAACGTGAAAATTTAGTCATTTTTGTGTTTGAACAACAGGGAAAGATGACCCCCATATATCCCCGAGACATTACCGATTTAGCCAATTTGAAGAGCGCATGCCGGTAGTATTCACAACTTTAAACAAAAAATCATATCTCAAGTTTGTCCGATTTCATTCAAACTTTCACCAGTCATATACTTCTCTTGTTTTTCGGCTTCCCCCGAGAATAGTTTGATATCAAAGTAGGATTTCCCTTTAAATACGTGTCTGTGGACCTGCTCAATGTAATATTGTCTCACTATAATGGTTCAATGAGATTGAAACAAGTTGATGGATCATTTCACATACAGATCAATGAATCGCTTGGGTACAAGGTTCCAGTGAATCAGTTTTACATCCTTCAACCAGGAGATGAAGAAACAAACAGGAAGGTCGAGAATCATATTCTTGTGCATCATCAACAGCATTTGCATCCCCCTCTCCTGGTATTTATTCAGTCTTCTTATGCTTCATATTTTCTCGAAAACATTACACTGCACTACAAAAAACAATCGTGAAATTATGCAGTAGGCTTACGGCTGCACCATGTGAGAGTAGGAGGATTAGAAAAGGGATGTTGGTACTCTTTCTTGTGTGCGTGTAGTAGTCCTGAAAAGGACTCATGGTAGTCCTAAGAAAGCTTTCTTGAGCTAATATAGTTCTAAAGAGAACTATAACGCCGGTAGGAGAGGATAGGTGGACAAGGTGATAGGAGAGGCTCAACGTTTCCAATATTTTGACTATCCGTCCTCACTCCTGACGACGGATAGTCAACCTAGTTAAAACTGTCCCTTTTGCAGCCAACCTCAAATTCTGTAGAACTTTGCAGGAATTATGAATATGTCATGTATGTCCTATCTGTGAAATTTAAACGTTAGCAGTGTCCTCTTATTCAAATTATGCAAGGAAACCCGTTTACTTGCTAGACCTCACTGTCAGACACTATTGAGTGACTGACTGGCTTTTTTTCTTCTTTGGTAATAACATACATGAAAAGAGTTGTAAAGGGTACATGAGCGTTTGTCTACATCAATAACCCACTTCTTGTGATGGCCAAGATTAAACTGATTGAATCTTTGTGCAGCATAAAACGTATGACCATTCGGTACAATTGTCTGAAAATCAAGACTATTACTTTTGGGCTCTATAGCCCTTAAGTCGATTTGACAACTAATAGTCGTTATTTTCCCACTTGAAGACATTTTCCAGCCCCACCTTTTTTAGGGAAGTTCTAAATTAGTATTATCTTTCAAATGCAGTTGGAATTTAACTTTTTCATTTTTTGGCCTGCAAATGGGACATAGTACCTTTAAGACATACATTTTATATATGTCGGTAAATCTTAGTTGGATGCCTCCCTCCCATCCCTCCTGAATAGGTAGTTATTATGAAAAGAAGGAAACAATAATGAAGGCAATACAGTATTCAAACTACTCAATATATCTTAATAAACAAAGATCACTCACAACTCTTTTACTTTAAACAAGAAGATAAATACATATGTTAATAAATGTGGTTACTACTTGATTTTAATATATTATCGTCTGTATCAAGATCTAGTTGAAAATGTAACATTTCATTCTAGATTCTTATAAAGAAACATATAATGATAGGTTTGTGATGATTTTTAGCCCCAAACAGGTAATTCCGAATCCTCTGATCTCACCCTTGGATTTGAGCTTCCATTAGGTAATCTGCTTTTTCTACTGGATGTACATCTGAAGTGGAAAATGCTGTGTGTGGACTTTGACGATGCACGTAAGGTATGTGTAAAGTTCTATTCATTGACATAGTCAGGCCAGGGAAGCAGTAAATTTCTTCTTGATTTCTCGATAAATGAATACTAGATTTAGTGAATTCAAATAAATGTCAAACAATGGTTACTATCTTTATTATTCTACTTCTCATAACCATAAACTAATTTATTTAAAATGTGTTAATGAAAACGCGAGTAAAAGATGAGTTGGCAATTTCAGTTTCAATTTTATTTCTTGATCTGAAGGAACAAAAATGAAACCGGTCATAGTGAAGAAGTTAACTCTCAAGGATTTTTATTATTTGTTCTATTAATATATATATATATATATATATAATTTGTATAGGCGTAGTAAAGAATGTCACTTATACTTGTAGTAAGTAACGAATGTTTGTTTCATCAAAACAAAACCAGAAAATAGTTAGAGCTTTATCTTTTAGAATATTTTTCTTGAAATTCTCGTTTTAGGGCATCTCACTTTCAGATATCCCAAATCATAACTTTTTCCCCTCGATTTCTATTAGTTTCTTTTTTTCATTTTGTGTGTGTTGTTAAGACATATGGCTTACCCAATCGCTTATCTTTCATGCTTGAGTTAATGGATTAACTATTGCCAATATTTGTTTGCATTATAAAAACGTTACAGAATAACGTTTATTCATTATCATCATGACCTTCGACGGTTACACGGCTGGGAAGCTTATTTTGTTTCAAATATTGTTTTACCCTTGATACCCTATAGCGCCACCACAAGCAGACACTTAAACTGAAATTTGAGGAAGCTTTTCGGAATTTGGCACCGAACCCAGTTGCATCAAATCCGAAAGTAGCACACCTTTGTTTCGAAATTGACGACGACAAAGAGAAGGTTGTTGAATCGGCTATCTCGAAGGTTAAAGGTAAAGATGAAACGTTTCTCATGCTCCCGTTCGAAGTCCATTTCAAGGATAACATATCTTTGGGTGTAAATGCTGGTGGCCCCATGAAGGTAAATATGAACACCCTTTCACACGATCGCAGCTACTATCGAAACATCAACCGAAGGCAATTTCAATAGCCTCGTGCGTCACCTATATAAATGTGTGAACATGATGATGACATATTACGTAATCTGAACATTATTTATATTGGACTCACAACAGCGTATTGAAATTGACCTAGAGTTAATTTTCGAAAATATTTGCGATCGTGTTAACTTAACTTTATCTTAAAAGATAACATGCAGACATTCTTAAGTTCAAGGACTTATGCCTAAGTTTTCGACGTCGTCTGAACAAGAAAAGTTTTCAATCGCTGTGATTGTAGGCTTTGGAGAAGAAAACTACGCTGAAAATGTCTCACTTATTTACTAAACCCGGATAATATTATACATAATGATGGTCAAAAGAATTACACGCCGCTCTGTAACCGGTTTCCTCGGAATTGATAAGACTTAACAAGACGTGATACAACTTCTGCCGAACCCCTCTTTGTAATTTCATATTAGTTGTACAATTGTGTGTTATATTGCTTTTTCTATATAAGATTCGAGATGAAGAACCTGAATAACCAATAAGATATTTCAATTTCTATATTGCAATCTATACTGGACCGTACTTTTTAAATTTAAGAAAACCAGTATTAATTATTAGCTGTTTTCGAGCTTGGATACTTTTTGTCATTTTGGGTTTTATTTTGTTTTGTTTGAAATGTGTCTTTTCGTTTATATTTCTCGTAAAGGAATTCTTTTCCCGACTGTTCGAAGAGCTCTTCAATGTTGAGAAGCATTCCATCTTCAAGAAACTCAACGATTCTCCTTCGTGTACGACATTGTGGTTTAACAAGGTCATTATCGAAATCAAATTTCCATCTTGGAAGTAACCATTATTACTAATCTCAATCTATTGTGAATGCAAGATGATTATAGATATTACTGGGGTCAAAGGGAACACGAAAGTGTCCTCCCCCTCCACTCTCTAAATCTTTCTATTTAAAGTACATATTTTGCTGTATAGAGAATTCCACATGTACATTGAAATGCTTTGCATGATTCAATCTACAATGCCAATGCGCTGAAAGTGCCTATTTTACCCCCCCCCCCCCTCCAATATAAAAACCCTTCTTGCTTACCCTCACAGTAACTTTTGAAAGCCTGTCGTCATCCGCTTTTGAATATATTGGTTTCTAATTTGATTATTCGACAATGAGTAATTGTGACCCAGTGTTCAGTGAGTGGGTTCGAGACTCAGGCAGGAAAGCTAAATGTCCAAACGGGATCAATATATTGACTATATAAACAGAAATTTACAAACTATATTATTACCATGCGCATGAGTACAGATCTATATTTTGCACCACCCCCATATACATAAAGTTTGTTGGCCAAGAGAAATATGCCTTGTCAATTTGTATTTCGTGCAGGAATGTTTGTACTGATCATGGAATTAGTGTGTACCTTCATTGGAATCAAAACACCGTGTAATTAAAATTTGTATTTTTCTGTATTTAAAACTTATCATAGGATTCTAAGGACCTGGACAAATTGCGAGCAGTCGGGAAGCTGTTCGCTCTGATGTTCTACAACAAGGTCATCGTCACGATGCCGTTTCCTCTTCTTTTCTACAAGAAACTGCTTGGAAATAGGTACACACCCAATCAACAATCTTTAATTTAATCGAAGGAAGACAAGGAAGTTATGTGTCTCTAATATTTGCGGGCCAGGGGTATAAATTTGTATCATTTTCATTTGTATTCTTGAACTGGAGAGCTCATTGATACATTTTCATTTTTTTTAAACATTTCAAAATAATTTTAAGTCTTTGAGAACTAACACGAGATCGAGCTTTCCCGACTCGTTTCTCCGATTACCTTACGGGTTGTATTCCGAGTTTGTTGGACAGATAGCTCGTTATCAAACTCCACAAGCTCTTGGATAGAACATACCAAATAATGATTACACATACATAATATTATAAATAAATGGATCTGGAATACATTTAATGTAAGAGTTGGCTAATTAATAGAGAAAGGGAAAATGTGGAAGAGAAAGAGAGAGAGAGGGTGAGGGAGGGTGCGCGCGAGATAGATAGATAGAGAGATAGCGAAGAGAATAGAAAGTCAGAGAGAGAAAAGAGAGTTATCCATCTCATATACATTTCAAATCATATTTGAGGATGCAATGCTCATTATATACAGTTTACAACTATTTATACCTCTTTTAAATTTGATGTACTGGTTCAATTAGGGCCTTTGTTGAATACTTTTAGATGTAAGCTTTAATATCACATTCCGAAGAAACATAAATTGGGAGAAATATTTTTTTTTACTTAAACAATTACAAAACTTGGTTTAATTTAGTTATTAACTGTAGCTGGTTGCAACAGATGACTAGAGAAATAATACGACTCTATTTTAACAATATTCAGCCCATCCAGTTTCAAAGATCTGAAACTGCTAGATCCCGGGATGGCGAAGAGCATGGAAACATTGCTAGAGGCGAGTGACGATGAGCTCTCCGACTACAGATTTACAGTGGATGGACCGGTGAACGAACCGGAGATCGAACTCAAACCAGGAGGCAAAGACGAGGTCGTGACCACTGCAAATGTGTAAGTGTAGTACGACCCAGTCAGAAAGATTTATACCGTTGTGTGTTTTAACATTTTACATTGGACATGTCGATGTGGTCGTGGAAGTAGATCAATCGTGGTTCACTTTGTCTTGGAATGTAATCAAAAAAACATACCTATATTGTTTATGACACATTATCTACATTAAATTCCTTTCTGAATACTAGTTCTAGAGTTATCAGATTATAAATTTCATACTAACGCAAAACATCATTTCAAAACAAATGTCACATTACATTTGGAGTTTATAGCTTAAATTTTAAAAGTTAAAAAATGCGTTTCTTGTATTAAATTAAGCACTCGATTTCGAGATTTCCACCCCTGTATTGATTTTGGTATCCTGAGAAGTAATTTTGAACAATAAAAGTGATGCTTGTTAATAAAGACTGCGTTATCTTTACTCTCGTGTCCAACAAAACCATGAAAATGAAGTGAATCCTGAGGTCTTGTGTGTAATGTGTAATTCATTCTTCTATTTTTCGAATCCCAGTGGAGAGTACATTGAGCTTTGCGCCAGGCATTACACACCATCCACCCAGTTTGATATATTCAGTAAGAGTTTTCGGAGCATGTTCCATGGTTTCGGTCTTCACCAACGTTTCGCACCGCAGGAGCTGATGTCATTATTCCAAGGAGGGGAATATGATTGGAAGGCCTTTCAAGAAGTGAGCTCCTCTTCTTTAACATTAAAACAAAATCTTCTCTCATCAACGCACTAAAGAAAAAATCACAAATGTAGAAAATTAATCTACTTCTAACAACATGGTTGCAGAAAATAAACAAAAAATCGTGAATATCTTAAAATAATGCAAAGTTGGTAGGTGCTTTTAGATTTAATAGAAGATAATTTATTTTAAGAAGATAAAGCAAAGATAATACACGCTGTATATTTTAAATTTGTTTCTTGAGAAATAAATTTGAAATTGTGTTTATTTTATGTGGCACAGATCAATTTTCTTTTCTTTGTTGTTGTTAATGTTGCTGTTGTTCATTTTCATGTTTTAATTTGCTCTTCTCTGCACAGAGCTTTGGTTATGATGAGAAAGGCTACACAGCAAACCATCGCGTGGTCAAGATGTTTTGGTCAGTGTTCCATGGTGATCTCACTGAGGATGACAAAAGAGACTTTCTGAGTAAGTCAAATCTTCACTGGTGATCGTTGACCGTCAAAGGCCTAACTGTATATAAATAGACGTACATACAGGCGCGTACGCAGGGGGGGGGGGGGTTTGGGGGGTTAAACCCCCCCCTTTGGAAATTTTTTGTGTGTAAACCCCCCTAAAAAAAACCTAAAACCCCCCCCTTTTGGATTTTTTTTTTTTTTTTTTTTTTTTTTTAATTATTAAAAAAAAAAAAAAAAAAAAAAAAAATTATTCCCATGGCCGACCTAAAAAAGGTGACCTTACCCCCCCCAACGGAGCAAAATGTCAAATTTCCAAATTTCGAGACCAAAAAAAAAAAAAAAAGTGTCCTCTTACCCCCCCCCCCCCCCCCCCCCCCCCGCTTATTCAGCGGTCGGCTGAGTCGTTGCGATTTTTTTGGGACCAAAAAAAAAAAAAAATGTGTCCTCTTACCCCCCCCCCCCCCCCCCCCCCCCCCCCGCTTATTCAGCGGCTGGCTGAGTCGTTGCGAAATTTTCGGACCGATTTATAAATGTTAAAACCCCCCCCCTTGAAAAAATCCTGCGTACGCGCCTGCGTACATATAACACAGTACTGTATGCAAAATAGATTATAAAGACGATCAGTCACTTCGTCGTGTTTGAACGTTTGACGTTGATAATCCCTTTTAAAACATCCTGTGACGACAAATATTGTGCTGCTTTGGCATCTTTTTTGTCATTTTGACATGCATGGTGTTACTTTCAAGACACTGATAGTGTCACTATGACAAGATGATAATAATCTAGTCATGTCTTTCGCTCTACATGTTTCAGGGTTTAAAATTCAGAAAACAATTTTTCCATACCAGATGGGGTTCACTAGCTAAGGTCATTCGTATTCTGAAAGATTCAACCCATCCTTTGTGACGTTTGTTTAGGGATTTTTTTGTGAAAAATTGATCCATTAGAGCGGCACACCCCCGTATGTGTGTGAGTACCCCACCCCCCCCCCCCCCCCGGGTATCACGCGAAATTTGTTTTGTCCCCGATTCCATCTACATGTCCAATAATACAGTAATAATATGAGATAATTCCTGAAGGTGATGGGAATGGGGGGGGGGATACGGTAAATGTATTTTGATACAAAGTATCATTATAAACACTGAACATGTATTTTAGTTGCTAATGTTGATATTTTACTGTACAGTTGAAACATTAATTAAACTTGGGTTTGAATGCTTTAAAAACTCATTACATAACTGTAATAGACGCTCTCTTTAATATGAGTAGATTATTGTACTCGGTTATGATTCATAAATTGTACTTTAATGTGAAATATGATTTTTAAAGTGATTAACATTATTAATAAACGAATATTAATTTTAAATAAACAGTCATTAATGAGATCATGTGATCATATAGTTCAAATTGTAAACTATGATTTGTTGTTTTGAATTAAGAGTGTTGATTCTATAAAGATTAAGTTTAAATTATTGAAATGACCACTTGGTGATTATGATTAATGTTATATACTTTGTAACCGTGTGAAAAAAAGAATTTCCATTCATTAGGGAAATAAAACAAATCATCAGTCATCAATCAATCATAATTCCGAAAATAAAATAGGGTTCGTTCTCCGAAAATTCGTAATTCTGAACAAATTATGCAGGGTTATATGTAATTTTCAGAATTATAAACATTCAGAATCATGGAAATTGTGAGCCCTATTTCATTTTCCGAACTACGAACCTTCTGAATTGTGAACCTTTCGAGTGAACAGTACCGATAAATCATCTTCTATGTGAATTGTTTTCAGGAGTCTTGACGGGTGCTGACCATGTCTCGATTGGTGGAATCCAGGAGGTTAGACCTAGGATGTGGCCCATGGGAGGAGACAAAGATTGTAGGGGGAAACCCCCGAAGGACATGTGCCCGGAAGTGAATACATGTCATGGTTTCATCGTGCTCCATCTCCCGATGTACAGGAAAAGAGAGCATCTCAAAGAACGACTCATGAAGCTAATAGAGATGAAAGGGCATGGATTTCATAAAATACCAGAATAAACCTTGGACTGCCATAGACAATTTAACAGTCTCATATACGGACATTGACATAATATAAATCTAATTTCTTAATCAAAGAAAAGTATTCAAACCTGGTTGATGAATTGTAATGTTGGGTAAATTGCAATATAATTTGTATTATGATGAATAAATAAATTGTATAAAATCGTATCTGTTATATACGGTGGCACTGAATTCGGTCACAACGACAAACCGATCTATTTTGGGCCATTGGGAATAATTTTGATTGGTCTGTAGTTGGTTAGGTATTGGTTTCGTTGGTGTGACTTAGCTTCGACAACATACGATATAAAGAAAAAATGGAATATATCAAAAAGCCTGTCATCTTCTGCATCATACATAAAGAACATGATCAACCACTATAACAGTTGTAGTTCTGTACATAATTAGATTTCTATTATTTAGTACATTCAGTCAATTTTTGTTTTCAAAATGGTGTATTTTGTGTAGTTTTATGCATTTTGAATCATGACATTCAAATGACTATCCATTCAAGTAGTCTGAGGTTGAGGATATGGTAGTTATTCAGAGATTGAATTTTGTTGTTAGTTTCCTCATTCATTAATGAGTGCGCTTCGCTTTAAAAACGTACACATTTAACGAAGGCAACAAAAAGGCGACTATGAGGATGATGAGGATAAGAACAAGATAAAGACAAAGTTAGACACGTTTTGGTTGCCCTTACAAGATGCTTATTCACTTGGGAATAGTTATATTTCTAGTACTTTGGCACAGCTAGCAGAGCACACTGACATAATACATGTAGTTGAATACAATCAGCTAGTTAATGAAATTGAGGTTAGCAACAAGTAAAAGTTAACCAGAAAACAGACTACAGAAATTACTGCATTTTCCCAGAAACGGATCCGGTTATTAGATATACTAACAAACAATTCAATTAGATTTGATAAAATAACAAAATGCTGTCAAAGATTTCTTGTCTTGGGTAAATGTTATGGATATAAATGGATAAAAAATATGTAAAAATATAACTAATTTTGATTATTGCGAATGGAATCATAGTTTTTAAGACAGAATGTATAGCAGCAATACCCCGACTTTATTATGATAAAATAATTCCAAATGTGCACCGAAAGCCTTTATCTTTCTCTGCGTCGTACAGAGTACGACACTAGACAATCATTATAAGCTGATGGCGTGCTGTAAGTGTTGTATATTCTTGCAGTTATATCGTTAAACTAGTAATCAATATGAAAATATCTTTAAATAATTATTTCTTTATCTTTTATTTTTCTCCACAATGAGCCATGGAGTGTTTTGTCAGACATTATAGAGGCGGTTTCTTCACTATGATTATTATTATTGTATAAATGTAATCATGGTGGAATGCAAAAATCAACATTATTTTTCATTTTGGGATAAGAAATCGTAATTTCTTTTTGTTTTTGGTTATTGGGGAAAATTAAAATTAAATTAAATGCCACATGGTCAACTGAAATTCGATCTTTGTAGAAACTTGTAGGTTTTTTAAACATACAGGTTAACTAAATATGTTTGTCCTACCTTTGTCAACGTTTTCCATGAACTTTGTCTTTTTATATTCGTAATCATGATAAATATGAATTTTAATTTAATTGCGTACATATTATAGGCGAAGAAGAACTTCCTGGAAAATACTCTTTCATTTTCTGGGACACCAGCCTACATTCTCGAGGCTAAAAATGGAAAGGGTGTTTCTAGATCTTAACATCTTTTACGCGAGAAATTATTGTTTTCATGATATATTATTTCTTCTCAAATCGGAATGGCGACATTGTGATCCCCTTCTACTCGATCCACAAGTTAATTACATTTTTTTTAATCTGCAAACTTTACACTGCAGTTGAAATGATTAACCTTAACATTAAAAAGAGTTTTCTTCAGTTTAAGACACGAGGCATTAGTATTATGATAATGTCGTTCTGTACGGCATTACAAATTCCTACATTATTTTTATTGTGTGTGCAATACCTAAGGGAAATTGTAAACAACTTTCACTGTCATAAGGAGGGAGGGGTGGGGGGGGGGGGGGGAGAAGGAACTTTGTCACGAAATAATTGGAGGAAAAATTAGGCCAGGGGGGCATATGTCCTACTGCAGGATCTGTGTTTACATATTCGACATGTTATAACGTTGGTTTGTAGGTTCTACATACATGTAGGATCATAGTACAGAAATTAATGTTCAGTTTGTACGTGTGACACAATCGCAACTACTTTTGAAAAGATCAACCTAAAGAAATCACACGACCATTAACAAAGACGTATTACGTAATACCAACATGATTTCTAAGGGATATACCATAGGGTATTGAAAATGAATCTGATCGGATTTGTTTTCAAAAGTAGTTTATGATCGCATCATGTAGAACTTAAAAGTTGGCTTAGTTTTTTTACAAAAACGATATGGAAATCCCATAATTAGGGCTCCTGAGACAGAAATCTTATTATTGTATAAATCTAGCTATTTCTTCGATATCCTTGATAAAAATGACGTTGTCTTTTCACACGCCATCTTTTTATTTTCTTTATTTTCCTGCCTCTGTCGTGTCTTCGCCATTAGCCCATTTGTTTACGAGGGGGTATGCCCCCACAACCCCCCCCCCCCAAAAAAAGAGATAAATTGAGAGAGAGAGAGAGAGAGAGAAGGGAGACAGGGAAGGAGAAGAGTGAAAAAGGGAGGGAGGAGAGTGAAAGAGATGGGGGAGGGGGTTAGATAATGAAAGACTGTAATAGAGATAAATGGATAGAAAATATAGAGTATAGATGAAGCGAATGACGAGGAGAGATGAGAGAGAGAGAGAAATTTCATCTAGATATATGATTTATAGAGAATGGGAGATACGAAAGTTAAGATAGAGAGTTTAAGATCATGAAGATAGATAGATATAAAGATATATAGATTGATATAGAGAGGGAGGGAGGAAAGATAGATTGCAAGCGGGTAAGGAGGATTATTGAGGAAAATATGTGATTATATAGTATTAACAACAATAATGCACAATCGCTTCGAAATAGCGTTCTCAAAATACGTGTCACTCACAAGCACGATTAAGTCATCAGAATCATACTAAATACCTTTCAAACATCAGTAACATATACATCTTCTCCATTAAACTACGCAAAAGAAAACAAAGTAAAGACTTTTTTGACAGAGATATGACATTTTATTCAATTGCAACTTGGGATTACATAAATGAATGCATCGTTGACCGTGAAGGCAAGATTAGTATATAATAATAAGAAGATCCATTCAGAGTTCATGAGTCGATGCAGTCAAGGTCTAAAGGTTGACGTAGAAGACGTACGGATGATAACCCATCGGTGTGGAGAATGAAGACGGTGTGCGGTAAAGATGCTCTGCGTTATACCTGGATTTAGAGGGAGAAGGAGAGCGGCTGCTACGAGAGAGAAAGTCTACTGACATCAACGGACTTTTGGCGCCCTTCGTCGAGTCATGTGGTGACTTATGCTGGAGCTGGATGACGTCATGGTGCAAGTGGTGTCGACCCGATGAAGGCATCGTTGAATCGGATCTCGATCGACTGCTTCGAGAGAGAAAGTCAACAGAGAACGTGGGAGAAACGGAATTCATCTTCTTGGTAGGTGGTGTGGTCTGGTCGACCTCAACGGTGTCGCACGATCTCTTCCGCTTACGACCGATGACGGCCAAGTCGATAACTCGGGCTGGTTGAATGCGAGGATGGTCGATGTCGTCTTTCTTGATGACGGGTTGATGAGCAGAGCTTGAAACAAGAGAGGCTCGACGGAGACGTGCACGACGATTCTGAAACCAGACCTGAAAATAAGCAAAACAAAGAGAATGGAAAAAAATCTTCAATTATCAACTATCAACAAAATACAATTAATTTCGACGTTTCATAGCACATTCTTTCGTTCAGATAACTACAGCTTCTCTAATTTAGAATAATCTTCAACAGTGGCAGAAGGAAAGCATTTTGAAATAACTATAGCTAGCTTATACTAAATGCGAGGATGGTCGATGTCGTCTTTCTTGATGACGGGTTGATGAGCAGAGCTTGAAACAAGAGAGGCTCGACGGAGACGTGCACGACGATTCTGAAACCAGACCTGAAAATAAGCAAAACAAAGAGAATGGAAAAAAATCTTCAATTATCAACTATCAACAAAATACAATTAATTTCGACGTTTCATAGCACATTCTTTCGTTCAGATAACTACAGCTTCTCTTATTTAGAATAATCTTCAACAGTGGCAGAAGGAAAGCATTTTGAAATAACTATAGCTAGCTTATACTAAGTTAAGTATGTTGTAGGCCTATATCATAATAATTATCCCGTCATTCCAAAGACTGAAGCTATTTTTTAGTAAACGAGTAAGTCTCAAGTCACAATAAGAAAGGACAGCTTTCAATCTAAATCTTTGTTTCACTTAGTTATTGATACAGTATTTGCTTTAATATATATTATTTTCAGTCGTTGCTAATAAATAGAAAGATATTTACCAGTATTCTGTCTTCTCCAAGTTTCAGACTTGAAGCAAGTTGATCTCTAGCAGTGATACCAGGATACTGGTTGTCGTTGAACGCGGTCTCTAGAATCTGTAGCTGTAACTCAGTAAAGACGGTGGGACGTCGACGACGAGGGCGTTTGGTAGGAATGCTACTCGATGACACTTGGGTGATCATGGTGTAATCTGCCATTCTGATAACTAGTTGGAACGCGATTGATGATAGGTGATTACTTGTTTGGAGCGAATAATTAATCTTGTTGATTGACTTAGCAGCTATTAGCGAATGATTACCATGAGTACAGAAACCACTTATCCGCTCTCTGCAGCGTTGACGCACTTTTCTATTGGTCATTTAAGGTAGCCAATAGGATTAAGGGAATGTGCCCTTTTAGGAAAGAAGTACTTTGAATTGTGCCGAAGATAAACAGATCCTCCTGATTCGTCAATTACATAAGGAGAGATTAGAGACACAATAACTCGTCATTGTGACCGCGGCGTTTCAAAGCGCCAAAGCTGTCTTTCATTAGAAACTGTCAGTCTGTGTCTTTCCCAATCATAGCTTTATGAATGAATGGAAATTTGGTGTTAGAACAAGAAGTATGATTCTCGATAAAAAATTGCAGTTTGTGTAGGCCTATCATGGAAAATCAAATTACATAGTAGGCCAAATCCTTCACCGTCAATTACATTCAATGTGACAATCACAAATGAAATAGAGTCAAACATCGAAACTATGTTTTATCCACAATACGGTATTTTACGAAAAATGTATAATTTTTTACATGTAGAGCCTAAGGGACTGAAATTTGTTCACTTTAATAATCAACATACATTTTGATCATTTTCTATAATACAATGTAGTAAAACAAATTAGGATAGTATACGCGCTTTACATCATGTATCTACTTTACTGACAAAAAAGTGTAATGCTTGATTTTACGATTAAGCGCTATATAATGATGCACACGATAATCGTGACGAAGTATAGAAATCTCTAATATAAAATATCTTAAAACTAATTTAGTAAACAATATTTTTTAGGGGATTTTTTTTTTCTTTCTCTCTTTCTTTCCTTTTTAAAATTTTTAGTTATTCTCAAAAATACGAGCTCTGCTTTTTGATTATCAGTTTTCTCTTTTCATTTTAAATTCGACTCAATTTATTATATGCTCACATATTCTGTGTATGTTTTTATTTATTACTTATCGACATTTAAGATTGTATCATTACAACCAAGTTTCAACTTGTATGTTATAATTGCAAATGTCATTTGATATTCATTTGTTTTAATGGTTTGATTGAGTTATGAAAATAATATTGTTTGAATTGAAAAGGTCTCAGTCTACATTTCTCAATAGTTTTTGTTAATTTCAGCCTAATTTGAGTAGAAGATCGCTTATCAATGTTCACATTAAGAAACTCTACAGCTAGTTTGCAGTGCTCACTTGTAAATCTTTCTCTAGTTAATATATGCATAATATACTGATTTTAACAGTTTGACAAGAAACAAAAGTACTGCTCGGTCGCTTTGCTCACACGCTTGTACAGTTATGGCGACATTTTTGAGCGGGGCGCAATTTCATTTTTTGTCATAATCCCAACATACGCCGTTCACGCGGGGAAGAGCGGGAAAGAAAGAAACTAAGATTTTAGAAAAAAAGAGAATGAGAGAATAATAGGGCGGAGAATCAACAGAGACACTACTACTCTTTTCACACTGGTTTTGCTTAACCCCGTACTATGCTTAGCCCCGTACTATCCTTAACCCCGGACTATTTTTTTGGCTTTTCATACACGCTGTTTCTAGTCCCGTACTAGCGCCTATTCCGGAATAAGAACATTCCCGCTGTTCTCACTGCATTTCGTTAACCCCGGATATCGTGTATGTTATGATTGGACATACTTCGCATCTGGCAAGCTGCGATACGCTCCATTGCGTAGTACCGGACTATTTTTTGTTTCTGTTCTCATTCATTTGCTTAGCACCGCAATTGCGGGGTTAGCAGGAGTTAGCACCACAATTGCGGAGTTAGCCCTGCTATTTTGTAGGGTTAGTTAACCCCGTACTATAGGTGGGGTTAGCCAACTTAAGCCCACTTTGGTAAAAACCAGTCTGTACAGAAAGTGGAATAGGCTTAACCCCGTACTATAGGTGGGGCTAAGACCCCCCCCCCCTTAACCCCACCTATAGTACGGGGTTAAGCAAAATATTGCCAGTGTGAAAACAGTATACATGTACGAATTAAGGCTGATGAACCGGATAATCACTACGATAGAGAAAGAAAGTGATTGACAGTGGAATACAGGAAGAAAGAGGCACGTGTAACTGTGAGGAGGAGTGTCTTATTCAAGAACTTTAGCCAAAGAAAGTGTGGATGAAATTAAAAGATGGAAAATGAAGACAGAAAGACAGACTAAAAAAGTAACAGAGAGAAGGTGAGAGAGGCAGAGAGAGTGGGAAAGGGGAGATTTCAAGAAAGGAAACGCAGAGAAAGAAAGCGATGAACGGATAGAGAGAGAGAGAGAGAGAAAGAGAGATAGAGAAAGAGAGAGAAATGAGTAAGAGAGAGATCGAGATACAGGGAAGTGGTATGAAGAGATCAAAAGGGAAAGAGAGAGAGAGAGAGAGAGAGAGAAAGGGGGAAAATGACACGTTTGAACAGAAGGAGATTGATAGATATAGGGAAAGGGAGAGGGGAGATAAGACACTCAGTGAGTATGACAGAAAGAAATAAAGACACAGTGAAAACAAGAAAGATAGAGAACGAACTTCAAAATTACATTTATTAGAAGACTTTGCAGTTATTAAAGAATTATCACAAGATAACTATGTACATTTAAAAATTAGCCTTCATCCAGCTTTCTGCCCCGTGAATGCACTTTTCTTTTGGTCAATTAAGCTAACAGGACTATTTGAAGGTGTCCATTTAGGATGAACTTCTTTGACTTTTGCCGAAGATACCGGGTGGGTATACTTTTTTTTTAACAGATCCTCCTAATTTGCCAGGTATATTAGGTCATTTAGTTTAATCCAAGCTTTATTCTATTGTATAGTAGATTAGGACCGCGGCACGTCAGATTGGCAACGTCATCTTTTACTTTCGATTGAATTTGACCGCTTACGCTAACGACTCTACTATAGGAACGTTTCCAATCTTTTAAGGGAAAGAGACCATTTATTAATCCGTATTGTCTGTAGTGGTAGAGGGCGGATATGGCTTTTGAATGGAGCTTTGCTTTAGGGACTTACGATTTATTTGATCTCAGAATGAGATGGGCCGCTCCTTCCAATTGATCCGCCTTAACACAGTATTGGTATTCTGCTACATATTCTAATAATATATCGAAATTATTTACATTTCCAACATAATGAAAATAAAGCTGTCCATAATTAACCCTAAGGATGACCTAAACCTATCATGCATTAAAATGATGTTCACTTACATTTAATATCTTATTAGGCTGATTAGCCGTCTTCCTGGTTTGGGACGAAAGAGAAGCAACATGACTGTAATATGAGATGAAATAGATGCGTCATATAATGCGTCATAAGACATTGTGACATCATTGTCATTTGATCCAGATTATGATAGAAAATGAGACCAATCACATGCCCAACTAGAAAACACTATACTTCCTGTCAATAATTTATACGCCCCCCCCCCGATCCCTATTATGTTATAGATAAATGATAATTGGTTCTCATTTACCAAGAGTGCACCCCCGGATAACCACCCCAGTCAATTACCCCCTAGAACAACTACCCCTAGGACAACTACCCCCGGACAACTAACCCCAGACATCTACCCCAGACAACCATCATCTAGGACACCTAACCTCCGGACAACTATCCTAGGGGGTAGTTGTCCTAGGGGGTTGTCGTCCTAGAGGGTGATTGCCCTAGGGATAGTTGTCCTAGGGGATAGGTGTCCAGATTCGAAGTACTACTACAGTGTCACGTTAACACTGTATAGACAATGGAAAGGTATTCATTAACAATGTATAGAAATGGCAAAAATCTTACAAGGAAGTGCCTCTAGGGAAAATTTTCAAAATTGCTACTTTTAAATAATTTAGGAAATATAATATGTATATAATTTGTATATTTTTGTTCAACTAAAGTTTATTAACGAAACGCACTCAGAAATCAAGGAAATACAAAATAATTATTCTTTGTAGTATATTAGACTTTTTGCTGAATGTCAATTAGAAGTAATGAAACAGATGTTATAAGAGACAGAAACTGAATAAGTATGGAAGAAGAAAAAACGAAATTGTGAGCAAATAAAACAATGGAAGCGTTCTAAAGGACCCTTATTTTCAAAAGAAGAATAGAGAAGATAGAATAAAGAAAAGAGATACAGAGAGAGAAAGAGATAGAGAGAGAGAGTGAGTGAGAGAGAGAGAGAGAGAGAGAGAGAGAGTCAGTGAATGAAAAATTATAATAGGGAAAGTTCAATAGAAACAGATAGGATAAATGAAGTGAAACAGGGAGGATAAATGAAGTGAAATAGAGACAAAGAAGAAAGAGAGAGAGAGAGAGAGAGAGAGAGAGAGAGAGAGAGAGAGAGAGAGAGAGGAAAAGAAAGAGAATAGGGAGAGATCAAGATAACTCAATTAGATATATATGAGATATAGAGAATGGGGGAGAGGAAGGAGAAGACAGAGTTTGAGATCATGAGGATATGCAGCTAGTATATTATATAGAGAAAGAGGGAGATGGAGAGAAAGAGGGTAAGTAGGAAAAAAGACGAAAAAAGGAGATTATAGTATTTACAATTATAATGCACAATCGTTCAAATCAGCGTACTCAAAATATGTGTCACACACTAGCACGAATGGTTCATCGGAATCACAAACACAAGACACACGACCTTTCCAACATCGCTAACATGTTCAGCCTCTCCAAAGTACACATTTTTTATATTCAAAAGAAAGAATAAAATAACGACATTTTTAACAGATATATTACAATTTAACAATTTATTCAATTGCAACTTATGATTTCATAAATGAATGCATCTTTGGAAAAGGCAAGATTAATATATAATAAGAAGAAGATCCATTCAGAGTTCATGAGTCGATGCAGTCAATATCTAGAGGTTGACGTAGAAGACGTACGGATGATAACCCATCGGTGTGGAGAATGAAGACGGTGTGCGGTAAAGATGCTCTGCGTTATACGTGGATGTAGAGGGAGACGGAGAGCGGCTGCTACGAGAGAGAAAGTCTACTGACATCAATGGACTTTTGGCGCCCTTCGTCGAGTCATGTGGTGACTTATGCTGGAGCTGGATGACGTCATGGTGCAAGTGGTGTCGACCCGATGAAGGCATCGTTGAATTGGATCTCGATCGACTGCTTCGAGAGAGAAAGTCAACAGAGAACGTGGGAGAAACGGAATTCATCTTCTTGGTAGGTGGTGTGGTCTGGTCGACCTCAACGGTGTCGCACGATCTCTTCCGCTTACGACCGATGACGGCCAAGTCGATAACTCGGGCTGGTTGAAAGCGAGGATGGTCGATGTCGTCTTTCTTGATGACGGGTTGATGAGCAAAGCTTGAAACAAGAGAGGCTCGACGGAAACGTGCACGACGATTCTGAAACCAGACCTGAAAATAAGCAAAGGAAAAAGAATGGAAGAAATCATCAATTAAATATAAAAAAAGTGGCAAAAATACAATTAATTTCGACGTTTCATAGCACATTCTTTCGTTCAGCTAAACTGCAGCTTTTCCAATTTTATATAATCTGCATCAGTGGCAGAAGGAATGCATTTTGATTGAACAATAGCTTTAATAAATTAAGTATATTATATATCATAATAATCATCCTGTCATTCCGAAGGTTGAAGCTAGTTTTTAATAAATGGAGGAAGCCTCAAGTCAAGACAGAAAGGACAGCTTTCAATCTTAATCTTTGTTTCACTTAGTTATTGATAAGGTATTTCTTTTAAATATATATATATTGCTAATAAGTAGAAAGATATTTACCAGTACTCTGTCTTCTCCAATTTTCAGACTTGAAGCAAGTTGATCTCTAGTAGTGATACCAGTATACTGGTTGTCGTTGAACGCGGTCTCCAGAATCTGTAGCTGTAACTCAGTAAAGACGGTGGGATGTCGACGGCTAGGGCGTTTGGTAGGAATGCTACTCGATGACACTTGGGTGATCATGGTGTAATCTGCCATTCTGAACTAGTTGGAACGCGATTAAGATAGGTGATTGCTTGTTTAGAGCGAATTAATCCTTAACTCTTAATAATCCTTCACTCTTCCCCTATCACAGCTTTGTGAATGAATGGACGTTAGAACAAGAAGTCTGATTCTCGATAAAAAAATGCAGTTTGTGTAGGCCTATCATGGAAAATTAAATTACATAGTAGGCCAAATCCTTCACCGTCAATTACATTCAATGTGACTATCACAAATGTAATAAGGTAAAAACATCGAAACTATGTTAACTATGTTAAGTAATGCTTGATTTTACAATTAAGCGCTATGGTGCACAACATAATTATAATGACGAAGTATAGAAATTCCTAATTCAAAATATCTTTAAAATAATTAAGTATACATTATTTAGTTTTGGGATGTTTTTCTCTCTTTCTTTCTTTCTTTCCTTTTTTAAATGTCAGTAATTTACAAAAATACGAGCTCTGCATTTTGATAATTGGATTTCTCTTTTCCTTTATTTATAATATGCTCATATATATTGTGTATGTTTTGATTTTTTACTTATCGACATTTAAGATTGTATTACAACTAGGTTTTAACTTGTATGTTATATTGCAAGTATTATTTGATATTCATTTGTTTTAATGTTTTGATTGAGTTATGAAAATAAAATTATTTGAATTGAAAAGGACTTTGTCTATATTTCTCAATAGTTTTCGTTATTTCAAGCCTTGTTTGAGTAGAAAATAGCTTATTAATGTTCACATTAAGTAACTTTATAGCTAGTTTGCAGTGCTCACTTGTAAATCTTTCTCTAGTTAATATATGCATAAGATACTGATTTGAACAGTTTGACAAGAAACAAAAGTACTGCTCGGTCGCTTTGCTCACACGCTTGTACAGTTACGGCGAATTTTTTGAGCGGAGCGCGTTTTCATTATTTGTCATAATCCCAACATACGCCGTTTGGGCGGGAAAGGGCGGGGAGGAAAGAAACAAAGAAATAAAAAATGGAATGTGAAAATAATAGGGCGGAGAATCAACTGAGACACTACATGTACTAATTTAGGATGGTGGCTCGGAGGATCACTATGATAGAAAAAGCAAGTGATTGACAGTGGAATACAGGAAAAAAGGGGGCACGTGTGAGGAGGAGGTCGTCTACGAAAACTTTAGCCAAAGAAAGTGTGGTTAAATTGAGATGGCAAATGGAGAAAGAAAGACAGAATACAAAAAGTAAGAGAGAGAGAGAGAGAGGGGGAGAGAGAGAGAGAGAGAGTGGGGAAGGGGAGATTTTAACAGAGGAAACACAGAGAAAGAAAGCGATGAACGGATAGAGAGAACGAGAGAGAGAAATACAAAAGAGAGAGAGATATACAAGAAAGTGGTATAAGAGACCAAAAGGGAAAGGAAGGAAGAGAGAGAGAGAGAGAGAGAACAGATGGAGATTGATAGACATAATTATAGAGATAAGACACACACAGAGTAAGACAGAAATAAATAAAGACACAGTGAAAACGAGAAAGGTAAAGAACGAAATTCAAAATGGCATTTATTAGAAGACTTTGAAGTCATTAAAGAATTTCCATACGATAACTATGTACATTAATAGATAGCCTTCATCCAGCTTTCTGCCCCGTGAACGCACTTTTCCATTGGTCAATCAAGGAAATCAACAGGACTATTGGAAGGTGTCCATTTTATACGATGAACTTCTTTGACTTTTGCCGAAGATACCGGGTGGGTATATTGTTATTCAAAATAGATCCTCCTGATTTGCCAGGTATATTAGGTCATTTAGTTATTGTATAGGAGATTAGGACCGCGGCACGTCAGAGTGGAAACGTCATCTTTTACTTTCGATTGAATTTGACCGCTTACGCTAACGACTCTACTATAGGAACGTTTACAATCTTTTAAGGGAAAGAGACCATTTATTAATCCGTATTGTCTGCAGTGGGACAGGCGGATATGGCTCTTGAATGGAGCTGTGCCGTAGGGACTTACGATTTATCTAATCTCAGAATGAATCGGGCCGCTCCATCAAATTCATCTGCCTTAACACAGTATTGGTATTCTGCTACATATCCTAATATTATATCGAAATTATATTACATTTCAACATAATGAAAATAAAGCTGTCCATAATTAACCCTAATGATGACCGTACATCTATCATGCATGAAAATGATGGTCACTTACATTTAATATCTTATTAGGCTGATTAGCCATTCTCATAATTTGGCAAGAAAAAGAAGCAACATAACTTGAAATAGATGAAATAGATCATCATAATTCGCTATAAGACATTTTGACATCATTGCTCCATTTGCTTCAGATAATGAAAGAATATGAAACAAAATGCATGCCCAACTATAAATCACTATACTTGCTGTTAATGATTAACACGTATCCCCCGCTCCCTATTAATATGTTATAAATAAATAACAATTGGGTCTCATTTACCAAGAGTGCAGCCACGTAAAGTACTACTACTGCTCTTCACGAGTGCCCTATATTTTATAGTACTTCCCAGAAATCTACATTCTAGGCCCCACCGCAAAAATTTGAAATAGTTACCTCCACCTATACTCTTCATTATCGTATCGATGCCCATTTAAGAGAGGCAATAATATCCAGATATCTAATCAATTCAGAATAAATGTCATGACTTTCTTTATAAGCAGCACGACGCTTTAGTCATGATCATAGCCTTGCAATTTGTTCCGAAGTAGAGTTTCCCATCATCGCCTTCAGTTGACAAAGATTTCATTAAGGACATCGTTTCTTTCTTGATGTCGCTCGACGCCGTCTCCCGAAAGTACGCGACCTCTGTCAGAAAATCAAGAAGTTTGCCGCCTTCTTCTGACGTTTCGTCGAAGCAGGAAGTGACGTTGATTTGGGCTGGAAGGTCAAAGGTTACGAGAGGCCGAGCTTTCGCTTCGGCGAATTGAGCAGTCTTTTCTGTGAGTCGAGATTGAGTGTTCTCCTCTTTCCATGACAAATTGTCAAGGAACTTGACTAGTGTGTTGTCATCTGTTTGTCAAAGAGAGAGAGAGAAAGAGAGAGAAAGAGAAGGAAATATATTTGTTGTATAGATAGAGCGAGATATATTATACGCAAAGATTGACCATTTTCAGTGTGTGTGATTAACATAAAGACAATAATTATGCTTGTAAAAGGAACAGAATTTAAAATACAGTCATAACCAAATAACAAATTGAATTCAACATTTCATATTTTGATAAAATGTATTGAAGCCCGTCTGTACTAGTTTGGCCAGGGGTATTACATCTCCATGCAAGGTTACTGACAGGTGGTTATCTCATCATATCAGTTCTCCCTTAACATAAGAAAAAGGGAATCATGGGGACCAACAGGCACCGATTAGGCATTGTTTGCTTTATATAGGGCGCAAGTAGCTATAAGTAGTGCAGTGGGGCTTTAAATTGAAAAATTATCAAAACAAAATTTAAACAAAAATTTAATTTTTTTACATTCTACAATTTTAATTTAAAGAAATACAAAAATGCCCAGCAGTAAATAGTAATTTTAGTTGAGGTGTTATTTACGGTTGGGAAAATGATAGTGGGTGTATTTTTGATCATGTGACACACTTTTAACCAATCAAAAACCAATAAAGTTTTGATGCAGGATATAATATTTAAACTTGAGTAAGACCCAGGGGATTGAGAGGAAAGAGTATCAAATTTGATACGGTAAACGTGAACGTGAATTTATTGCTTATTGGAAAGCGAGTTTGGATCCAGTGAGTTTAAGAATCCGACCATTAAGTATTTACTCTCATTCAGGGGCGTACGCAGGATTTTTTCAAGGGGGGGGGGGGGTTTAAAATCTGGCCCAAAATATTTTGCTCCCGAAAATTTGAAAATCGCGCCGGCCGAAAAGTCGCTCAGTGGGGGGGGGGGGGGGGGGGGGTAAGCGGACACTTTTGTTTTTGATTTTTGGTAGTCCAAAAAAAAATCGCAACGACTCAGCCAACCGAAAAGTCGCTTAGTGGGGGGGGGGGGGGGGGGGGGGGGGGTAAGCGGACCCTTTTTTTTTTTTGGTCTCGAAATTTGAAAATTGGACTTTTTTTTCGTTGGGGGGGGGGGGGGGGGGTAAGGTCACTTTACGTTAGCCGTGGGCATAGTTTTTTTTTTTGGTCTCGAAATTTGAAAATTGGACTTTTTTTTTCGTTGGGGGGGGGGGTAAGGTCACTTTACGTTAGCCGTGGGCATAGTTTTTTTTTTTTTTTTTTTTTTAATTTAAAAAAACAAAAAACAAAAAAACAAAGGGGGGTTTTAGTTTTTTTTTTTTTTTTTTGTTTTTTTTTTGTTTTTTTTTTTTTTTTTTGGGGGGGGGGGGGGGTTAACACACATAAAAATACCAAAGGGGGGTTTGAACCCCCAACCCCCCCCCCCCCCCCCCCTGCGTACGCCCCTGCTCTCATTGGCAACTTTAAAAATCGTCTGACTTTTTTTGTTCAGAGCAAAAAAAGGGCTCCTCTGAATCAAAGTTTTTGTCGGGAAAGATCTTATGCATGACATTGGGCCATTCCCTTTTGTACATTAATTAGAGAAGCTGCGAACCTACCTGAGTTTGCTATGATCATCAAAGCTCCCCCGTCTACCAGAAAGTCGAGGAGATGTGACATAGAATCCGAGAAATCTTCAAAATAATACGCTGAGTGGATAGCACTGATGAAGACGAATTTGTTCTTTAAACTTGTAGCATCTCGGCAAACTTCGGAAAATGTCGTGTCCTTCCAGTCAAACTCGATGTCGTTCAGTTCGTCGTTTGAGTGCACTTTGTTCTTGAATTGCTCAATGACGCTACCAGGCTCAATCACCGTGTACCGAAGTTTCCCGAACTTCTGCCGAAATTTACCGATGATTATACTATCCATTGATCCTGAATAAGTAAAAGGGGTGTATTATTGAGACTGACAACAATTATGGTAGCATAAAGCTATTTCAAAGATATTTCTAATCATCTAATCAAGTTTAACAATTTTGGATGGCTTAAACAATTTTGTATTATTTACGTGAAATGACGAGATCTTTTCTGTTCTGAAATTGTTTGCTTAACTGTTCATATGTTCATATTATTGTACTCTGTTTCTCGTATTATTGTAATGCACAAAGAAGACGAAAGATGCGTGGCTGATCTTCAACGAAATGGAGTTAAGTCTTTTGTCAACTCTGTTTGTTGCTACGGCAGGCGGCAAGTGAAAACGAACTCTTTTGATCAAATTATGGAAATGCAAGCATTACTTTAAACAAACAGAACTTTGTTATTCCTGGCTCTTTTTTCCTGATTGAGGTGTCATATGAAAGGGCAGAAATTTAACTTTCTAGAAATGTGATTTTCTCTTTAAAATTTAGATACCACCCGCCAAATGACTTTTTGGTTTTCTCTCTTCAAATTGCTTTTAATCACTCATGCGTGAAATATGCATTATATGAGTTGCATCAAATGAATGAGGAAGGTCTAAGCTTTCCAAATATGTGTCATTTATTAATTATACTTTAAGTTATGATAAAACATCGATAATTCTCGGTTTCGTTTTTTCTGGGACGCGCTGTATATTGTTATCCACTGGAGGTGATAATGTTTTTTTCCTTCGATATGTAGGCGGTCTGCCGTTCGTGTGACGTGGTCTTTACATGGACATGTGTTAGGTCCATGGTCTTATTATGTACCTCTAGGAGAATGAGGGTCGTTACGGATAGGTTCATACTGGTCATTCACTTGATCATTAATTATTGACTTTGTCACAAATCAGCTTTATTGTCCTAACCATTTTGATCCGTATTCTACTATATTGGGTGTAACTTAAATAATTTAAGTTACACCCAATCCTGGGTCTAAAGTTACGTTTAAACTAAAGGAAAACGTATAATTCAGACTAATTTCCTTTGTTTAAACCATATTTCTGAAGGATAAAAAGCTTAAACGCAGCTTCGGATTTAAAGTTTAGTGGAATATGGGCCTGGGGGTTCATTTAACAATTTATTGTTAACATGACACCCCCCCCCCTCCCGATATACTAAAATTCAATTCGAATAATCGGTACAATACTCTTGAGATACATACATTAACATAAAACAATGAGTTTTAACAGTTCGGTACGTAACTGAAGAATATTTCAAGCCTTAATTTTAAAGAAGAATGCATCACATTTATAATAATAATAATAATTATATTTAAGATTTATATAGCGCTGGTATACAAGTACAGTTTCTAAGCGCTTTACAAAACAAGTGAAATAAAAAGTATGTTTGACGAATGAACGATATTTGAAAAAAACTTTATCTCAACCAAAGTTCCTGTAAGGTATAGAAGCTTGTGTCGGCAGGACAAACATTTGCAGGCACCTTAACCCTTGTCAGTCGTTGTGCTTAACAGTGTCTGTAATGTAAGACTATTCTGACAGCATACTGCATATGGTCTGTACTTTAGCTGCTCCAGACACAGACAGGGACTGTCAGATCTAGGCTCTACATAAGGCTTTAAGAGTGGTGATAAACTGTCTTTTTAGATTCATGTGCCGGCAGATTACCCCTCCCCTCCCCCTTCCCATATAAAGTACATACCATCTCCAGTGCCGACGCCCATGACATTGACCTCCAGACTTGATGAAAACTTTTGGGCGATCTCGTCGATGACCGAGTCGTCGAGATCGTCTCTGAGCCATGAACGAATGACAGCGACGTCGCCTGAATTGGGCCAGAAACCTGTCATGAAAGTGTCTTTGTAACGATCGAGGTCTTCCATTATACTCGTCATACCAGCAGGGAGATTGTTATTCATCCTCGAGTAACGGTGTCAAAAACGAGAACAAAAATGAAGTCGCTTTGATGTAAGTTGAATAGTTATACACTTATGATAAGGGCAATTCAATGAGAGAAAACTTCAGAAGTGATTATGGTTTCTAGAACCGCTCTGTGTATCGGGCATCAGAATCTGATGTAATTTCCTTTAGGTATAGCCTACATGACTTGTTGAAGTGGACAGCCTTGAAGTGCTTATACAACCCGGTAAAACCTTGCCATTGACTACGGACCTAAATAACCTAACAATAAGATCGAATTCAATGTTATTAAGACTTTGCTTCCTCTTATGTAATCATTCTTTGACACAAATGCGGGCAAGCCTGCATTTTTAATACAGGGTCAGTGTACATGATGGAGGAGGGGGTAAACTATGTCACAGAACAAGACAGTCTTTATGAAAAGGTTTTGTCGTAAGTTTTTGTGTCAATTTCAATGAATGAAAATGTTAACGTTTCCATTGTTTCCATTTTGCTTATTCAATTGCATTGATTCAGACTGTAAAATGTGTGAATGCGAAATTGGTTACATGAACAATAGTTTTAAGGCTAACAGGAGTTATATATGAGGTGTGTATACATAATATTAACAGGTATATGTTGATCCTGTTCAATGATGTTACGATTTTATTCCAGAGCGACCAAAGTTGAAGTTAAACTGAACAATAGAAACGATCCATTCTTTCTCTAATATTCATACCCCGAACTATCCATCTGCAAGTATATGCAGTAGCGTGAATTCAGGACTCACTTGCGGGGGGGGGGGGGGGGAAGTGTTACAAGTTTGATTATGACAAGCAATATATGTTACAATCTTATAAGAAATAAGTATGATTCATTCTCGGTACTATTTTACTCAGAAATACTCTGAAAAACAAGCAAACAAATAATTGAAAAACAAAGCTAAATCGAACAAAGCTGGGCGAAATATCGGTCGGCGCGATTTTCACATTTTCAAACACTCCCTTTTAAATAATCATGCATACGCCATTGATACAGATACAATGCATTCTAAGAAACTATTAATTGCAGCAAAATTGGAGATACAATAAAATGTTACGATTGAGTGTCAGTCGATTTTTATGTAACTATGACAGAGCATTACTATTACGAGGTTATATATGTAAGTCCCGTTTAATCATTACAGAACAAGTAATTAAAAATAATGCGGGTAAATCCGTTTCGTTATACCTGACAAACATTCTGCTGCATAACAGCCTAAAAGTAGAGCACATTGCCTTGCCCTTGGCCTATTGTTGTCTATTGTAAAGCATGGCGGGTATCTCTCACTGTCTGTTTTGTCCTTCCGCTTTTCGGAGATCACCGAGTTCATCGCAGTCAAAGTGGTAGTGGCAGTCGAAGTGGTGTAGTGGTAGTCGAAGTGGTAACATGTTTACTTTCACTCTTACCATCGTGACTATTCTCATTTGCATAATCTACATTTCCACAAGCATTTACCGATCTAAGCTCGCAGTGAGTGGAATAAAAAAACATGATAACAATAAAAATAATGATAATGATAATGAACGTAGTTTGAAAGGTTCTCAGCAAGGAAATGTCTGCCAATGGCTGCAGGGGAACCTCCCTCCAGGACCTAGGGGCTGGCCTATTATCGGCAATCTGCATCAGCTTATGTTCACGGGAAAGAAACAACACGATATCATCAACGAGTGGGCCAACGAGTTCGGAGAGGTTTTCACTTTTCGTATATTTTCGACGAGGTTCGTGATCCTAAACAGTTTGCCTCTGATTCAGAAGACGTTCCAGAATCCAGATATCAATGACATGGCGACCATACCACCGTGCAATAAAGCATTGGGTGTGTCAACAAACAAAGGTATATCCCAGCCTATCAAATCGGCCTCTTATAATTATGATTATAATTATGAATACATTTGTTCATCTTTGATATTTTTTTAAATTATGATTTTTCCTTGTATTTTATTTTATCGTTCTTAAAAGCCCCACTGTCCTACTTGTAGCTACTTGCTCCCTCTATACAGAAAACTTCCCCAATCGGTGCCTGTTGGTCCCCATGATCCTCTTTTTCTTATGTTAGTTGAGAGCTGATTTAATGAGAAAGCCACTTGTCAGTGACCTCGCTGTGTGGTCTAATCCCCTCTGGCCCAGTAGTATTGACGGTCTTTAAAGCATTGCTGTAAATTCATGAATCGCACAAGAGTATGGCACACGATGTTTATGGGCCATCATTCCTCTTTTACAATTTGATAGCTCTGAATATTCCTACTATCCTATACATAATAACATCATTGTGTGGATAACAAGTCACGAGAGAAAGAAATCGACCTTTGGTGACAATAATGTCATCTGGCTCCACGTTCTTTGTAATGGTAAAATGTGTGCTGAGGTTCAGTTATTACAAGTACTTGAAATTATTATTTTTTGGTAAAACAATTCTTCAAGCTGTGTAAAAAGATGCAAAACGGCATTACATAAAATGCACGGTCATGGAGGATATCATTTTTATTTATTTATTTAATTTCATTAAGTTTTCCACATTCCAGTAAAAAATAAAAATACAAAGGAATACACGGGTGACATCTGTAATATATTGTAGGATCATAAGTTATGAAACAGCCTAGAACAGGCGCGGATCCAGGATTTCTTAGGGGGGGGGCCCAAATTTGAAATTATGCGAGCCAAATATTGGTACGTAATGGCGACCAACAGTGACGTAATGCGGGGGGGGGGGTCGGTGCAAGGGTGGGGGGGCGAGTTTCCCCCTCCCAGGTTTTGAAGTTTCATTATATATTAGAGAAAGAAGATGATTCGTTGTACCGTTCTCGAAAATAATTCTCGTCTGAATTTAGTTTTTTTTCCCCCCGCGCGAAGCGCGGAAAATTTTACGATTTGTAAAATTATTAGAGAAGGAAGACGACTCGTTGTAGAGTTCTCGACTCTTAATCCTTGTCTAAAGTCAGTACCCCCCCTCCCCCTCTTGCGCGAAGCGCGGAAGCTTTGGCGTTTAATTAAACTTTTAAAGAAAGAAGACGATTCGTTGTACCGTTCTCGACCTTTATCCTCGTCTGATTTCAGTTTCCCCCCTCCCGCGCCAAGGGCGGAAGCTTTTACGTTTCATTAAATCATTAGAAAAAGAAAACGATTCGTTGTATAGTTTTTGACTCTTAATCCTCGTCTAAATTCAGTTCCTCCCCCTCCCCCTCCTGCGCGAAGCGCGGAAGCTTTTACGTTTCATTAAATCATTAGAGAAAGAAAACGATTCGTTGTACAGTTTTCGACTCTTAATCCTTGTCTAAATTCAGCCCCCCCCCCTCCCCCTCCTGCGCGAAGCGCGGAAGCTTTGACGTTTATTAAACTATTACAGAAAGAAAACGATTCGTTGTACCGTTCTCTATACTCTTAATCTTTGTCTGAATTTCAAAGATGTTCTTTGTCTGCTCCTTTTTCTTCCTACGTCCTCTTCCGATTGGAGGGGGGACCACCCCCCCCCCCTGGCTACGCGCCTGTGGTCAGATAAAATCTTATCTTATTTTGATTTAACGCATGTTCATTTCGTTCTCTGTGATTTTTGGCTAACAACGTTTATTTTCGTTATTTCATTTTTGTTTCGTTTACTATTCCATGTGAATTATTTACATGCCAATTAAGTATGCGTGTGTATGTTGCAAGAAACCAGTAAAATGCAATCAGAGAGCTCTTCTCTGTACAAACTGTAAAAATTGGGCCCATATTACGTGTGCCCGTGTATCTCTATCTCAATACAATGATAGAAAAGAACATTTTGAAAATTGGAATTGTCCAACTGTATCCTACAAGAATTGCCCTTTTTTAATGAAGAGTTAGACGTAGATCGTGAACCCTGCGCCGGTAATGAGTCAAACTTAGAACGTGACACGAATCTAATTAAAAATGTAGATCAAAATTATAGTATTTATGATAAAGGATTGTCAATATCCCACCTTAATGTTAGAAGTTTACGAAATAAAAAAGAAGAAATTGAAATTTTTATAAGTAACAATTCAGTTGATTTATTCACAATGTCTGAGACATGGATTGACGATTCCTTTACTTCGAACATGTTAGACATTCCAGGTTACATCTTCGAAAGAAGAGATAGAGGTAGTCGAGGTGGAGGAGTTGGGTGTTACATAAGAAATAATATAGGATATGTTACAAGACGTGATCTTGAAAAAGACGATTTGGAAATAATGTGGTTTGAATTGAGGGCTAGAAATCGATTACCATTTTTTGTAGGTGTCGTATATCGCAAACCTACATGTATATCCTTTTTTAAAAGCCTAGAATCAAACCTAGACCAAGTATTTTCTTTTACAAATAATGTTATAGTCCTCGGTGACTTTAACTCCAATATGCTGACTAAAAATACCCTTTCAAATAAGATGCATGAACTTTGTTCCACCTTTCAGTTAACTCAGCTTATCCGAGAACCAACAAGAATAACTCCTTTCAGCAGTACTTTAATTGACGTTATTTGTGTTTCTAGTTCAATGTTATCCAATATAAAGCAATCTGGAACAATTTCAAGTGGACTTAGTGACCACTCCCTAGTCTATTTGATCCTTGGACATAATACCCCAAAAGCTAAGCCCGAAATCTTTTCATTTAGATCGTTTAGGCATTTTGTCGTCGAAGATTTTGTCGAAGACCTATGTAAAATACAATGGAATGATCTATTATCGTCCGAAGAGGACGTAGAGTATTGCTGGGAGAAATTCAGTGAAGCATTCAAGGCATTAGCTGATAAACATGCTCCCCATGTTACAGTAAGAAAGAAACTAAATGGGTCTCCTTGGATTACAACTGAATACCTGGCTCTATCTAGGGATCGTGACTATTATAAAAGAAAGTTTGACAAACTTAAAAAATCAGCAGAAGCAGGTCAGGAAACCAATGAACTTTGGAATAAATATAAATATCTTAGAAATAAAGTAAATATCTTAAATAAAAAGCTGAAAAGGGACTTTTTTCGCAACAAATTTCAACAATGTGCAAACAAATTGCAAGATTCGTGGAAAGTCCTGAAAAAATTACTCCCGAAGAAAAAGGTTTCAGTTAATCCGAATATTAACACAGGGACTCATATGACTTCAGATAAAGTAGAAATTGCAACGTCATTCAATGAATTGTTTGTTAGTATTGGAAAACGACATTCTCCTCTTAACCAACAAAGTTTTAATTCCTTAAATACATTATCAAAGGTTGGATCAACGTTTAAATTCCAAAGCATAGATTCGGAGTTTGTAAAAAGAGAACTTGAGAAAATTGATGTTAACAAAGCTGTTGGTCTGGATGACTTACATCCAAGATTATTGAAAATCGCTGCCCCTTTTATTGCTGAACCACTCTCAATAGTCTTTAACAAATCTCTAAGCTCAGGATGCTTCCCAAGTGATTTCAAAAGAGCCAAGATTATTCCAGTACCAAAAAGTAGTGAAACAAGTGACATTGGCAATTATAGACCAATTTCTTTATTGTCCTGTCTGTCCAAGATACTTGAAAAGGCAGTCCATGCCCAGCTTTATGAGTATCTCCAAGAATACAAACTGCTATCTCAGCGCCAATCGGGTTTTCGCCCAAAGCATTCAACTGCAACTTGTCTAATTGAAATAACCGATTACTTGTTAAACAATATTGACTGTGGTTTGATAACAGGGGCGATATTCCTTGATCTCAAAAAGGCGTTTGATGTTATATCTCACGAAATATTGTTATTAAAAATGCCATATTATGGTATTAATTCTGTTGAATTAGACTGGTTCTCTTCATACCTAACGAATAGGCAACAATGCGTCTCATTTCAAGGTGTCCAAAGCAATTTTCTACAGATTTACTCTGGTGTGCCCCAAGGGTCTATTTTGGGCCCCCTAATTTTTTGCTTATTTCTTAATGATATGTGTAACTTGAAATTTAGTAAACAAACCAAAATTGCTATGTACGCTGATGACACGGCACTGTTTTGTAAAGGTAACAATTTAAAAAGCAGTCAGAAGAAACTACAAAAATATTATGATTTACTGCGTAAATGGTTTGAAATAAATAGTATGGAAATAAATGCAAAGAAAACTAAAGTGATGGTCTTTGGAACGAAACATAAAACTAAGAACCAAATTTTGAAAATCTGTCATGGACGAGACTATCTTGAGAATGTTACCGAGATCAAATATTTAGGCGTAACCCTTGACCAAAGTCTAAGTTGGACACCACACATATTAAATGTGACTAATAAGATTAATCGGGCTATTGCATGCACTAGAAGGATTAAGAGTTATTTGAACCAAAGCCTACTGAAACATCTTTATTACTCCCTCATTCTTCCACATATAGATTACTGTTCAGTTGTTTGGGGCAAGTGCAAAAAGAAAGATTTACTCAAATTACAGAGGACGCAGAACAGGTATGCAAGATTAGTCCTTAATGCAGACTATCTAACCCCAAAAGACATCCTTTTAAGCACTCTTCAATGGCAAAGTGTTGAAAATAGAATCAACTACCACTACTGCATTTTCGTCTACAAAATACTCAATAATCTAGCCCCTTATTATTTAGAACCTTTTGCTTGTAAACGTCCAGTTTACTATGTTACTCGTCATTCTACCTTTAATCCCCTATTTATCCCAAAACCTAAGACTGAATTTAAAAAACGATCTTTTTCTTTCATCGCTCCAAGCATCTATAACAATCTACCGACTCATATTCGCACGGCAACTTCACTCCTAATGTTCAAAAAACAAATTAAATCACTCCCTCCACTTTAATGCATGCACTGGTACCTAATGTTATATTATGACTTATTACAGTTGGTTTTGTTTGTTTTGTAGTCTGTAGTAGTTTTATTTCTTACCTTTTACCCTTTTACCCTTTTACCCTTTTGATTTTATGTCTGTTATTTATTTATGGCATGTGTATTTGTATTTGTATTTTGTATTGTATCAATAATATCTTAATGTTTAATAGTTCAGGCCTTATGTTAATTTTGATCTAGTTTTTAAGTTGTTTTAGCTCTCTTATGGTATCTTGTTTATATAATGTCTTTGTTTTTTTACAATGTATTTTATTTTTTGTAAATCTTTGTATGCACAGGGCTCTTTTGTAAAGCAGGCCTCTGGCACTGAAAAGACTACCCTGTTTTTAAATAAAACTGAATAAATAAATAAATAAATAAATAAACACATCTTGATACCTTGTCCGACCCCGCAAGCTCAGGGGTTTAAGGCAATAAATTACGATCAGATAAGCATTCAGGGGCCCGCCTTAGGGCCCCTGGTGGGGTCGAGGCGGCGGAGCCGGCCCCGGAAGCTCAGGGGTTTTAGGCGTTTAATAAAGGTCAGATGAGCACATTTTTGTGTATACCTTATTATTTTGTGACACTGGCAAGTCACTATTTGGCGTGGGGTCCAGGGGGCGGAGCCCCAAATATCAGGGGTTTTAGGCATTAAATTACCGTCAGATGATCATCTAAGGGCCCGCCGTAGGGCCCTAGATGGAATCCAGGGGGCAAAGCACCCGGAAGCTTAAGGGTTTTAGGCATTTCGGGCATGGTGGCTCAGTCGTTAGAGCGCCCGCCTCATGAACGGGAGGTCGTGGGTTCGAACCCCGGCCGAGTCATACCAAAGACTTATAACAATGGGACCTTCTGCCTTCTAGCTAGGCGCTCAGCATATTAGATTGGAGAAGGGTAGTAATAACATATTATGTTATGCAGGGCCCGCTGGAAGAACAGTTTCATAACTGAAGTGGCTACCCTGGGTAAATAAAAGTTATTATTATTATTATTTAATCACAGTCAGATGAGCATTTTGATGCCTCATTATTTTGTTAATACTGGCAGTTAACTATTCTCACTTTCTTGCTCTCATTCTATTTTATTTCTCTTTAATATACTTTTTCAAGAAAAGTGGGGGGGGGGGGGGGGGAGCTCGAGGCTCTCGATCCCCGCCGTACCTCGGGCCCTGACATGTACGAATCTCAAGAATCATTTTTTTGCCTGGTTGTAAATTTAGGAATTTGTCATTTTTCAACAAACACATACAAACGTATAATTTACTAAAAAGTGAGGAAAAATTTCGGAAATTATGCCATTTCAGCATTATTTGTAATCCGCCGTTGTGGAATTAGAAATAAACCACGTTTGAATTTGATTTCCCCCAAGCCCCCCCCCCCCCCCTCTATCAGTACGCCAGTATCTCCTCTTTTCCTTTTTTCTTTCCCTTTCCTTCCTTCTCTCTTATTTTTTTTTGATGGGGGGGGGGGGGGGGGGGGGGAAACAGCCTGGGAGGCAAGGCCCTTTCGGTCCCCGATCTCCTTCTTCCCTTTTTTTCTTTTCTTCTTCCTCTTCTTTCTTTCCCCTTTTCTCCTTTTTCCCTTCTTTTCCTTTCTTCTCTTTTTTTTTTTTTTTTTTTTTTTTTTGCGGGGGGGGGGGGGGGGGGAAGGCCCGCTCGGCCCCCCCCCCCCCCTGGATCCGCGCCTGGCCTAGAAGTGAACACTTAAAATATTAGGCCAGTTTCGGCGGTTACGTAATGCGCGGTTACTGTAACCAAGCCCGACAAGCTTTGTCAAATCACCATTTTGAATCTGTGCATTGTGTATTAGACTGTCGGTTCTTGTCGTTAAATTGCATTCATATCTTTCTATCAAAAACTGCGTGTATATATATGAATTTCTGTTTTGGCCGGAAATGTCTTCCAACTTGCCATTCATCGAGCTGAGTTTCAGGCAGCTGCAATATTTTCTAAGAAAAAGAGGAGTTTCGACGACGGTATACACCCGAGAAAAGACTCGTTAAATTAGCGTCCGCAGTAGCGGACTAGCCTGCCCGTAGCCCCTGACCTACGGGGTCCGTGTCACTCGGTAGACGTGACTGTATGGGGAAATTACAACGGGCAGGATTTTCGTTAAGTGAACTAGTTACATACCTCCCTTAAGTTTGACGATATTCCTGACTTTGGGACCTATGACGTATTCAATTATCTAGTAGAGAATATGGCGGACCATGCATTTATGATCGTCGAAAACTGAAGGCTTTTAAGAGTTTTGAAGACTTTCGATTGATATTTCCCGGCGATGGCCATAGATTATGTGGCCTGGAGATCAGAAGCTCGAGTACAATCCTCCTTCTAGTTAGCTCTCGGCAGCTTATGATAACGACTTGTGACTAGATTATACAGGTCAAACCGACGCAAAAAGACAGAACATACCAACTTGAACAAAAAGAAAAAATATATAAATAATAAACAAATAAAAAGTAGAAGTCTAGACTAGCTGATCTAATAGTAATAGAAAATGTAATAACAGTTTTATTTTTAAATGTTTTTTTTAAATAATAATAATTGCTTCTTGAAGTTGAATAACGAAGGTCCGGCATAACTGTAGTCTAATATTAGACTATTAACTTTTATTTTATGAAAATCAAACTAGGGGGTCTAATATTCTAAACAATAAAATTATTGATCATCCTGATTCTTCTTCCTTGCCATCATAAGGTTTTTTTTTTTAATTACTTTTATTATTCCCTTTTTCCATTGTTCTATCATTCTTTTTCCTTGTTCATTGTTTTTCTTCATTTTTTCCGTTCAAAATTATTTTTTTATCATTATTCATCATTCTTATTCTAGCTCTCTGTCATCGGACGATATTATTTTATAAATATTATTTTATTAACAAAGACCTTATATATTATATTATTACCTTTATTGTCATTATTTCTCGTTCCTTTTGTTAATAATATTGATTCTGCGGTCAGTGCTTGCTTCTCGTTAGCCGTTTCTCGTCCGCCTTGAAATAGTCCGTATCGAGGCGTTTCACAAACATTTTTTAATCCGTAAAATTGTTTTCATTTTGAAAATGTGAATCGCGCCTACACGAACACGAACACGTGGTACGCGCGCACGCTTCTGCAAGTAGAGGTGACTGTGTGTGCGAACGAGTGGAAAATAGTTCGTCACTTCTTTCATTTCTACGTCCTAATTTGTACTCAGATTCAAGCTAAGGTAAATGCAAAATTGAATGGAAATTACCGATATCGGCTAGCTAACTTATATTTTGGTGCTTCGCTTTCTGTGTCATCACTGGCTTTCAAGCCAATATCGCTTGTATCATCGACCTCGTTTTTCTTCTTTTTGAGGGGGTATCGTGCGCTGCCTGTACCCGGTCCGGGGACTTGGCCGAACAGGTTTAGCTGCAAGATGTGAATCGCTAGTTCTGTACCAGCAATGCTTTTCTATTATTCTTGCCTAAGACTCAGCGATTTTAAAGATCAAATGTATGAAGAACAAAATCATATCTCAAAGATATTTATTATTCAAGTTTGAAACTGCCTCCTTTTTCTTCTCTCTCTCTCTCTCTCAAAATAGCGAAAACAAACGATACAATCACACCTAGCGAACACAGTCACGTATGGTATGCACGCAAAGTGTAGTCTGCTACGCACCGCGAGTTCTTTGCTTGTCCGACCCTCCGATTACGTAATGCGATTTAAAGGTCTCTGAATACATAATGTAATTATATATTAGAGGTGTGATAGTATTTCTGTAGTTTAAAGGGCGACAACATGAGTTTAAATAGAAATAGTTTCAAAAGGTGAATGACATTTCATTTAGACAGGGAATTAAGGTATTGGTAAAGCAGATGTATAAAGAAAAGAATGTTCATAAGTAACTTAAATGATGAACATAACACGATAATTAAACAAAATCAGAAAATTATTTAAATATTTAGTAATTTCAATAGCTTTGTTCATCACCTATCGGAGTAAGTGCGAACAATATGATTATATCATTGTATATAAATTATAGGGTAATAATCAATTGCCCATGAGCTGATTTCTCGAAAGTTTTTGCGATGGTGTCATTAAAACAAAATCATATAATTATCTTTTCATCGTGACCAGGTATAGGGATCATTGCTGCCAGTGAAGGACCCGCCTGGAAGGATCTTCGAGGATTTCTTATCTCTATTTTGCGAAAAATGAAATTTGGACCGAATAGCATCGAAAACTTTGCTGCCGAGGAGGCTGTAAGATTGCTCGATAATTTTCATTCCAAAGATGAAGAGTTCTTTGACCCCGCCAGCGCTGTCAATATCGCCGTCGCGAACATTACGACGCGGTTGACGATGGGAAAAACGTTTCCGTACGACGACAAGGAGTTTCTTCGGCTCACGCAACTAGCAGACGACACGTTTGATTACTTCGGAACTGGGGCAATCTATTCGCTGGTTCCAGAATTGTCGTACCTGCCGTCTACAGGGAATAGGAAGGGTGAAGAAGCGATCGCTGAGATGTTCGACTTCATTCGGCAGTCAGTCGGGGATCATCGGAAACACTTCGACCCTAACCCGGAGCCTCGGGATATGGTCGAGTGTTTCTTGCTAGAACAGCATGAACGACGTTCAAAGGTACGGATCGTAGTCATCCCAATGTCACGTAACAAATCGGTTGACTTTTTCTTTTTATTAAATTTAAACAAATATAGATTTTAACTTCAGTTTTCATGACATATACATAGCTCTCGTCATCAAAATAATGAGGGGTGTGTGCCGCAGGCGCGTACGCAGGGTTTTTTTTTGGGTTTAAACCCCCCGCCCCTCAATTTTTTTTGAAAAAATGATTAGGCTACCCCCCCCCCCCCCCCCCCCCCCCCCCCCCCCCCCCCCCCCCCCCCCCCCCCCCCCCCACCCTCACTGAGCGAAATATCGGCCGGCGTGATTTTCACATTTGCGGGGGCAAAACAAAACAAAACAAAAAAATGTTACTTATTATTTCTTACCTGATGAACCACCACTTTATTTTTTAATTTTGTTGTTCTCTCAAAGACACAGTCATATTCATTTTAAACTATAGCAAATGAATGGTTTGCTTCATGTAATTATTTGGCTCTACTAATTCTGTTTTATTCAAGGGAGACATTGGTGTGTTTGACGACACCAATATGCTGCAGTTCACCTGGGACGTTCTGATTGGCGGATGGCAAACAACCAACACCACCATCCTGTGGTACCTCTTCATTCTCGCCCAACAAACAGACGCCCAACACCGAGTCCAAGCAGAGCTGGATCGAGTAGTCGGGCGTGACCGTCTACCAGCCCTCACCGATCGAGCATCCCTGCCGTACGTCCACGCCACCATGGCCGAATGTTATCGGCTGAGTGGTCTCTTGCCGATGCAGATTCCACACCGTAGTCGTTGTGACGTTACAGTTGGCGGATACGACGTCCCGCGAGGATCCTATGTGGCATCCAATACACATTTCTTATGCTCTTCACCAACGCTATGGCATGAGCCTGAGGAGTTCCGCCCTGAGAGATTCATTGATGAGACTGGGGCGTTTGATCGAAAGCGAGAGGCTGGCCTCGTCGAGTTCGGCGTTGGTAAGTCGGGTGGGGTAGGCTGTAAGACACTTGCTCCTGCGACACTCATTGCTCTGCCTTCATTTCCTACCCAAACTGAATTCCTAACTTGAACCCTGGGAGACAAAAACACTCTTCCTGACTCTCATCTTCATCCTAACCGTAACCCTGGCTCAACCCAGCCTAGAACCGAATTGCTTCCCTGACTCCAACCCTATGGCCCGAATTCACAAAGGAGGTTTATCGCCTTTTCGACGCCTTTTTACAAACCAGGTTTGTAAAAAAACGCGTATATGACGTACGGAAACCAAGGTTTGTCGACAAACCTCCTACGGTGAATTCGGGCTTATACGTTTGACGGAACAAGCTCGGAGTAATTAGCGCCGGAGTAATCTGTCGGAGGCTACGGAAGCGTTAAATTGCCATTCTACTTAACGACATGACGAGATATTTCATCTTGTCAAGTCGACTTAATATACATATCATGTCAACATGTAAAGATATATTGTTAGTCGACATGGCAAAATAAAAGTTGATAAGTCGACATGGTAAGTTAAATATCTTTACATGTTGACATGATATGTATATTAAGTCGACTTGACAAGATGAAATATCTCGTCATGACGTCAAGTAAAATGGCACTTTAACGCTTCCGTAGTTGGAACACCGATAGGGTGACGAACTATGAACAATTCCGATTTTGTTTTCATTCAGTATAAGCCATCTACTTCACATTTATCTTGTTATCAGGCTCGTCACCGTCAACATTATCAGCTCATCATTATTATCATTGTCATTATCATCATCATAATCGCCTTCGTTACAGTTGTTGTTATCAGGCGCGGATCCAGGGGGCCGAGCGGGCCTTGCCCCCCCCCCCCCCCTCAAAAAAATAAGGAGAGAGAGAGAGAGAGAAGGAAAAGTAGGGAAAAGAGAAAGGGAAAGAAAGAAGAGGAAGAAGAAAAAAAGGGGGAAAAGAAGGAGATCGTGTGGGGGGGGGCGAAAGGGCCTTGCCTTCCAGCTGTTACCTCCCACCCCCCCCCCATCAAAAATAAGAGAGAAGGAAGGAAAGGGAAGAAAAAGAGGAGACAAAGGGAAGGAAAAAAGAGGAAGAAGAAAAGAAAAAGAAGGGTGATATCAGTTGCAATTTCCTGCCAACAAGTTGTAGTTCGGGGGGGGGGCGAAAGGCCCTTGCCTCCCCCAACCCGCCCCCCAAAAGGGTGGAAGGAAGGGGAAAGGGAAAGAGAGGAGAGCTAAAAGGGAACAAAAAAGAGGAAGAAGAAAAAAGGGGGAAAAGAAGGAGATCGTGTGGGGGGGGGGGGCGAAAGGGCCTTGCCTTCCAGCTGTTACCTCCCACCCCCCCCCCCCCATCAAAAATAAGAGAGAAGGAAGGAAAGGGAAGAAAAAGAGGAGACAAAGGGAAGGAAAAAAGAGGAAGAAGAAAAGAAAAAGAAGGGTGATATCAGTTGCAATTTCCCGCCAACAAGTTGGAGTTCGGGGGGGGGGGGCGAAAGGCCCTTGCCTCCCCCAACCCGCCCCCCAAAAGGGTGAAAGGAAGGGAAAGGGAAAGAGAGGAGAGCTAATAGAGGAAGAAGAAAATAAAAGGGCGAAAAGAAGGGGAGAACAGTTGCGATTAATCCCGCCAAAGACGTGTGGATGTGGGGGCAAAGGCCCTTGCCTCCCCCAGCAAACCTAAAACAGAGAGAAGGAAGGGAAAGGAAAGGAAAAAAGGAAAAGAGGAGAGAAAGAGAAAGAAAAAAAAGAGAAAGAAGAAAGGTAGAGGAGATCAGTAGGCCCCGCTAACGAGGTGTAGATCGGGGGGGGGGATATAATTCAAACGTGGCTTATTTCTAATTCGATACCGGTGATTTACAAATGTTGCTGAAATGACATAATTTTCAGAGATTTTTCCTCAATGTTTCGTAAATTATTCTTTTTTATGCGTTTGTTGGAAAATGGAAAATTTATAAAGAAAGAAAGAAAGAATAATGACGTGCCTTTGTCACAAAATATATAATAAGGTGTCAAAATTTGCTAATCTGACGGTAATTTAATGCTTTTAACCCCTGAGCTTCTGGGGTCTCCGCCTCCTGGACCTAACGCCAATAAGTGTCCTGCCAGTGTCACAAATAATGTATAAAAATATGTTCATCTGACCGTAATTAAATGCCTAAAACCACTGAGCTTCCGGGGCTCCGCTCCCTCTACCCCACCAGGGGCCTTAAGGCGGCCCTCTGCATGCTTATCTGACCGTTATAAAATGCCTTAAATCCCTGAGCTTCTGAGGGCTCCGCCCCGTAGACACCACGCCAATTAGTGACCAGCATGTGTCACAAATAAGGTATCATTATGCTCATCTGATCGTAATTAAATGCCCAAACCCCTGAGCTTCCGGGGCTCTGCACCCTAAACCCAACAAATGGCCCTAAGGCGGGCCCCTGGGTGCTTATCTGATCGTAATCTATTACCTAAACCCCCTGAGACTCAGGGGGTTCCGTCCCCTGGACCCCACGCCAATTCGTGACCTGTCAGTGTCACAAATAAGGTATAACAATATGCTCATCTGACCGTAATTAAATGCCTATACCCCCTGAGCTTCTGAGGGCTCCACCCCTTGACCCCCGCAGGGGCTTCGCCCCTAGACCCACGTCAATTTACGCAACGCTCTACCTGGTTGTAAATACCTACCCCCACCTACTTAGAGAAACGTTCAGCGGGGCCTGCATGTAAGAGTGGGGTGGTGCGCACAATCTCACATTTGCCCGGCCCCCTAAGAAATCCTGGAACCGCGCCTGGCGTGGACTGCATTTGTTCCCTCTTGAGATGCCGAACATACCGTGGTGTATGCAGCTGAAAATACAATGGCGTCTTATTTTGTTTACAAGCGAAGGACTCCATAATTTTTTTATCGCTGCATTTTTCATCAAAATAATACCATGCACGGGGTTTAGAGTGAGGCAATAGATTAAACATTTAGCCTGACGGCAATGAAGTAATAGAAATAACTGAAGAGAAGATGACAAAACAGGCACTGAAAATGTGTGAGATGTCATGGGACGTCGTCTGCTTGTGCAAATCATGTTCAACATGTAACGTCACACATCTCAGCATCGGACGGAGAGCTTTTCAGATGCTATGTCGGGGCTGTATTTAAGCGTTTTGTAATTTATAATAATCATTACTTCGAATATTTCCAAGCATTGAATTTGTATACCTTGTCCAATAAAACTTTCACCTTTGCAATAATGACAATAAACTTGCTAGTTTTTAAAATCAATGAACCTTCTCTTTAAAGGTAATGCAAAGTTTTGGGAATTTTATAAAATTGGATGGATAGTATTTCTATAAAAATTTGATATATCTGGATGCCCTCTAGTAGGCTTCTTTTCTTTTTTTTTAATCACCCTCTCAAACAACAATATAATACTGTATTATACTTTATTACTGTTTTGGTGGCAGCACCAATAAAGCCTTTGGCTTTCCTAGCTGTCTCCACATTCATATATATTTTTGTTGTTGTTGTATTGTATTGTAAATGTTTCTCTTTAACTTGTACGCTATGTTTTGTATTTTATACGTTTGTTATGATGTTTTTATGATGAATGAATGAAATAAAGTTCAATTAATTATGAGCACTAGAAAAGTAGCACCTAAAACACTTCTGCTTTCGGGAAATTGAATAATCAAACATTTACCAGTGCTACCGGTAAATTTCAAATATTTCAAATAGCGCCTAAGGCCCTTCCATGGTAGCTGCGACCATGCAAATCTGAGAATATGCAGTTCTGATATACAATTTCCAAACGGAAAAGCAAATCGATTGTAGTCAAGAAACACTGTTTTGAAGATAAAGTAATATCAGTCTGGAGAGGGCGCTTTACAACATAAAGGGTTTATTATGTACAATTTCATAACTTTAGACTCGATTTCAACCGCGACAACGATCATTGAATATTGTAACTGAATCGCATATGCTTCCAATATGTTCATTTGAACCAAATTCATGATCCCATACCAAAACTTTTTATTACCTTTACGTACCTTGGTTGTCGTAGGTATTCAACAGGAAAAACTTGAGTTTACGTTTAAACGTATTAAGTGTGGGGGTTGATTTGAGAGCCGGGTTGAGTGAGTTCCAAAGTATGGGTCCAGTATTTTGTTTTGTAAAGTAACTGTTTTTGTGCGAGGGCGGGGGGGGGGGGTGAAAATGATCCGACTGCCTGGTTGGGTAGTTATGAATTTTCTGTTTTTTATAAACCTTTCCGTTAATCTTTTTGGTAGATCGTTTATCTCAAGTTGAGACATAAAATTACCAAGATTGTAGGAGTAATTCCACTGTCCACTTTACTCAGAGTAGAGGTTACTTCAAGGGAAGTGATCCTTAATAAAATTGACTCCCTAAAACAAGATGTCCACCCCTCGCAATAACATGATGCATGTACAATAGAGGGGCGGGGTCTCAATTAAGAATCCCTCGAAAAAGAAATTATCCCGAACATTTGTGTGTGTTTTTTTTTAATTAAAGAAATTTGCACGTAGAGCATGAACGCAATAACCTTAAGCCCCTCCCCTCCCTGCACCCTTTCCTTAAAAAATACCCAACCCCCCCCCCCCCCCAAAAAAAAAAAAAAAAAAAAAAACTTAGGGTAATTTAAAAAAAAAAAAAAAATAAAACCTCTTCTGTCAAATCTACCGTCGATTTGCGCCTCCATGTTGAACCGATTACAGCTAGTGGTTAACCAGGGAATAATTGGGCTAATATGAAGATATAAGGTTAAAGAGAATAAACATACTCACATATAGTTGCTGCAGCTTCTTGCAGAGAGGGCTTGAAGGTTTAGGACTTCACTTCAGCTTTAGCAAGGTGGAGCGTGGATTGATGCTGCATCAGAATTACCCCAGTATTTATTGAAAATGAATCGGGTATTCGTGATAAAATCACGCCAGTTTTTGATACCAGGAGAAAAAAAGGATGCCAAGGACCTCATGTCAATGATAAGTTCAAGTCAGTCATGTCACGT